ACTACACCTGTACATGCACAGGACTTCTACAGTGCATACTTCAAAGGAAACAAATGTCGTGTCTCTTCTTCCCTTTCTGGCGTCCTCTTTTCTCCGGCTCCCGATTCTTCTCCTCCGCAGATACAACATGATGCAATGGTGCTGGCAAGCTGATCCCGCAGCGCGACCCACATTCACAAAGCTGAAGGAGACAATGTCCAGGAAGCAACGTCAATGCGTACGCGAAGAGAAGGTACAGCTTCACTTTTAGGCGACTACACCTTCTATCTTTGCCCCCCTCTCTTCTAGATCTCCATTACTCTCGCTTATTTTCATTATTGACCTGTTCGTAATTGTGTGATACTTCAGCAGTATGCATGATACACAAAGACAACCCTCCCCCCCCCCCCATTTTACCCATATCAAGCGCGGGAAAGCATACCCACTTCATCATATTTCTGCCCAAGAATGATGCAATAAAAAAATTCCGCCGTGGGTGGACCCATCGCAGCTCAAGATAGGAGTTGCACACTCTTGGTTATGTACTCTTGCCCATATCTTATATTGAGTGGAGAGAACAAAAAAAAAAATTCGACGGGTTCGCGTACCAGGCAGGTCAAGAACAAGGAGTCGTACAACTCCCTGGTCAAGAACCACCTTTCCGCTTCCGTAGGACGCCACCACCCCATGACCAGGTGCCAGATGCGGCTCCTAAACAGTGGGGGAGGATAGATCAGATCCACCAACCAGAGGCCAAAGGCCTAAATCCCATTTGCCACATCCATGTTTTGCTCATGCCAGGCCACGAGTTCCCAATTAGCTGTGGGTCGCAGCACGGTTGGAAAAATCCTTCCGCTTCCAAGCAGGACTTGAACCTGGTACCTCTCGTTTCTCAATCATGGTCTCACAGATGCTAAACTATTTGGACTTGAGCCCGCCGAGTGACAGTGAGCTGAGTGTGACAGCGCCGTGCTACGAGTCACCAAGCCAGGCACCATGTCCCACCGCTTACACCGCCGTCGCCGTCCGTCGGGGGCTGGAAATTGACGTACGCCGTTCGCTGGACCAGCAGGCGCATCGCGTCGCGTCAGCAAGCTGCATCAACGTTCTGCCCCTCGATCACGACGGCGGCAGGAGTGGTGCTGGAAAAGCAGCAGCCGACGACGCTAGCTGGCTGCATGCGCTGCGGTCAACAATGGGTGCTGATGACGCCAACACGTTGCATCAACGAAGTGTATCTGCCGTCGAGTCCAAGTCACCACAGGACTCATTTCTACAAAGTGGTGGAGGTAAGAAAGATGTCCAGTGTCAAATATCCATAAGGGCCAAAATGTCTCATAATTTCTAGCACAAAACCAGAGCATCCAATTTACCCTTCACTCAATGCATTTTTTTCAAGTACCCGGTCAACATTTTCACATTTGAAGAGAAAGAGAGAGAGAGAGAGAGAGAGAGAGAGAGAGAGAGAGAGAGAGAGAGAGAGAGAGAGAGAGAGAGAGAGAGAGAAGAGAGAGAGAGAGAGAGAGAGAGAGAGAGAGAGAGAGAGAGAGAGAGAGAGAGAGAGAGAGAGAGAGAGAGAGAGAGAGAGAGAGAGAGAGAGAGAGAGAGAGAGAGAGAGAGAGAGAGAGAGAGAGAGAGAGAGAGAGAGAGAGAGAGAGAGAGAGAGAGAGAGAGAGAGAGAAGAGAGAGAGAGAGAGAGAGAGAAAGAGAGAGAGAGAGAGAGAGAGAGAGAGAGAGAGAAGAGAGAGAGAGAGAGAGAGAGAGAGAGAGAGAGAGAGAGAGAGAGAGAGAGAGAGAGAGAGAGGGAGAGAGAGAGAGAGAGAGAGAGAGAGAGAGAGAGAGAGAGAGAGAGAGAGAGAGGGATAAAGGAGGGGGTGGCATGCTGTAACCATTGCTTGTAAGGCCTCCTTGAATATGAAGGCACACACAGTAGGTGTTTGTAGATGCCCAGTGTTCGTCGTATACCTAGCAAGCCATTGAAATTGTGTGTGTGTGTGTGTGTGTGTGTGTGTGTGTGTCGCCCAGCACATGGCCCTCGCAAGCGCTGGAAGGATTGCGTTGTCTCCGACTTAAGAGTTCGTGGCCTCGCCAAGGAATGGTACCCTATCGCCTGTGAGTCCCGTGCTGACTGGCGGACTATGTACGCCGAGCCTGTGGAGAATGTGCCTCAGCCTGACCCAGTGGTATGTGCGGATTGCAATCGGTCATTCTCGCGCCCTGGAGATCGTGCTCGCCACAAATGTGTGGTTGAGCGGGCAAAGCCGATTGCTGAGCAGCGAGGGGCTTGCCACTGTGGAGATTGTGGGCGTTGGTTTCGCAGCAAGGGTGGTCTAGCTGTTCACCGCTGTTCCGCACCTCAGCCTCAGCCTCCCGAGCCCCGGCAAGTCTATGTGCAAGATGCCTGCTGTGCTGCGCACTGTGCTGTGTGTGCCCGCTGCTTTCGGTCTGTGCAAGGCCGCGGTCGTCACCGGTGCTCGAGGACTGGCCCGCGCCCGACTGCCCAGCAGCGTAATTCGTTCAGCCATGTATGCGTGTGTTCTCGCCGGTTCCGTTTGCCCCACCATCTCCGGCGTCATCAGGCTGCGTGCTCCATCTTCCTCTCTGATGCCCCTCCGGGGTCCACGTGACCCCTGTGGCAGTGGCTCTACAGATACAGATACAGATACAGATACAGTGTGTGTGTGTGTGTGTGTGTGTGTGTGTGTGTGTGTGTGTGTGTGTGTGTGTGTGCATGTGCGTGTGCGTGTGCATGTGTGTATGTGTGTGTGTGTCACTGTGTGTGCATATGTGCATGTTATATACAGGTACAGAGAAGGCAGCCTGGCTGCATGTGATTGAGAGCTCGCAGCATGCCCGCAGTCAAAGCCACCCGGCCAGCTTTTACGTATGAGCAGCAGCAGCAGCAGCAGCACGTGCAACAGTCACGACGTGTGTACAGTCGCAGAAAGCCTTACCAACCTGGTACTTGCCACGGTCAGCCAACCATTGACCTACAACCTACAATCTACAACCTACAGCCTACGCAAACTTACCAATGCAAGATGTACAGGGCGAGCTCTGACGATGCTACATGCTGCAAGACATAGCCACCGACTGTTGAGCATGCTGTAACACACAGCCACCGACTGTTGAGCATGCTGTGCGGTTGCAAGACACAACCATCGACCGTTGAGCATGTTACACTGCAATGAGTCCCACACAGTGACACTGACCGAACATGCAGCTCTGGCTGGAGGAACAATGGCGAGCGATGAATGAAACACCATCCAACCATCACACACTCTGGTCAATGTAGCGATCTGCCAGTACATGTACTGAAAACAAAACACATCTAGGACTATTTCCGCATTTCCGATATATTTGAATTCGCAATACACAGAAGTCTATACCTCACAGATGCGTAGGGCTCAATTCTGAGTACTATGCGAGCTGTTCGTCTTTTTCTTTTTATTATTATATACATTTACGAAGTTACATTATTTGATCACTTATAACAAGAGATTGATCCCTGTGAACGTAGGATAATGCCGACGCCGAAGATGATGATGATGATGATGATGATGACGATGCCATCTTTTTAGATTTGTTTTGGGTTTCAGTTCCTGTTATGGCAACACAGGATTGAGTCTTTCTTCAGATTCTTGGCCTTAAGTTGGTGTTTTGATCATTTTTTTGTATTAGATATTGTCATATGTAAAGCACATTTGCTTTGCCCGTACAAGAGGCTGTTCCCCATAATGATGATGATGATGAAAAAATCACCAAATGCTTCCTTCCACAATAGTATTGAACTACTGTCCATGTCTCCTGGGACAGCCATCCGCATTACGTTTGCTGTTGCAGTAGCTGTGAGTTTACCAGATCTTTGAAAAATAGGACCAATAGACCTTGCATGCCTCCATTCGATAAAAAGCATTGAACACGAAAAGGTGGACGAGTCGCTTCAAGGCGCCCTGCTGTCCTGTTCCAATGCTGTTGTGTGGTGATGCCATTTCTTGCAGCAAATGATGATGAACGTGGCCTTGGCTGAAGCGCATATATCGACTGCAGGACCGGTGGAAGCAGGTTTCGATTGGTCCGGCCATAGCCCAGTCCTTCATACATACAGTTTGTGTATGATATGGAGGGTATACACATGACTTTCATACAGTTTGTGTATGATATGGAGGGTATACCCTAGCCTTACATACAGTTTGTGTATGATATGGAGGGTAGACACATGACCTCTTTCTTCAGCAGTAAACACACGTTGGTGGCCAAATGGTTGGTTGGGCCATGATGGGCTGACCAACCGTACCGGTTCCGCCTGGCCTGCACTGCACTGCATACAGTAGAGTCGCGCGCTGAAGAACGTGGAGCCCAAGAACGTCCAGCCTGAAATGCTAAGAACACCACAGCCTACGGCGGCGGTGTTGGATTTCTGGCACCTTGTGGGATACTTTGAAGTACCGTAAAGTACCGTTGATCCGCCCCCACGCCATGTCGCTTCCCAGCTGGGTTTTCGGCAGGGGGCGGGAATTAGATCAAGGCTGTCAAGTGCAGTACGATGTACAACAACGTAGAGGATCAGACTCAATGTGCTGGATTGTGCACATTTTGATCCTGGATTGGCAAGTATTGTGTACAGCAGTGCATGCGTCGGTTCAACATCGTATTTCGTTGTATACGCCAAAGTCGCTTCACAAGGAGAAAATCAACAGGGGGCGGGAATTAGAGAGGGGGCGGATCAACGGTACTTTACGGTACATACGATCCAGTACGGATTGTTTCTAAGAACGCAGCTAACCCCTTGGAAACAACGTTCTTGGGGTGCACTGCACTGCATAGGTGAATATGTTGTACAGTGGGATCCTAACAGGTGCTGGCAGCAGTAGATGGCGCAGCCGATGACGGATTGAAAGCAGAGACGGGAGAGCGGTGTACAGCTGAACCTCTACAACTCTGGAGCCATCTGCCACATGTGTGCACGACCTCAGACCTGCCCATCGCAGAAGCGATGATAGCGAACAGCAATGTTAGACAGCAACTTGTGCTGGGATTACACCATTCAACAGCTTGCAAGGCTGATGAATTGACCGCCACTAATTTTAGCCTGGTCTACACCAAGCAGCTGATTGAAGCGGATTTTTCCGGCCAGTGAATCCCTAACACACACACACACACACACACACACACACACACACACACACACACGCACAGAGTGTGTGTACCCACGCGCCGCACGTACACTATAAATTCAGACTGTTGAACGTTGCCTGACTCAGCCTCAGATCCATCCAAGACTGGGGAGCTGTGCAGCGCAAGATAAACTAATTCCAGACTAATAAACAGGCATTACGCATGTTATCATAGTCACCATGGTTACAACGGCCCGGCACTGGCCACATATGCAGCTAGCTGGTATCAAGTGGGAATAAAATTCAATAAAAAGACAAAAATTTGAGCGCCTGGAAAAGGAATTTTCAAATTATTATGATCCTCAGCATTGACTCCTGACGCTGTCGGTGTGTGTTTCGTGAATGTATGAGTTGCGTGCGGATATTTTGTGTGGGTTTTACAGGCACTGAGCATGAGCGCACCGTAAATAATAAATATTCTGAAAGATTTAGAAGCATGCCAGCCAGGTAGTGCTTGGCACATATATGACGTTTCAGAGCTAAAAAAATAAAATATAAATATGGAATGATAGGCAATTACTGTGAGTCCAGCTATGGTCATCAGCAGAATGTCATGAGCATGGAACCTTGAGGTGGCGCGGTGATCTTCAAAAATGCGTGTAAAGATAGCTAGGACGGCGTACGGAGGCAACTGTGCTTCAAATCTGCGCATACAGAGGTTGCCGCCATAGCTGAGATGCCCGCCAGAGTGTTCTGCGGAATGGAGTGTTGCACGCTTCCGGTCGGCATCGACGCTGGTGATGGTGCACAACTGAAGCACTTGTTAGCCCCGTCCGTCCTTTCTGCTTCCAGCACAGGCTATCTAGCAGCGCAAACGTTACTCATCCAGCGCATGGCTAAAGCGCGCACAGCCACGTGAGATACTGCATCGCCGCGCACTGGTCTAAAGACAGACATAGCAACAATAGCTATTACCAGACTTCAGTTGAGCCTGGGCCAGAGCCTGCCTCTGGTTGTGCTGTGTGTGGTACACTCACCTTGCAGCCGTTGGACGTCAGTAGTGGGAGCTTCCACTGCAAGCTTGGTGCTGCAAGCTTGGCTCTGCAAGCTCGGCTCTGCAAGTAGAGTGGTGTGTATGTGTTGTCGCTGTGTGTGTGATTGTACTCACAGCGTGTCACAGTCACCGGATGCCCGGCTGTGCAGTCAGTCGTAACGTCAACTGTCCTTGGCCGGGCTTCTTGGAAGGCAGCTGCTGCAGAGGCAGGTGTACGGTTTTAGACATGAGACCCTTGATGTCCTGTTGACCAAAGTAGGAATCCAGATAAAGTGTAGCCGATCCCAGTGCCGTGTCGTCGCTAATCGGGTTCCAGTCCTTCACCTGAAAGTCAAGACTGCCGTTCAGGCGACTGATCATCTTCACTTTGAACTCCTCGTCCCTGGTCGCATGGGAAATTGGCACAGAAAAGGACAGTATGAGCCCCAAGAGCCGATACATAAACTATAAAAACTAGAATAACAGACGATACCTAGGCAGACTGGTCTTCTTGACTGGTCTTCTTGACTGAAGGGGGGGGGGGTACCCATGCCATATTTAGGGGCGTCACAGGGCAGTGAGGAGTGGTACAACCGGGGATCCGGGATCCTCCCCTGGGGGGGGGGGGGGGAGAAGGCGTGTGCGCCGATGCCCTTAAAGGGGGGGGGGGTTCGGGGGCCTCCCCCCGAAAAAATTTCAAAAAATGAAGCAAAATCCTGCATTTTGAGTGAAAAAAGGGGGGGTTCCGGGCACCCAGGAACCCATACGGGGCACGCGCCTGGGGAGCAACACACTGACACATTGGTAGATATGCCAAGGAGAAAAGCGTTACTTTTTCAATTTCCTGACGTTCAGCAAAATATGTGTTTCTGGTTCAAGTCTTGCAGACTGTGCAGGCAGTGGAAACTCTGTTTCCAAAAAGAACACACATTGTGTCCATGACTCAACTAGGGCATACATGTCTGGTTGCTAGGGCATACTCGAAGTACATGTCTGGTTGCTAGGGCATAACACGAGCGACGTACCACACCGGCGTTGCAGACTTCTTGATTGTCTTGGTGCGATACACCTTCTCGTTCTCAACGCGCACCTTGATGTAGGCATCACACATACCTGATCGAGTACAGGAGACACAAGCATCACACAATCATTACATCATGTATCCGCTCACACCAAGCACAGAAGCTAGGAGACCCACCACACAATCATTACATCATGTATCTGCTCACACCAAGCACACACAACCGGGCTTACTTTTGCACAAGTTTTCGCTAACACCAAACACCAGACATTTGAACCATGCATAACTTATTCTACAAGTAGTTCACTGTCATGCTACTTGTACTTGTGTGACTAGAATGCAGTAGAACCTGTCAAGATGACCACTCTGATAGGACAACCATCTGCCATAGAGAAGGGCCACAACTAGGACCGAGACATGACTGTTATTTCCAGGTCACATGACCCAGTGAACAAGGAGACCAGGTCACATGACCCAGTGACTCCTTCTAGGCCTAGCCCAAATTTGCTCGGGGCGCTTCGATATTTTGCCGGCATATTTTGCCCGATCACCTTCCATATTTTGCTCGGCATTGCCTTTCGTTTCCGATATTTTGCTCCATTTTGCTCCTGCTTTGTGGCAAAAATGGCTTCGAATGAACCGTCTACTTTGGTAAAAGTGGATGGTGACTCTGATGAGGAAAGCAAAACTTATAATGGTGTCAGTATTACGGATTTGGTAGCATGATTTCAAATTTATGTACCACTGACAACCTGCACGAGCTATTTCAGCACGACGTTGGCCCAATGAAACCAAAGAAATTTGAATAAAATTGCCAAAACACACCCGGATCCTCTGTAAATTCGATATTTTGCTCGGAATTTGCCAGCAATTTCTTTTCGTTGGAAAATTCGATATTTTGCTGGAAGAATTGCCGGCAAATTTGGGCTAGGCCTAACAAGGAGACCAGGTCACATGACCCAGTGAACAAGGAGACCAGCTGTACACAGACACCACACTTTGAAGGTCCCTTGAGCGGTGGTAGCCTTAGACAGGTCTCTTTTTTTCTTTTCTTTCTTTTTTTTACTGAATACCACAGAACCATCAGATGCTTGCTGCACAGCGGGGGCGGTGGCATACTTGCCATACATACAAGTACAGTGTATAGATAAACCAGGGAGAGCAACGCCGGTCACATTGGCCTATGCTGGAATCGTTTGCTGACGGCAACTCACCTCCTTTCGGTTTCAGGTTTCTACCCTCTGCAAAGAGCAAGAATAGAGCACAAACAAGACATGTACAGTCATGTACATACTAGTTAAATAGATACCTCGCAACTACCAAAGTACAGTAGGCTCAATACCAATGGTAAATGCCAGCACTATGATCCTTGAACTAAAATCAGCAGAGGACTTCACACGGGTGAAGAACGTACGCAAAGGCACACAGAACGTTTTAAATGATAGGAACCTCTGCTTTGCTGCCTGGATTGGCTCTGCTGTGCGCTAACTACACATACCAGTGCTTGAGAGAGAGAGAGAGAGAGAGAGAGAGAGAGAGAGAGAGAGAGAGAGAGAGAGAGAGAGAGAGAGAGAGAGAGAGAGAGAGAGAGAGAGAGAGAGAGAGAAAGAAAGAGAGAGAGAGAGAGAGAGAGAGAGAGAGAGAGAAACGACACTTGACTAGGCTCTGCCTGATTCTGCTATGCAAACCGAGTATTGGCATAAGCTGTCATAATGATTTAAAAAAATCACGGTTCGCTTGAGACTCATTTAGACTAAGTTTCAGTATCCGTAGGAAATCCACCACCCTGCAAAGATCTATCTATAGCTATGGCAATATGTGCTATGCTAGCACAATGTGACATGAGAGGGCACTGCATGGTTAGGGAGCGGGAGACAGCGCTCGGCGTCACTCACGTTTGATCATGACAGTGAGAGAGATGACTTGGTCTTGCGTCATGGATGGCGGCTGCTGTTGTATGAGCGAGTCGGCCATCAGCTGGCTGATCATAGGCATATTAGCCTGGTGACACATGCATGCGAGTAGAGCAAAGAGCATACAACAAACACAGTGCAGCATAGAGTTAAAGGGATGCAACAAATCATGTTTTCTTCAAAACGGACTCTCTCAAATCTTGCCATCGATCTCAAATCTTGCCATCGAACGAACAAGTGTTCTACTTCCAAGTATATTCTTGCGGCGTGTCTCTTTCACATCACTGGCTTAGCTGTCACACAGAGATTGCAGGAGTGTCAACAGCACACCATCACTGATGAACGAGCAGGTGTGACCAAAACGAGCACCACCCTTCTCAGTATATGTGTTAGGTGAAAGGAAAGTTCAACTATTGGAACTTTTGATAACATGTGCTGCTCCGAGTGTAATCATAAGCATCAATATGATGCAGATGAAGAAATGTAAAGATCTAGCAAACACGAGGAGACTGTGCAAGTGTGCAATCAAAGGCTATACATTGAGAATCCCAGGATGTGGGGGGGGGGGGGGCTCTAGAACAGACCGACATGCATCTTTATGATTAGTTTGTCAGTGCCATGTTGTATGCATGTCAGTGTGAGTACTTACATGGGCTGCTGCTGGAGCTGCGTTGTTATCTGGACAGCACACAGCACACAAGGCATGGGACACAGCACACGGCACACAGTACACAAAATGCGGGGAAAGTGAGGATGAGTGACAGGCAGCATAGTGAACCAGCACGCAGGGAAACCTTTCACTATAACAAAACATGGTTTAAATATTTCAAATGCAGCGTACACAGAAGGTGTTTTTGTAACGTTTCCGGCTCAATGCTCATTCCTAAAAGAACGAACAATGAGCTCAATAGAGTAACCAGGACTAGTCAAGTGACGCACAGCTAAGCAATCTCGATCATCAGATAAAATAATTCCCCACAACAAAGTTACACACCCTGGAATATAGTCCATATGAACGATAATAATGTGTATTGTGAGCATGGTCGGAAGACAACCAGCACACACACATGAACTTCCACACACACACACACCTCAGACCTCAGACATGCCCATCGCGGGAGCGATGATAGCGAACAGCTATGTTAGACATAGCAACTTGTGCTGGAATTACACCATTCAACAGCTTGCAAGGCTGACGAATTGACCGCCACTATTTTTAGCCTGGTATTCACCACACAGCTGTTTGAAGTGACTATTTCACACACACACACACACACACACACACACACACACACACACACACACACACACACACACACACACACACACACACACACTTGCACACATGCACACGCGCGTGCACACACACACACACACACAAACCATCAAGCCAAACAAGGTGGTAGTGTGCTAACCTCTGACTCCAGGAGCCGGGTTTGATATTCTCACTCCTACACCCCTGTGCTGCAAGAAAGGAAGATCCTCTTCTTCATCCTGCCAAGCAAACAAACAAACGAACAAAAAATACACACACACACGTACACATGCACACACACAAGCACACACGTACACACATGTGCATGCACACATGCACATGAACAAACACATACACACACAAACACACATACACACACACACATCAGCTTACGGATACGCTACAGTAACCCATCCAATTGAAGCGAGGACGTGTCTTGAGCTACAACTCCTTACGCTCTTGTTATCAGAATATGTGCACACAATCCACTTCCAAGACAATGACGCCATGTTCACACAATCCACTTCTAAGACGATGACGCCATGTTCACACAATACACTTCCAAGACAATGAAGCCATGTTCCTGATCAACACCCACCTCAACCTCATGGTAGGGGAAGAAGTCATCAAATGTTGAGTTTTCCTCATCCAAGTCCAATGCTAAACCTTCAGCTGCACACGCCAACAACACAAACATGTAACATGCAACATCTATACTACATGTATCTATCAAGGGATAGAGACAAGACAATCATGTACACCGGCAGCAAGTGAATGCCACCAATCCACTCACACCAACCAGTAGCCTCAGAAACGGAAATTAATGTTGAATTTCGCACATCTTCATGCACAGTCAAAGGCTGCGTTCGTTTTTAGCTACCTGGTAGAGTCGAGTAGAGTCACTCTACCGATAGAGGTAGATTGTAGAGTTAAGTGCACGAACGTTGTTCTACCGGATTTAGTAGTTTACACGATGTGTACGTGAAATGTTTCTTTTTTGTATGGAGTTGTGTACAAATCCTTGATCTTGCTGGAAATCCCGTAGCTCTACCAACTTCTACCGGCTTCTACCAACTTTTACCTGGTAGAGCCGGTAGAGGAAAGTAGAATCTACCCTTTTGAGTAGAATTTTTTTCAAAAAACAAACACCTCTACCGAAAGAAGTAGTTTCCAGGGCCTGCTCTAGACATTCAACACAGCCCGGTCAGAGTGTACCTGGCACATGCAGGCCAGCCGGGTCAAGTCGGGTCAGATCATCCGGCAGAAAAACAACCAAAAAGCCTGCTCAAAACGCAGGAAAACAGAAAGGCGAATTTATTACCGGAAATCGGAAATTTTAGAGAACAAGGCGAACTATCAAAGTCCGCGAACGTAGAAGGTAAACGACATTACGTGAAGAATGTAAAGCAGTTCCATTGGATTCTGATTTAACAATTTGAAAAAAAGGAATTCTGTTTTCTAATTAGTGCTAGTAGCATGACGAACATGTTCACATAATAGAGCACTGGGGGGGGGGGGGGGGGGGGGGCTGCAGCACCTTGTGGAGTGGCTGCTTCCTGCCACTGCATCACCTGCATGGCCAAGCCGACTGGAAATGCGTCTTGCACAAAGCGCATGACATGGATGGACTGGCGTAGTCGTAGTCCAGCCAGGGTCGCCCTTTCTTCCAAGAGTCTTGGAAAGCGTGAGTTCTTTTTCTCTTCGCTGCGGGCTCCATCGTCCAAATCACCAGTGGGCTGAAAACTTGCAACTGTGTCAAAAGCTATAGCCAAAGTTACGCTTTTGACCGCCTGCCCCATCGACTTTGAATGTCCTGACTTCCTGCTTGCCGCTGACCAGATCGCGCTCGAACCAGTTGACCCCGGTTGACCCTAGTCGAGTTTCTGTCGCTTGTAGACTGTTGTGTACATAGTCATTATATTATAGTGTGTACGGTTGCGCTAGATTTGCAACACTGTCCAACAGATGGGGTCCGCGAGTCGTAAAATACCGGTATTTTAGGAATCCATTGTCAGTTTGAGACATTTTTCAGCCGGGTCTGACTGGACCCGGTGTTATCTGTTCAGCCAGGTCGTGCAGTTCCCCAGCCGGGCGGGTGACCCGGCTGACCCGGCTCTCCAGCAGGCCCTGATTTCTGTAGATCAAAAACGAACACCCCCTAAGTTAACCAGCTCAGGTATAAAGGCTGTATACAGCGCAGCAGCAGCAGCGGCAGCAAAACACTGTACCTCGTCGGAAGGAGATGGTACAATGCACCTGTGGCAGCATAATGTCACCATCCTTCTTCTTGTTACGCCTTTCATCATACACCAGACAGTGCATACACACACACAACACAGACACACATAAACACATGTACACACGCACACGCACACACGCACACAACATGCACAACACACTGATCAATACATTGAATCATGGCAAACAAACAGGATCATGAGATACTAGTATTATAAGGTGACAGCTACAAGAGGCATGGAGCCAGAGACTGGTTTTCAAAGGGTATAATGATACATGTCATCACTGGACTACTAGTAATGTGCTGTAGTTGTTTCTATGCACCCATATGGAGCTGTTACAGCACCTCTATCACAAGACCACATGGGGCAGGGCAGCCATGTTGGTTCCACTCAACCCCTGCATCTATGGGTCACATGATGTCAGCCATGTTGGTTCCACTGTCCACATGACATGATTACTTTCTACACAAATCTAGTCACATGACCAAGATGTAACACTACAGCGGAATTCATGGAATACACAAGACTTATCTGCAGGCCCACATTAGCGTACATACAATACTGTAAGAGTTGAAAGTTTGACGGGACGATTTTGCAATTTCCCCACAAGGTGGCGCAAAGTTAAAAGACCCTGCCTTAACACATCCGCCTTGTATTCCTCCAGTACATGTACAGAGGAAAGAAGGAATAGCAGACGTGTAACGTTTCTTGAGCTAACAAATTTGTTTTCTCGTTAAAATGTTAGACTTTGTCAAGTTTGTGACTCGTTTGACATTCAACTCTTAGAGTAGATAGAGACTCAGTGACCAGTGTCACTCTGTGCAGGGAGATGCCTGCCTAGACTTACATGATGATTTCTTTGGCTGCTTCAAAGCTACGCTTGATAAGCTTGTCGGACTTACTATCCATGGGGTTCTGAGAATAGGGCACAGCAACACAATGATACCAATCATACCAATGATACCAATGATACCAATGTACAATCATAGTCTGCAATACATGACTGTACACCGCTGCCATTCAGAATACCCATACAATCATGCATGCTGCTAGGATGATAGTTGTGGCATGCTAATTCTAGACTGAAGCCAGGGGAGAGTGTGTTGAGGCGACGTTGTGGAGAATCTATGGATCATTCTCAAAGCACGAGTGTACAAGGTATGGTGTCATTTATAATCTTCCCAGAGCATACCTTCACCAGTTGCATCGATGGTCATGAACACACACACACACACACACACACACACACACACACACACACACACACACACACACACACACACACACACACACACACACACACACACACACTTACACTAACACACAATCTTACACTAACACACACTCTCTCCCTTACCACGTCCAAATCACCTCCACCATCACGCCGACTGACCCACTTCTGCCAATGGACAGTGGTTGATTCGTCATGGGAGAAGCCTGGGATGTTGTACTTACGACTGGGCCAAACGAGAGCATACACACGCACAGCACCCACACACACACCCACAAACAGACAAACACACACACACAAATACACATGCACATGCAATTTTACATACTAGTACAGTACTGTACTGCGCTGAAATTGTTGGTGGTGATTCGACAGTTTGATGGTATGATCTATAGACACACCATAACGTGATAGAACTGGGGCAGGAGCATGGAAAGGACCTGAGAGTATGCTAGTGACAGTTCAACACATCAGCACTATGCTAACTCACTCTTTCATGCTCTTTCCAGTGCCGGTCATCTCGTCGGCATAGAAACGAAGAGTGGTCTTCTTGTCATCTAAACTTGTACTCTGCAGAAAAGAGGTGAGTTAGTGTGAGAGAGGGAGAGAGAGAGAGAGAGAGAGAGAGAGAGAGAGAGAGAGAGAGAGAGAGAGAGAGAGAGAGAGAGAGAGAGAGAGAGAGGGGGGGGGGAGAGGGAGGGAGAGAGAGAGAGAGAGAGAGAGAGAGAGAGAGAGAGAGAGAGAGAGAGAGAGAGAGAGAGAGAGAGAGAGAGAGAGAGAGAGAGAGAGAGAGAGAGAGAGGGAGAGGGAGAGGGAGAGGGAGAGAGAGGGAGAGAGAGAGAGAGAGAGAGAGAGAGAGAGAGAGAGCAAGACAAATCTTCGTCATCAATAGAGAGGTTCCGCACTCCGTAAAGCTGAGCAGCTTTACGTTAGTGGGCGGGAAAAGCCCGGGAATTCGCGAGTTTGCACTCCACTTACGGAAAGTTGTCTACGTAGAGTACGTAGATAGGGCTCTGATAACGTAGCTGGTCCGAAAGTGGATTGGGGTACAAATTTATGACTCTCTCCCCAGGTCGATCTGGTCGTACACTGCCGCGTTCGGAGTTGCCAAGGGCAGCTACGTGATTTGAAAACTCCGTATGGCGGAACACAGATGCGCGTGCAGTTTACGTAAGACTTTCCGTAGATCGACTACGTTTTTTACTAACGTAATTACGTTATGCGGAACCTCTCTAATGACTGGATATGATGTCAGTTACACACCCATATTCCATGAGGGAGATCAAACATATACAATAACAACAACCACACGAGAAATGAACAGGAAATTAGAAATACAACAGTATCAACACTACATGGTTAACACTGTACATAACCTACCTCTCCGCCAACTGGGTGAATAACGCCTTCGTCAGTCGTTGACGGCTAAGCACACACACACACACAACGGAAAACGACTCGAAGGAGCAACAACCTTGAACTTTCTACATGAACTCCGAAAGCACCTGTTCGCACTACCTAGTCTAAAGCCCAACAACCAGGCACTAAACAAAAGCAGCGCAGCACAGCACAGCGCGGCACAGTACAAGCCCCGGTGCATCCGCAAACGTGCGCGAAAAGGACAGAAGCACTTGACCGCTCAAGTCTACGGTCAATGCACCACGAATGCAAGCATACTAGAAGCAGATGAGTAGCAGTACAGCACAATCACGCATGTGACACGTTGGTTCAGATTTCGGGATCTTCTGAACACACACGGCATGCATGTAACTGGCGTGTGACAAGCAGGAATGAGTAGGGTACGGTGTGTGTGTGTGTGTGTGTGTGTGTGTGTGTGTGTGTGTGTGTGTGTGTGTGTGTGTGTGTGTGTGTGTGTGTGTGTGTGTGTGTGTGTGTGTGTGTGTGTGTGTGTGTGTGTGTGTGTGAGCTCCCAGCAGGCAGCTGGGCGTGTGTGCTGACAACTTCTGCTATGTATCAGCACAATGCCTGCATCAAACTACTTACCAACATTGTCTGCAGGAAAGCCACTGCAGATTGTCTGTCCTCGAAGTGTCGGTGCGTAGTCAACTGATCAATGAGCTCTCTACAAGACAGTGAGGAGAGAGAGAGAGCTTTTACTAGTTAGAAGACCCCCTCCCGACTCCAGCACCCCCTCCTCCCCCCTCCCAGACTCCAGCACCCCCTCCCCCTCCGACTCCAGCACCCTCCCCCCCCCCCCCCCGACTCCAGCACCCCTCTCCCCGCCCAGACCCTTTGATATGTACTAAACTGTAGATACTGTGTGAAAAGCAGTCTTCATCTTGAGTTCGTCATGTCTAGTTGTGTTTCCGTAGTAGTCTTGTAATAAACAGTCTTCAAAATGTGGTTATCGTCGCCCATTGTATAAGTGTGGAGACGACACGGGACTGGGAGCAGGTGGAGAAAGTATAGATAGAACAAAACCTCATGACTTTATCCACATGTTAAGGAGTTAACTTTTGTTGAAGTATGTACGCTAGCATGCAAAGGAAACTGACACCGTTGGTCACCACCCCTCGATTCCTCATAGCGCAATTCACTAGAACTAAGAAAGGGTTTGCTCCCCACACCGGAGCTCGCGCTATTCCGCCGACTTTACTTGACACTTGACTGACTCACGACTGCCATCCAGAGCACACGAGAAGTCCATCGAACCTTCGACTCGGCAAACCTGCAAGAAAGCACCACTCCCTGCTCAATACACAGCCTCAGCCTACTCAAGCTCAACTGATGAGGGGTGAATTCCCCGAAACACTGTGTATTGAGCAGGGAGTGGTGCTTTCTTGCAGGTTTGCCGAGTCGAAGGTTCGATGGACTTCTCGTGTGCTCTGGATGGCAGTCGTGAGTCAGTCAAGTGTCAAGTAAAGTCGGCGGAATAGCGCGAGCTCCGGTGTGGGGAGCAAACCCTTTCTTACAAATCATCGCCGAAGTCGCAACCACTACTTCGTACTGTTGTGTCCAGCGCGGGCTTGCGACTAGTTGGTTTGGAGGTGACAGCGTTGCGAATGACCGAGGGTCCTCGACGTCTGTTTCACCGTCCAGGAGCGACACTGACTCACGCTGCTATCTGGTGTTCACGAGGTGTTTATCGCGCTGGAAGCGGAGCGTCTCTGTAAGTTTGTATCCCTGGTGATGTTTGTGCCTGGAGAGCACTATATAAGTGGTGCTCTTCAGGCACAATCTTCCTCAGCCTACTCAAGCTCAACTGATGAGGGGTGAATTCCCCGAAACACTGTGTATTGAGCAGGGAGTGGTGCTTTCTTGCAGGTTTGCCGAGTCGAAGGTTCGATGGACTTCTCGCGTGCTCTGGATGGCAGTCGTGAGTCAGTCAAGTGTCAAGTAAATACGGCGGAATAGCGCGAGCTCCGGTGTGGGGAGCAAACCCTTTCTTACAAATCATCGCCGAAGTCGCAACCACTACTTCACTAGAACTGACAGCTATATCAGTCACTGAGTTTTGTTTGTTTGTTTCTGTAGCAAGTAGTCAGGGAATGAGTGAGCCACACTGTACTACTATATACAGAGTACATGAGAGCATGGTGGTAAGCTCAGGGTAGTGAAGACCACGTGGCAAGTGACATGCGATCGAGCACGGATTTGGAAATACGTGCAGAGGATGGGACGGGCGCACGGGGACTCACCTGACCATAAAGCAGTTCTGAAACGTACGCAAGTGATGCTTGAAATCCCGACACAGGGCGTTCTGCAGTACAGAGTACATCAACACATGTGTACACGTGCACAGACATGCACAGACGTGCACCCAACCACCCACCCACACACGCACACACACACACATATGTGCGCCCACCCACACATGTGCACACATGTGCACACACACACACACACACACACACACCCACACACACACACACACACACACACACACACACCCACACACACCCCCACCCACACACACACACACACACATACATACCCCCACCCACACAATCATGTTCTCTCTAATTCATCTATTACAGGTTCTTCTATTACGAAAGATGTTGAGACATCGGCGGTGATTAGTGAAGAAAGTGTCTGCTCCGAACGTCGGAACTCGCACTTCCTGCCGACTGACTTAACACTTGACGGTTCTTCTATGGTTTTGGTTAATAGATATTCAATATGCCACAATCACCACCCCAGATTCAATAGCAACTCATTGGAGCACAATGGAGCATGGACAAACAGCACAGGAGATGATGTCATCAATCTAAGGTAATGATACAATGATCCAAGCATATACTGAAGCGATGATGTAATCCAAGCATACCCACAAAAGATATGACTAAAATTAACGACGCAATCTAAGCAATGGTATACATACTTGATGCACGAAGCAGTAAAACCACTCGGCCGTATGGGCCGTGTGGTTGGCGCATGCGTCCGTGTCACTGGCCACCTTGGATGTGCGCATCACATGGCCGCCGAGTCGTGGACTTGAGCCGGTGCTGTCGGTGCGATGGCACGGCTCATGCATACTCACCGACTTCGTATTGGCTAGAGGCCGCTGTACACTGGATGGGCCGCTGGGCGGGCCACTGCTGGCCATGTCCTCCTCGTCACCCTGTCACACAACACACAGTTATGCACAACAATATTGAATCTACTTGACATGCGACATTCACAACACACAGTCCATTCGACATTGAACCGACCACTTGGCTTTAGTGAGAAAGCAGACCTTGCTGAGGTGTGGGTATCATAATATTGTATACTCTAATTTCAGAAATTTTCGGTGCTCAATATTTTCGGTAAGAGGGCAAAAGGCCAGGTTAGGTGAACAGAAATTTTCGGTACAGAGAAACTGTTCCCTATTGGATTATGCGTGTTAGTGTTTGTTCGGTGTATTGAAATTTTAGGTATGAAGCAGATACACCGAAAGTACCGCAAATAAAAGTAAACCGAAATTTTGTGAAATTACAGTATCACGTTATTGTCGGTGTAACTTAAATTTCGGTAATTTCGGTAGAGAAACCAGGTACCTAAATTTAGATAACGCATAACATGGCACTGGAGTATGCACTGTATGTGCAGGGAACGCTGGTTACCTGATTCTACATTACACCTGAAACCTGACAGGTCCCTGGCACTGACATTTTACCACACCTAAAAATACATGTTATACAGTACTATGCTCACATGGCGTTCTCATTCTCATGCATTTCTACACCTCCCTGAACTGGCCAGTGATAACACAAAGCAAGACCACTGCACACCTCCCTGAGTCCCTGAACTGTCCAGTGATAACACAAAAGCAAGACCACTCACACTGCTGTTGCCAATGTCCATGTCTCGCTTCAGAGGAGTGTGTTGATCCTCATGGGATAGGGACTGCAAAGCAAGCGACACAGACGTGCACACACACAGACACACGGAGAGACAGACAGGCACACACTTACTGATGCCCAAACACCAATCATGTCACCCATTTCAAGGCACAACAAGAAAGGGACGTTATCGCAGATTCGGCCGTTACGTAAACTGCACTCTTGGCCACAAGAACATACAGTCGACCTTGCAAATAACAGCCCTCGATCGGGCATGCGAAAGTGTTGCTATTTGCGAGAGTTGTCGTGATTTACAAGGCTGGAAGTGTGCAGTCACATGGATAGTAGGTCTGAAGATAGTGATACTATTCATGAGTTGTTGTTATTCATGAGGTTGACTGCATTCCTAAAGCAGAACTGTGTGTGTGTGTGTGTGTGTGTGTGTGTGTGTGTGTGTGTGTGTGTGTGTGTGTGTGTGTGTGTGTGTGTGTGCCTGTGTGGTGTTGTTGTTGCATACAGTATTTATAGTGGGAATGAAAACAGGCATACTATAAATAAAGCATACCACAACAACAACAACAACAACAACAACAACAACACCCCCCCCCCCACCCACACACACACATAGTTCTGTTTTAGGAATACAGTGTACACGGCGTCTCAGCTTCTCACATATGATGAGCCCTGCGCTCGCTTCAAGTCAACGAATCAGACTTGCTTTTCGCAAACGAAACGAGCCTCACGCCCAAACCACGAGCAGTACAATTTGTGTTGGGCTTTGTCCATGGGCCAGTTACCAAGCCAACCCAAGTCAAGGCGTGAAGCACTGGGCATGGTCATCTGCTGCAGTGTTGAAGTGGTGCAATATGGAATACAGTTAGTGACACAACTACTGTATTTGTACCATGATAAGTGGCAATCCTTCAGAGAAAGAACGAGAGAGCTTGGAAGCTCAGGGCCCTACGCTATGCTTTGTTGCTTAGCTCATCGTGCATGTTGTTAGAACTGATGGAAATATTTCCTGGGACCAGCGCTGACTCTGCCGATCACGGGCGTTCTGGAGTCGACGGGATCTCTCTTCCGACGTTTCCTGTGACCGGCGCTGACTCGCCCGTTCACGCTTATTTTGGAGACGACGGGATCTCTCTTCCAAAGTATGTTTTTGCTGACGCATCCTATCACCTATTCGGCAACTAACGTCCATTCTAATTGCATTTCCTCCTCGTCTCCCTATCTCTTTCCAGAAATTCTCCCTATACATCAGGAAGTCGTATACACAATACGACGAATATTGTGGCCAGCTGTTTGTGGCCAGCTGTGTTTGATGGTACGGTACGGGACAGATACGGGAGCCAGCAAATATTGTGGCCAGCTGTTATGTACAATCCTGTAGAGCCTTTGTAGTCACAGATACGGGACAGATACGGGACAGATACGGGATAGCTCCAGGCGTGACACAAACAAACAAACAAACACCAAATTAAAGCTGTGTGGACCCTGGCTAGCGCCAGACGTTACTGAAGTAACGTCTTCTGCATAGCTACGGGAATTAAACACTGCTTGCTGTGACTGGCCGCGAGATATCTTACCGGGCCAAGCTGCAGCACGATCTTCCCATCAGAACTCTCAACTGAAAAATATGCACACACAAAACACACACACACACGCACACACACACGCACACGCACACACACACACACACACACGCACACACACACACAAGTCATTCGATTTAGACTACGGCCTGACATAGAAGTCAGGATAGGATCATCATGCAGGCAAGTAGATTACTAGGCTGAGGACTGTGGAGAATCCAGTATGGAAACAATAAATGCATGTCTCTGTTAGGTACCTCCTCCCGTACAACCTTTTCCAAGCTGGCCTGCATGCACCCCATACTACGTCGTACTCACCTTTTGTCTCCTTTTGGCATCTTTTGTTCCGTTGGCCTGGGTAGCTACTTGCGCTCCCATATTTGCCATAGCTACCCAGGCCCTTTATCTTGCCGTTCTCAATTGATCTCTCTCTCTCTCTCTCTCTCTCTCTCTCTCTCTCTCTCTTGTCTCTCTCTTCCACAATGTAGTCGTTCCATTCGTCTTGGTCTCCGTCTCCTCGTCTCCCCAATAAATGTTGTTCGACCTAACCTGTTCCCGTTGTCTGTTGGCTCTGGAGAGTATGTCGTTGTCCTTTTCGTACTCAACATCTCTGTTGAATCATGTCGAAGACAGTCAAGAGTTTTGTCCGTCGCATTACTTCTCCCACCCATGCTGGTCATGGTGGGAGACAGTCCCCGGACTTTTTAGAAAGTAGCACTGACTCGACGCCTAGAGCAAAGCCCACCAAAAGAAAGCCCGAGAGCCCGAGCGAGAGCTTGTGCCCGAGCATTGAAAGTGATGAGCGGACCGTGTCAGGGACACGTAAAGCAGCCTGCAAGTCAGGAAGAGATGCTGCTACCCAAGACCCCGGCCCAGGACCCAGTGACCATTGTATGTGTGAATCCCAGCAGCACGTATCCACCCTACTACAGTCAGTAAGTACTGGGAGAGCTCAAACAAGAATTGAAACAAGTCGTAAACCGCTAAATACAAACACTGGCGGAAGGTCTGCTGGCGCCGATTGCGTCACGCATCAGTGATCTCGAGGACTGCGCCCAGCAGCAGTGCGAAGATATCAGCCGCATCAGCGCAGAAAACAAGAAGCTGCGCAAGACAGTAGACCAGATTGCCGCAAAAACAGGCGAGGCTGTAATGTCCGCCATGAGCAACATGGAGAAGAAGCTTGGCGCCATCATGTCTGCTGAAGCTGGCGCCGACCACTTGTCCAAATTGGGACCCCGTAGATCTACGCCATTATGGACCGGCTTGGGTTCATGCAGTACTGCGGCCATAACCGGCAATGACATCTGTGACATGGTTGACGATATCGCGGATCTGCGCACCCGCGACAACAATGTCATACTTCGCAGCCTAAAAGAAGACACGCACGAGAAGATCTGCCCGCACTCATTGCAGCACGTGCTCCCGACTTGAAACGCGACGACATAATTCTAGTTCCGCGACTTCAAGGGAGAAGGTACCGCGTTACAGATTCCACTGATTCTGCCAGTGCCAGCGCTAGCACTGCTCAGCCACCACGCCCTGTATTCTGCCAGTGCCAGCGCTAGCACTGCTCAGTCACCACGCCCTGTACGCGCTGTCCTCACAGCAAGGGGAAAGCTCACCTAATGCGAAACAAAACTTGCGCAAGGATAAACGGGCAACCTGTAAGTTATATGTCAGCCACGATCTGACGCGCCAGCAACAGCAGAGGAATGTACACTATTCATTGCCGTGGAACCCAAAGCGCAAGTCTTTGTAGGCAAAACTACAGACTCGGTGCACAAGAAGAAACAGTATGTTTTCTGTACTACATACCATCCGCACTTTGTCAGAGCAAATTATCGCTCCCTTCTGAAGCAGTCACTTTTTCACTGATTCTCAGATTTTCTTTAGAAGAACCAAGCAGGTTTTTTTGCAATTAGTTAACTCTTACGGCAGAGCATACTTTGCTCCTCTGATGAAGCACTCTACGTGCAGAAACCGGTCAGGTCTCATCAATTGTATTGTAATAGTATGAATTATAAACTAACTACTGTGCCTTTGTTGTGCCGGGAGATGTTTGTCTCCCATCGATGTGTCGGGAGTTGTCCTTCCAGAAACTCATTATGAGAACAACAGGCCACCGCAATGCACAATCTCTAATGGCATACTCCAACCCGAGTGAAGCTGAGAAATTGTCTACTGCTCGCCTACTTGACCGGGAAATGAGTGCTTCGTCAGCTCGGCCTACCTGTGACATTGACGACTTGATTGCCTCTTGCACCGGAGAGGAGCTACAACAGCTTGAAAGTCGCTCTGCTCCCACCGCTAGTAGCAGAACGGAAGTGGCCGCACCTATTAGCCACATGCCAACCGAGGGCAAAGGTGTGGTCTTGCTGTCTGGATCTTTCGCTGGTAACGTTACAATACACAATCACTTCCATTAATGTCTGCAGTCTATGTGTAGTTCTGTTGAAATCCTCTGTATATAGCCTTCAAGATCTCTTTCCGAAATACTCAACATGTACCTGTACACAGTACAAGTACATTATATACTCATCTTCTAAATCTTCTCAATTGTTTCTTATTCTTCCAGGTAATTTACTCTCTCCGTCTCACTTGTATTTGTGCTATCATGATCGACAACCATTCATTTTGAATATGATAAGATGGACACCTTACGACACTATGAATGCTGCGGTTGTGTGCTGACATGGCAATGGATGGCTTCCAAGAGTACACAACCCCCCATGATGATTATTGTAGGACAGGTTCAAACAGTTGCCGCCACACTTCATGAATGCACGTGGTTCAAGGTAGGGTTGTGTAGTCGCGCCGGAGGGATAAATGCATTATCCCATTCGCACTCTGGGTATACCGTATCTCTCATAGTTTCCCCGTACCTTTGGTACTCGGGAAAATATTCGACGATATCCCCCTCGTACTCGTGGGATAATGCCACTTGCTCTGCATTTTGGTTGGTTCCAGAAATTGCTGGAACCGACCAAAAACATTTGTACAAACCTACAACTTTCACCTAGTTCAACCCTATGGTCCAGTGACTTTGGACAGCTTTACAACTTTTCACCTAGCTCTTTCCTAAGGTTCACGCTACACATTTGTATTAGCCACATTTGCACCAAGACAATTATTTTACTGCATTGCTACACGCTCAGTTACTGGTGCATAGTGCAACATGACTAGCAACTCTCTCCTCTTCACACTATGCCAATCCAAGCCTACTGTGTATATAAGCTAGTGGCGTAGTGGTTACTGCCTCATTCTTCATCCTCTGATGAAGCATTCTAATTGAAGAAACCGGTCAGGTATCAATAACGTTAATATTGTAACGTATGAATTATAACTAAAATTACTGTGCTCTTGTTGTGTTGGGAGTTCAATGCATCTTCCCTGATTGCCTATTTAAATATCTGTAAACTGCATGAAGTTCAATACATTCTATTCAAACATAAAATTGACGTCCTAGCAATTTCGGAGATATGGCTAAAACAGCAATCCCTGACGGCTCAATCAAACTGCCTGGCTACGAAGTACACAGAAGAGACCGCAAGCTAAAGACAGGAGGCGGTGTATGTATCTACATCAATGACAAACTTAAGCACAGACAATTACATATCCTCCAAGATATGGAAGCCGTTTCCATCCCCTGAACATGGTATGCACGTATAGACCCCCTTCATCCCCCGTCACATTTTGCCAGGACTTGCTCAACACCGTTGATGGTAGACAACATCGAAGCAAACACCTCGATGGACGCTCACACCATTGTGCTCGGCGACCTCAACGTCGACATCGCAGACCACCAACACCAGCGGTACAGGTGCTTCCTAAGCTTCTGCCACGCTACCAACTTACAGAACATAGTTACGTCCCCTACCAGATTTCCCAGCCAATCGGTGCTAAACTTAATCTTACTACCTCTTACAATTTGAACTTACCCACCAGCATGCATGTCCTATTCTTCATGGGGACAGAGTATCATCTACCACGGCTGTTCCGTTGAGCCAGGCGACGCTTCCGAACACCAACTAGTACACTCGGACGTCTCTTATCCGGGCACCTTGGGACCGGGCACTGCCCGTATCTCAGATTTGCCCATGTCTCAGGATAACTCAACTACTTACATAGGCTGGCAGTGAAAAATAAGCACTTCCACATACAGGGACAAAGTAAAAGAAACCAAATTCGAAGCATTTGTACTATAGGAACTCAAGCTGAAAGTGCCCAGTGGAGAGACGTGCCCGTATCTGAGGCGTATGGATAAGAGACGTTTGAGTGTAGTTTTAGAGCTGTTGGCTACATTTGCACTCTGCGCTATAGAACCCACCGGTCAGAACCCAGAAGCCTCCAATGTCCATTCATGACAGTGCATACACACACACACACGCACATGCACATGCACACACACACACACACACACACACACACACACACACACACACACACACACACACACACACACACACTCACTCACACGTACCAGTACACCCACCCCCACCCCCACCCACCCCGCACCCATTCGCACACCCACACTCACTCACCGCTGTTCAGGCAAGTGTAGACATCCATGGCTGTGCTGCCCACAACCTGGCGAGTACCATCGGTCTCTTTAACCACCTAAACACAGCAAGAGCACGGGGAAATACAAAGTTGAACGTTTTCTAGTTTCTACAATAGACACAACAATCTCAAGACCCATTCACAATGTCACTTGTTGGGATACGAAATGCCACAGGCGACGAGCTGAGACCGCGACACACGATTCACTATCTTTTAAGTTTCTGTGACATCCCTATGCACATGCACTCAGGGTAGAAAACTGTACTCCATTTACGTATGTCGCGCGTCGCACAGCGCAACAGTTGAACTTTGGTCGACTTCTGCGACAGTGGCCTTGCGACTGCTTGCGGCATACGGCGGGATCTGCTTCGATACCAAAAGCGCTCCGAATGCAGTTTTCAAACAGCAGCACAAGAAAGATGTGTGCACACTGTGAACTCTGTTAATGTGAACACTGTTAATGTGAAACACCATTACTGTGAACACTGTTAATGTGAACACTGCAAATGTGAACACTGTGCACACACTTACAGTAAGTTGGAGTATACAGCATGTTGTGTTGTGCACAATCATCTGCAGACGTGCAACTGCTGCGTTGTCCACCGTCCACTCTCCAGCACCCTGGCGATCAAGACGACACTGTGCCACTCTACATGGACAACAAGAGCAGGAGAATACAGTAGTAGAATACCACAAGGAAATTTGCACAACATCACCTTCCACCCATCAGGAATACAACCCTCAACACACCCACCCACACACACACACACACCCACACCCACCCACACCCACACCCACACATCAAACAGCACATGAACTACTTCAGCATGGAATGTAGTTCCCTGGCCAGCTTTGAAACACGACAGGAAGTTTATGTCTCGCAGAATGCAGTTTTCCGGAACCGCTTTCTGATTAAGGCTTACGCAAGGGCAAACATGGATGCAGCTAATGGGATTTCGGTCATTGACCACTTGGTGGTGGGTCTGATCTACTCACCTCCCACCGTTTAGGCGCTCTGCGCCTTGATCCTAGAGGGTGGTGGCGTTCCCACGGCGGATGTGAACCGTGAAATTAATTTTTTAATTTATAAGGGCAAACAGCTGGCTTCAACTTACAGACGAGCATCGCGATGGACAAGACACGACAACTCTATATCATCGGCTAGAATCACATCTAGACAAAGTGGATTAAACACAAACACAAACACACACACACACACACACAAACACACACACACACACACAAACACACACACACACACAAACACACAACGCATTGTGATTCTGCTGTAGATCATAACTCAACGGTGATGATGTCCCTGACCCTTGACGTCAGACAGGTGACTGTTGGACTACAGTACTGTCGGGCGCCGAAGAACGGCCAGGCTAGAATTTCACCAAGTTTTAAGAACGATGTAGGCTGGTTTTTGCAGATAAGAACGGAAACCGTAATCAACACTATACATGTAATGTACACTCAGACGTATGACTCTGCATAAATGTACTTCAAGTACATGTAAGACTGTACCATCGAATAAGAATGAAACTGCGGTGTTCGCTAAAAATAAGAACGGGCTAGGCTGGAACCCTGACCCCCAGTTCTTCGGCGCTCGACAGAACTGTTTGAGGCCAAAACAGGGGTGAGATTCTATTGTATGTATCATACTCGTGTTGATCGTATTGGCCTTAGGACAGTAATGTGTGCAGTGAAGTTGCTTACTTTCAACCGTTTTTTAAAGAAGCCCAGGGGTTGTTGAGCCTGGCCCGGATTCGGGTCCTATCGTATACCCCCCCCCCCCCCACACACACACACACAAATCCCATCCCAGGGGCTTACCAGTGACAGTCTGCACAGTGAGGAAGACCACACCACCAAGCTCAGCACAGTCCTCGGAGTTGCTACCAGAACTACAAGAGAACACACATACACAAACACAAACACCCACACCCACACCCACACACACACAAACACACACAAACACACACACACAAACACACACAAACACACACACACAAACACACACAAACACACACATACACACACATACACACACATACACACACACACAAACACACACACACACACACACACACACACACCAACAGCACAATGCCATGTACAGAAACGGTTAGGCGATGCGGAGACGTGAGATTAATGAGAGCGATGAATACCGTATTATCTCTAATATAAGCACAGTCTCCAATAATAGCACGTCTCCAATAATAGAACACCTTGGGGCGGCATTCAAAAAATAAAGTGCTCAGTCTCCATTATAAGCACACTGTGTAAATTCATTATCTGCACCGGCGAAAAAACCCTGAAATGTGTGTGTCTGACATGAATTTGGCATGGCAACATGCCTCTGAAATGAGGTTGAAATAATAATGGAACAGTCTCCAATAAAGGAACCATTAATAGCACGGAGCGGAGGTACATTGAAAAAATAAAGGACCGTGCTTATATTAGAGATAAGACGGTAGTAGCAATACCCCTCGAGCCCATTGCCATGGATCGATGCTTGTATGTACGGACAAGTGAGGGTTAAGTAACGAAGCAGGATGCTATAGCAGCAGCAGCAGCTCTAAATAACCACCAGCCAGTCAAGTAGACCTACTTTGAAGTATCACATGCACATAGTAGCAGGAGCTGTCATCAGCGTACAGTTTGAATGCCGCAAGGTCGCACGGTGCACGTGCGTAGTATGCATGAGGTAACTAGTCAGACATGAAGGGGGTGACAACGAATAGACAAAGGTCAAACACTATGGCACAAATATGGATCCAGATCTACTGCAGTACTTACTAGGATGACAAGTCTGCTCCAGTGATGTGTCAGGTAGTGAGAAACAAACAGAAACAGACAGAAACAGACGGACACAGGAGAGGGTAGAGTTCAGTTAATGTGTGACGAGCGGTGCCCAGTCATACTACAAAGCATATAAAGTGTCCAGTATTTAACTTAGGCAACACAGGGTTTGGCATATTCTCAGGCAGCACAGAGAGTGCATATACCATGAAGTATCGCACAAGAGTACCCCGTCTTGCGAGGGCGTACCACCTTGATTTTACAGCCAGGGAAAGGAAAATCGTTTGGCAGAGTGCAACGAAGTCTGTACGCTGTGAAAACCTTGGTGTACTAAGGTTACACTTAGCAAATGTTACCGTACTCGTGCAATTAGAGACCCCTCTTGAATAGTGCCCCAGTCTCTAAGAGCCAGTGAAAAAATAAAGCCCTCTCTTGAATAGTGCATGCGTGCATGCATTGAGTCATGCTGCGGACAAAACCTACCGAGGAATCTCTGCGGTGCGGCTTTCACATCAGCGCTGGTAATGCTGTCAATATCCTGCCAAATAAGGTAAACAAGCAAGCAAGCAAAGTGGATTTTACCTCAAATGAATGCTGTACAGCATTGATTTTCAACAAAGACTTCATGGAGAAATACTATAAAATATACCGGTATTTAAAGACAGGAGAATGTGTGCTCTCTGGTCTTCCCAGTTTGGGCTCTCCACGGCACCGCATGCATCTACCAAAGTGACTCGGCCAATTCTTGCACTCTGGAGACGTCAAAGCATTCAGTGCCAGCTGTATACGGACAATGGCTCTGGTCGGCACAGCACGTATGCCGGTACCGTGGAGGTGGCGAAAGTGATGAAAGCGTATTTGTTGAGGACGAGGTTTGTCCAACGCCCAGAGAAATGCCACTGGGTGTAGTACAGGTGGAGCTGCTAGTTGAGTTAGATTATACATCTGGTGAAATTTATGCAATACCCTGATGATGGGCCAGGCCCAACAATTTGGTGTGATGTAAATTTTAATTTTAATCGCAGTGAAGAGACCGTATTTGGAGTTTGGAGTTGAGAAGTGAAGTTTCCGAAATTGATGCATCTAAGACCAGAGTAGAAACACAAGTCAAGCTCATTGCTGAACGCAAGGGCTCTGAGGCTACGTCAGCCCGTGGGCCGTAGAGTAGCGGTCCTTGCTGTGTTGCTTCTTTCCACGGCCGTTGGCCTGGGCCCATTGTGCAGATTGCATACAAGGGATTTTCTCCCCTTGCAATGTGGTTGCTGCGGCCCAGTCTGCAATGACCGTTGTGTTTGTGTCTGTAGAGTATAAAGTAAAGGAACACGCATGCATGTACATACCTGCAGTGTTGCATGCAGCTGTTGAACTTCACTAAGATCACGCAGCGGTCTGCTCTGCAGAATCTCGGCAGCGCGGACATTGCGGCCGTAGAAACGACGATTGAGCATTATGTGCTCCGTGATGAACGTGCCTCTTAGCGACAAGCTCATGCTTAGGCCCTGCACAACATGAGACAGAGAACACATGCACACATGGACACACGTACACACGTACACACACACACACACAAGATACATATGTACATACACACACATACACACACATACACACACACACACACACACACACACACACACAAACACACACCACACACACCACACACACACACACACACACACAAACACACATTGATCAACATGCTTCATCAACAGGGCAATGAGTGTATGCTGGTAAGTCAGTGTCAACTCATCCACACGAGCAAGAGCAATGAGATGGAGCATTCAGAAACAGGCCAAGTGAAGGCCAGATTGACCAGCCGGAGCGCAACAAGCTTGGGGGAACAAACAAATTCACGGTTCGCATGAGACTCAATGATTAAGTTTTTCTGCATCCACGGGGAACAAAGCAGCAGTCAAGTAATATAATATGCACAGATGATGCCTGCTGCCGGTCTTGTGTGGCCATAGCACAGGACAAAGAAGTAAAGACAGCGCAATCACTGCCCCCACTAGGCCTTACCTTGTTGAACGTGTACCAGAAGAGAGGTGCATACTGACTGCCAACAGCATCCTCGTCACTGACCGGACCGGGTAGGAGGTTCACGTCCATTCCCAGCACTAGCACACGCTTGGTGAACGCCTCCATGCCCTCGTCATTGTTGATGACAACAATGATGTCCACACTCTATTATTGCAGTGGATAACAATACATACAAACACATAATAAATAAGGCACAAATATACAAATACACAATGTATGCAACTCCAATCAATACATGTGTTCTGCCAGCTACGCATCTATGCATCTGTCCACTCAGCTGTCCACTCAGTCACTTGGTCATCGCCACGCTCCGAATACAGGTTAACCCATCCATGCACCCTTACCTACGACTCAGATATGCATTCAGTGAAACCTGTGAAACCGCTCAAGGGACCTTCAACATGTGGTCTCTGTTACCAGGTGGTCTCCTTATCCAGGGTCATTTGACTGGAAATAGCATCCCTTGGTCCTGGTTGCAGTGGTCTTTTAAACAGCCTTATCCGAAAGGTGCTGTCCATGAATGCAGGCATGCACACATCTGCTCATTTGTCACGCTTCATCACCACAATAAAAACAATCATTATGTCTCCAGAATGTCAACACTTGCTATTGACTGCGGCAGGAGAGAGAGCAGTAAACATAACCACTGACCTGTGTGCCACCTTCTAGGCCAGCGGACATGCCACCAATCCACAGACCCGTCGGTGCTGACCAGCCGTCTTCGTCACGAACCGTTAGGATACCTAGAGTACACACACACACACACACACACACACACACACACACACACACACACACACACACACCTCAGACATGCCCATCGCGGAAGCGATGATAGCGAACAGCTATGTTAGACATAGCAACTTGTGCTGGGATTACACCATTCAACAGCTTGCAAGGCTGATGAATTGACCGCCACTATTTTTAGCCTGGTAAAAGTCACACACACACACACACACACACACACACACACACACACACACACACACACACACACACACACACGTTTATGCACACACCACACCACATGCACACCACACGCACATGCACGCACACACACACACACGTACACACACGCGCACACGTACACACACGTACACACACACACACAGCCATAGTGAAGTCTGACAACTGAGCCAGGGTGTGTTTGACACCCTTTTGTTTCATTGCTGAATATAGTCAGAGTGGAAACTCATCCTCTCTCTCCCTTTCGTCTCCCTTGCCTCTCAATCAAAGTCAGTCCACAATGGGTCTCTCAAGGAATAACAGAATACCAAGGTATACAACTTACCTGCACCAGAACGTACGCCCAGCACCAATCCGACTTTGTGCATCGACATCACCACAATACCACGCGCTTTGTTGAATACCTTGGCCGGGATCTACCAACGCAGTGACGAGCATGCACACGCGAACACACAAGTACAGCAGACAATGGTAAGCGGAGGACAGGACATCAACAATTCAACATCACACCCAATTGTGATTTAGTGACAAAAGTACATCTCAGTAGCATGAGGCATGCAATTTGTCACATTTTCTAGTAAGATCTTCAAGCTCCGGGGAAATTCCTCTTTGACATGTCGCTTCACTTCAGCTCCCCCAAGCTGCTCAAATGCTTCAGTCTCAGAAATAAACTTAGCGTCTTGCCAGGTATTATCCCGATATGCTTCTCGCACGTCTTCCACGACTTCTTTCAAAAAATGCATGGGGGCTGTATGCTCAAGTCGCAATGTGGGTATGCTGGAAATAGTGATACAATCGTAGTGCAAGGCGAAAAATCAAGGTGGGGCACCTGGAAGAAACGGAGCACTCTGGCAAAACCGTCTATTGGGATATGGCGAAACAGGCAAGCTGCACTCCCCCTAGGGGCGTCTGCAGGAATTTGACGAGCCCCCCCCCCCCCCTCTCTCGTCAAATTCAGACAGCATTGATATTTTGTACCAACATCCTTCAATGCGACGGACCCCACGATAGGCGGTCAGCCTTTGGGTCATCCTAATAAAGTTATTATTATTATTATTATTATTATTTGTAAGAAAGGGTTTGCTCCCCACACCGGAGCTCGCGCTATTCCGCCGACTTTACTTGACACTCCGGTGTGGGGAGCAAACCCTTTCTTACAAATCATCGCCGAAGTCGCAACCACTACTTCGTAATATTATTATTATTATTATTATTACTACATGAGTACCGAACAAGTGCCTTGCACCATGTACATGTATAATTATGTCATCAGTCAATCACTCATGTGCATGCGTGCAGGACTGTTTTTTTATTTTATTTTTAGGCACGAGGATATGGCGCGTGCCCCATGCCCCCATCTGCGCCCCCCCCCCCCCCCCCCCCCCACCTGCACAAATGCACGCACAGCGACAGTGCACAAAGCCCCGGTAACTTACAGATATGCTCTTCAAGATCTGAGTGGCACGTATCACAAACGACTCGAGAGCAGAAACCCTGCAAACAACAACACCACATCGACCAAGAACTATAAGAAAACTTCCACCTAGCGGCCACACGTATCCCTCCATGGGTGTTGCACGCAAACCTCACCATACTGTCAGCACTGTAGTATAGGTACTGGGTGAGAGTAGTCAGTACAGCAGCCTGTCAGCATGCTACTCAGTACTCTTGATACTAGTGAATGAGTAGTGCATACATCTCCATGCACTCCTTTGCACGCACATGCAGGCAGTGCACACATGTAGTGACACGCGCACACATGCACACACGTACACACATACACACGTGCACACACGTACACGCACGTACACATGAGTGCATACCGGCATGTCAACGTGTGTGCATAAGTGAACACAACGTATCCAACTAGTCACGTGTTACTACAGTAGTAGACCACACTGCGCTATCTGTACAGAAAGACAATGGCTGGTCTTTAGACTGTCTATGCTGGATTAAATTAGGAAACACACAAATCATCCACAACGTACTTATCGCGTGACCGCACTAGCGAACGTAAAGTGTTCCCAACCATGTTAGACATCTTGTCCTGAAGGGGGAATAGCACGCGAGCGCAAGATAAACAAACACCATGGAAATATGTACATACATGTACACTAAAGTGAGTTGGAACGTATGCGCCAGGGTTCAACAACTAGCACCATGAGGTACGAGCACCACCGCCATAGCCAGCAGAACCACCACCACCACCACCACCACAGCCAGTGGAACCACAACCACCACCACCAGAGCCAGTGGAACCACCACCACCACCACCACCACCACAGCCAGTGGAACCACAACCACCACCACCAGAGCCAGTGGAACCACCACCACCACCGCCACCACCACCACAGCCAGCAGAACCACCACCACAGCCAGTGGAAGCACCACCACCACCACCACCACCACCACCACCACCACCACCACCACCACCACCACCACCACCACCACCACCACCACCACCACCACCACAGCCAGTGGAACCACAACCACCACCACCAGAGCCAGTGGAACCACCACCACCACCGCCACCACCACCACCACCACAGCCAGTGGAAGCACCACCACCACCACCACCACCACCACCACCACCACCACCACCACCACCACCACCACCACCACCATATCCAGCAGAACCACCACCACCACCATAGCCAGTGGAACCACCGCCACCACCGCCACCACCACCACCACCGCCACCACCGCCACCACCACCACCACCACCACCACCACCACCACCACCACCACCACCACCACCACCACCACCACCACCACCACCACCACCACCACCACCACCACCACCACAGCCAGTGCAGGGGCGGATCCAGGATTTGTCCAAGGGGGGTTCAAGTTTTTCCCACCCTACCCACAATGACGAAATGAGGACATACTTACACAATCATGTATAACAAGTTCACACGTTTGCGTTATCGGTACAGCACTAATTAAAAATGTAACTAACTTCAGTACCCCTATTTTCAACACTCTGCAGCTAAAACATTATTGAAGACACGCAGCACAAGGAAGAAAATTTCAATTTCTTTGCCGCAGAATAGCTAACTGGTACTTTCTCCAGCAGCTCGTCTGTAATAATTGTCCGTAATATTGTACTCCGAGCCGCTCGACGTTGACTCCACTGTACAGTAGATTCCATAAGGCAGACTTCCTGCATCTTTTGTGTCTTAGTCATAATTGTCCCTAGTTCGGAGAAATTTTGATTGTTGGATGATGGGACGTTGAACTTGAAGGTGATTTTCAAAGTTTCGCTCTTTGTTTTACCTTCGACACTAGTGGCTGCACTTTTCTTTGGAGTGTCACCAAAATTCAATGGCAGCTGGTCTTCAGCCTGCCTCTTTTAGACGCTTCGACGAACTCCAAGACAGCTCGAAAAGCACGAGCCGCGACGACAATACAGCACTGCACGGCCACTATTCCCAAACTAGTATTATTTTGAAACTTACTTTCGAAGTTTCCGCAGCAGCTCAACAAATGCATGCACCTCTTTCTCCGAAGCGAACGCGTAGCTGTACATTCTGTGCAGATCTACTTTACTTTTCTACATACAAGACAACAATGACAATGTACAACGTCATGTAGATCTACCTCAGGCTTAGGTGCATAGCTAGCGGACCGCTCTGGCCTGGGCCGACGGGGCCATAGCATGGGGCACGCACGTCGCATGCATGAGCATGGGTTAGTGGTCACACCCGAACTATGGTCGGGAAAAATCAGGGGGGTTCGTTCAGTATTACTCACATCGATCTTCTTGCGAAAGTTACGCAGGTCTGTTTCACTAGTTGTGATTGAGTTGACTTTAGTGGACGATTCGGACCCCGATGGGGCTGACGTTGTTGAAACGGACGTAGTAATACTGTCACTGGATGTTGCCATGGTAGCTGCGGGAATGTTTGGAATGTCAAACGACGTAGCCGTATGGCCGACAGATGGTGAGCGTAGCAGGTACAGCTTTACCTCTGCACAGGACAACAAGCAGACATCAACATGAAAGGTTAGCTACCCTGCCGTACAACTATGCAACACAAACGGCAAGCTGTCTTGCCATACTACAGCTGCGCTCGGTGAAATCCGACCTGGAGTGAATATTTAGCACCCTCAACTTGCATGGCCCTTGACGCTCAGTCCCCTGGAAGTAGCTTGAATGCAGCTGGACGTACGTGCGCATGTAAAAATATACCCGCACACACATACACGCAGGACAATACAAGCAGTGGTACATCAGTCTCCACTTACCAACAGCAAGGCTACGACCCTTGACATTGAAGACCAGACGAGTCGGTTGACTCATCAGGTTCTCTGTTTGGACCGACTAGACGACAAACAGAACACAACAAGGTTGCAAAACAAAACCATTCAGTTTATTCTCAGATCACTCCCCGATGATGCCCTCCTGGGTGAAAACATGGAAACAACCGGTGTACGTGGTGTAGCGCCCTATAGCCGAGGACTCCGTGTGTTGCGAGTTGGAGGTGCAGTGAAAAGAAGACGAGGCTATAACGGAGCTTCAAAGTTCTAAACAAACTTTCAGATTAGTGTACCATAAAAAAGTAAAATGATAAATATGATGAGTAGATTGAGGTGAGGAAGGGATGATGAACTGATCTGCCCAGAGGAACATGTCAATTGCTGAGTATGCTTAGTACTGTCGTATCCATACTATTGACACGTGCCTTTTTAGGCCTCTACGGGACAAGTATGCCTTATTTAGGTGTCTAATTATTTATCTATCTCCCGTAAACGGGTTCATAATCGTCTTTATTTTATGTCTTCACACAAGGCCTGGGGCCTTCCTTATTTGGTATACGCTGTTATTTCCCCACATGGCTCCCGCTCTTTATGCAACAGTTCGTACACATATTTACTACGGTTTGATACGCTATTGCATGCGGGACCAGCAATCTCGTGGCCATGGACTTCCATGGCCGCAACTAGATACTATTGCTATCACCTTCCTTTTCTCTCTCTCTCTCTCTTGCCTTCCGCCTTCAGGCGGAAGCTTCGGCTTTCGTCTGTCTGGCCTTGTGCTCTCAATATCGTCTCTTGAACCAAGTTAGCTCCTTTGGAGATGTGAGTCAACCTGAATGCTGGTGTGAGTGTACGTGTCTGTATATGCCTGAGTGTGTGTGTGAGAGTATGTCTAGGTATATGTGCGTGCGTGCGTAAGAGTAATTCTGTTGGTGGACTCTCGCCAAGTGGCCACCACTGCACGGCCTTGCAATGGGAAGGTTTAGTAAATAAGTTAGTTCATGTCGAACCGCAGCCGTGGGGTCGAACCCCGGGGCCGACCGGATACGACATTTGGCGCAGTGAACAGGATCCGACACCTTGTGTGCTGTCAACGAGAGAGACATTGATGATTATGACATTGTGATGCCCCGGTCGTTCGAATGGACGGGCAGTATGGATTTTCCGCTGCCCGATCCGCGAATGACCGGACTTCTACGAGATCTCAAGGATATCAAGAAGAAGGTATGGTTGTTCTTGGGCTGTTTCTTGGGCTGTTTCTCGTGATCGTAAGTTTGACGACAATTCCACGTGGTGTCGTAAATCCATTATTTTGGTTTGTGTCACTTGGTATGGACATTCGCATTCTGGAAACAGATGTGGAGCGCCGCCAAGTCAAGGGTTGGATCATGGCGTCAATGGAGAATTTGACCTGTATGACGAAGCTGGCACAGTGGCAGCAGTTTTCCTGCTGTCCTTGTGGTTTGTGTTTTTTTTGTGGTTTTGTGTTTGTGACCTTATATGGTTCAGCAGCTTCTCATGCTCGTGCAGCTATTGTACCTGAAGCCATTGCTGTAGGGTTTCTACCGCCCCATCGGTGGGAGTGGAATCGACGCCCCTACAGTCTGATCCTCGCTGGTCCCCTGACCTTGTATTGCCGGTAAGGAGGAATTGAAAAAAAATACACCAGTCTGTATTTGTTGCAAATTGACGCATTTTGCAGCACTTGCTACCTCTGGGCATGTGGCTGATTGCAGACTGATTATTGCTTGATTATTGCTGAGCCCTAGGCCTTGCGAGTTCTCAGAAGAAACCTATGAATTAGCCTCTGGGATGTAGCTGATGCTATTACCGCTCTTTAGCGACGAAATGGCTCTAGTCTAGTGCCCTTTTCTGCGGGTTCTCAGTCTGTCGGAGTACTTACTCTGAGAGTTGTCATTATTAATTAACAAAAGACGGGAGGTAGTTTGCATCTGCTTTTGTAGATTTTCCCGGGAAGTGGAACCCTGGGGTTGAAGTCAGTATCTGCAAAACTTAGACTGCTACAGAAAACAATAGCCTGATCTATGTGTTCTGTCTTCATTGAACATACGAGTGAGCGTGCGGACATGTTGGTGCCTGGAGCGGTGAATGGATGTCCAGTGGACGCTGTGATTGATACAGGATCCGCCGCTACATTGTTGTCAGAGGATTTTGCCGACCGCCTACCTAAGGAGCTGGAAAAGGAAACCTCTGACCAAGGCCCGAAGTTGATTGGCCCCAACAGGCAACCACTAGAAGCCGTGGCATCAGCAATTGTTCAGTTGGAACTCGGAGATGCAACCTGTTGGCACCGGGTAAGAACCACGTGATTGTATTGTTGGCCGGGACGTATTATCCCACATTCCTTGCACCATTTCGTCGGGACAAGGGCGAATGTTCTTCTCTACCTCCCCCGCCTCAATCAGTACTGTGGGTTCGGATTATGGAGTGTTGAAACTGAAATCTAAAGTGACATAGTTGGTCTTTGACCGCCTCTTGAAGGCAGATCTGTGGTTGAAGCCCAGTACGTGTTTCTTGTTCCGCACAAGTGTTGAGTTCCTGGGCCACATTGTTACCCGGGAGGGGGTTAGGACCGACCCGGGTAAGATCGAGAAAGTCAGAAACTGGCCTGCCCCTGAAGCAGTTGGAGAAGTGCGTGGTTTCTTGGGATTCTGTGGGTATTATAGGCGGTTAGCCCAAGATTTTGCCACCATTGCCCGCCCCTTGTACAGCCTGACGAAAACTGGCCAAGTGTTTTTGTGGACTCCTGACTGTGAAACCGCTTTCCTGAATCTGAAGACAGTGTTGACAACCGCCCCAGTACTAGCTTACCCCAGGTTTGGGCAAGATGCATCACATTTTCTGGTAGACGTAGATGCTAGTGGACTAGGGTTAGGAGCAGTGCTGTCTCGGGTTCAGGAAGGTCTGGAACGGCCGATAGCGTATGCTAGTCGACTTCTGGCCGATACAGAAACACGGTACGCATCCACGAAAAAGGAATTGTTGGGTGTGTGGGCTGTGCGACATTTTCGTTGCTACCTGCTTGGTAAACAATTTGTGATTCGTACTGATCATCGTTCTCTAGAACACTTGGCTAATTTCAAAAATCCACCGGCGATTGTGGCTCGCTGGCTGGAATTTTTGTCTGAATCTGAGTTCACCATATTGTACAGGGCAGGTCGATCGCACGCTAACGCTGATTCATTGTCACGCCGCCCTGACGCTTCGACGACGCTGTTCGTAGGGGCCATGAACAACGACGTTGGCAACATCCCCACACCCCTCATCCGCCGTTTCAACTGGCCGTGGTCAAGATGGGAAACGGAACAGGAGAAGGACCGAGATCTCGCCCAAGTAGTGTCCTGGCTAGGTATGGACTCTCCGCCTTGCCCACAGGACATGATGGGTAGCAGTCCTGAGGTACGTATTTTGTGGAAAAATCATGAAATGCTGGTTCATCATGAGGGGGTGTTGTGCCGTCGTTGGGAGGACCCTTGCCCTGGTAAGCCGTCTATCTTGCAAGTCGTTGTTCCCCGACATTTACGTTCTTTGGTTTTGCAAGAGTATCATGACCAGGGGGGACATACGGGTTCTACACGCCTGCAGAAGAAACTGACGCAACAATTTCACTGGGTAGGCATGAAGAAAGATGTCTTGGATTGGGTTGCAAATTGTTCTTCCTGTAGCCAGTTGAAGCGTCCCGTAGGCAGAGGGTCTGGCGCTCCACTACAGTCTTCCTGGACGGGGTATCCTTTTGAGCGAGTAGCGATGGATTGGATCCCCAATTTACCGGAGACAGCGGAAGGGAACCGCCATATTTTGGTTGTAGTTGACTATTTCACTAAATGGGTGGAAGCTGTTCCACTTCCGAGAATGGATGCTTCCACTATTGCTTTGGTGTTTGTCAATGAGTTTGTGTCACGTTTTGGTGCTCCTGATCGGTTGCATACCGATCAGGGCAAAAACTTTGATGGCTCTCTGTTTCGCAGTGTTTGCTTTCTGCTTGGCATAGATAAGACCAGGACAACTGCGTACCATCCACAGAGTGACGGTCTGGTTGAAAGATTCAACCAGACGCTTGAGCGTGGCCTGGCGCACTATGTCTGCCGGAATCATCGAGATTGGGACATCAAGTTGCCAGCCTTCTTGATGGGATACCGCTCGACGCCGCAGACTAGTACCGGCTACAGTCCAAGCTATCTGCTCTTTGGTCGGGAGCTATGCCTACCTCAAGACTTGGCATTTGGATTACCGCCAGGAGCAGCATCCGCAGTAGCGTCCCAGCCGGAATTCGTGAGTGCTCTCCGCCGACGCTTGGAGGACGCTCATGCGCAGGTTCGGGAGCACTTGGGCAACGCGCACCGCTATCAAGCGCATATCCATGATCGCAACGCTAAGGCTGTGACGTTTGTAGCTGGTGACGCAGTGTGGCTTCTGGTGCCGGCCATTCCGACGGGTACAACCGCCAAGTTTTCTAGACTGTGGCACGGACCATACCTAGTCGAGGAGAAGCTCTCCGCCGTCACCTACCGCATCAAGCTGTCTGAGCCCACGGCACGTCGGCTGATAGTGCACGTCAACCGGCTGAAAAGTTGCCATCATCGACCGAGTCGGCTGCAGGAGGTCCACGAGCAAGATGAGTCGGACCCACCGCAGCCCATGGCATCCACCCTGACTGCGTCCTACCAGCCTGATGCCACTGATGCCGCCGCCCGAGACGAGGAGGACACCGCTCGGGTATTTGACAGTGCTCCGCCAGTTGGCGTGATGGAAAGGCGAACCCCGCGTTCCCGCCATCCGCCCCAGCTGTTTGGGAGTCCTGTGTGGCATGAGTAAGTGACTTCAGTGGTATTGACTGGATTGGTTGTGGCCAATATTACAGCTAGTCTTTGAACAGTTTTTTTTTATAAGAATTTCAATTTGACCTGCACTCGTTTAGTTAAATTGTTAGCCATAATCTTAGTCTAATTTATTACGTTACTTATAACACGAGGACGTGTTCTTTTCCGTGTAAGCGGGGGGATATGTCGTATCCATACTATTGACACGTGCCTTTTTAGGCCTCTACGGGACAAGTATGCCTTATTTAGGTGTCTAATTATTTATCTATCTCCCGTAAACGGGTTCATAATCGTCTTTATTTTATGTCTTCACACAAGGCCTGGGGCCTTCCTTATTTGGTATACGCTGTTATTTCCCCACATGGCTCCCGCTCTTTATGCAACAGTTCGTACAGTCAAATCTGTCGTAAGCGACCGCCCCTTGGTGCAAGAAAAAGCGGTCGCTTACGGCAGATGGTCTCCTACGGCAGATGTATGGTAAATCCGGCATACCAGGTATATGCTTCCATGTACTCAAATCGACGAGAATAATGTGATTTTTAATATCATTTTATTGGATATTCAACGACGACCATACCCATAGTACGCGTATGCGACACGGCAGTAGATCGACACTGCCTGGACTTGAGAGCTACAGCACAGCCTCAGTACAGGCCAGGCGCCAGTCGATCGCACTTGCAAGACAGCGCATTTTCACACTTTGCAGGTGACAGCGCACTGGCAAGTACAGTTTCGCACCTGACTGAACCTCGGTCGCGGTCGCTTACAGCAGATTTGAATGCAGCCACCGTGCATGAAATCGCGGTCGCTGGTCGCGCACAGCAGATGGTCGCTCTGGACAGATCAGATTGTGAAACCGTCGGTGCACGGAAAATCGGTCGCTAACGGTAGATGGTCGCCTACAGCAGAGGTCGCTAACGGCAGATTTGACTGTACACATATTTACTACGGTTTGATACGCTATTGCATGCGGGACCAGCAATCTCGTGGCCATGGACTTCCATGGCCGCAACTAGATACTATTGCTATCACCTTCCTTTTCTCTCTCTCTCTTGCCTTCCGCCTTCAGGCGGAAGCTTCGGCTTTCGTCTGTCTGGCCTTGTGCTCTCAATATCGTCTCTTGAACCAAGTTAGCTCCTTTGAAGATGTGAGTCAACCTGAATGCTGGTGTGAGTGTACGTGTCTGTATATGTCTGAGTGTGTGTGTGAGAGTATGTCTAGGTATATGTGCGTGCGTGCGTAAGAGTAATTCTGTTGGTGGACTCTCTCCAAGTGGCCACCACTGCACGGCCTTGCAATGGGAAGGTTTAGTAAATAAGTTAGTTCATGTCGAACCGCAGCCGTGGGGTCGAACCCCGGGGCCGACCGGATACGACAGTACCGTAAAAGCCCCTGTATACGCCCACTCGAAATTACGCCCACCCTCCGTGTACACGCCCAGTCAGGGGAAGTCAACACTTTTGTTTCAAAATAGCGCCCATGCCCATGTATACGCCCAGGTATGCCGGAAACACCAGTACATGTACAGGTACTGATACCCAATACTCACTGCTATCCCCAAGTATACACCCGGTTCCAAAATAATGCCCGGTTCCAAAATAACGCCCGTGCACTTGTATACGCCCAGGAAATCGAGGCTGCTCTTCTATACGCCCGGGGCCTATACACGGGCTTTACGGTACCACACTGACCTTTGCTGTTGACCAGATCTCACGTCCATCATCAGTATTTGCCTTTAGGATGAGCTGAACCTGGGACAAGGACAGACAGACAGACAGATACAGACAGACAGACACACACATACACACACAGATGGACAGACAGGCACACAGATGGACAGACAGGCACACACATACACACACAGATGGACAGACAGACAGACAGATACAGACAGACACACACATACACACACAGATGGACAGACAGGCACACAGATGGACAGACAGGCACACAGATACAGACAGACACACAGATACAGACAGACAGACAGACAGACATGCACACACACAGACACAGACACACACACACACACAGATGGACAGACAGACAGACAGACACACACACACACGCGCACACGGATGAACACAGACACACAAGCACAAATAATCAGCGACACACTAGCCAAGGCAAACAACACGTTATGGACATCTATAGCGATACAGCATAGCATGGAAATGTCGGGGGTGGAACGAACTGCTTGCCTAGATTCTCTAGGGCAATCAGTCAGAGAATATACCCCAGCATTACTATTGGAAGGATTCAGGTTGACAGCCAGACCTGGACATGGTTTTCACGAGAGAGAGACTTGCCGACACAAAGGACCAACGGACAAACAACAAGAACTAGATAACAAGGCTGACAAGACCTCTCTCCCGCACCACACCGACTGCCAAAGCATCTCACTTCCGCCAAGCACACCGCAGCACAAAGCGAAACGTTCAGATATTTTACAAGGCCGTTTACGGTACGTACAGCTAAAAGCAGAAGAACAAACAGGATAGGATTTCACCAAGCACGCACAGCATACCAATGTATACACGGTGACTCAACTGTGCATAGACAGTACCGTAACAGTCCGTAAATAAGTACAGTACCTAGAAGTTTAGAAGTTTCCACAAAATTTGAGTCACATGACAAATATATGAACTCTACTCTATAGCGCTGCTGCAAGTGCTGGCTTACTTTCTCTGAGAGAGATCGAATGAGCAGAGTGCGCCGTCCGTCGCCGGTGAATGGTGCCAGCCAGCATGTTAGTCTCATGTCGGCGCGGTGTACAGACTGCACCAGTGGGGTCTGCACGGTGGCCGCCGCCGCTACCGACATACCCGCCAGTGGGATCTCCACGTCCTCGTCCTCCACCACCTCAAACGGTGAGTCCTCGTCCATGTCTATAGGGCCTGGTCGGCGGCAACACAACACAGCAAATGGGCCATCACCATCAGCATCGGCAAATGGGCCATCAGCATCAGCAAACGGGCCATCATCACATGTGTCCTCAGCAGCAGCATGGGCAGCAGCAGCAGCAGCTGGAGTATTTATTATTTTACTTGGGGTGAACCCAGCAGGCCGATGGCTTTCTTTCAAAGTTACAGAGTGCCTATAGTGTGTGTGTGTACTGTGTATGTGTGTGTGTGTGTGGGGGGGGGGGGGGTGCGTGCGTGCGTGCGTGCGTGGATGCCATGGCCCTGTATAGATAGTACTACTCACCAATACCACTATAGTACTGCACACATTCACTATCAGCCTGGCACCTACCTCTACCGCAGCCCCTCATCAATGCCCATTAGAGTATTGTTCTCTTCCTTTTGATTACGATAAGCTAACCTCTCTGTCGCCGGACCTAGACTATCCATTACCATAGAACTGTCGTCTATTGCCTCTGTTGCCGGTCCCCTGGTCTGCTGTTCCGCTACTCCAATTCATGATTAGCAATAGTTAGTTTAGCGCAGCTCACAGCTCGTTCGCTGCTATCACTACCCTACCTTCCAATTCCCCGATCTCTATTCTTTCCTTTACTCTCTTTTACTATATTAGAGCTTGCTTTCCCTTTTAGTCCTTTAGAGAGAGTTTGACCCAACTGAGTGAGCGCAACATCTTTCCTCACTATTGAACCTGAACTGAATCCACAACTAGCTGCTTGTGCTTTGTGTTGTCCGTTACGCTTGGGTTTGGGGCTAAGAAGTGCACATATATTTTGTGCCAACGGACTTCGGGTTACGGAGTTACGTAGAGACGACACTCAGCTAGCCTTAGGCCACGACATGTACATACGTTGATGAACAGGCAAGGAGCGGAACGAGCTTGCTGTTGGCGAAGACTTGAGACTTCCCGTTGAGTCTTGCATGATGGAACCCTGCGTTGTCGGGAAGTGAGCCTGTTTGTCACAAACAACACACACAGAAACCAAAGCAAGAAAAATGGTGAAGCAACATCTGACGTCATGATGTCTATGTGTTCTTGTGTTGTAAAGTACAGAGAGGAACAACAGTAGTAGAAGCAGAGGTTTGCCTTCTTAGTAAGTTACAATACCACAGCTGACATCTGACTGAAGGGGCTGGGAATGGGATAGCCACGATCAAGTACAGCATGTCCACACTGCCTCATAGCATAGCATATGTGTGAGCCGGTAATTCAGCGAGGGTTGCTATTAAAATTGTGCTCCATTCCTCTGGGTGTGTGTGTGGGGGGATGTGAATTAGGTTGCGTTTGGTTGGGCATTTTCAGAATTTAAATGACAACCATTCTGGAATGGAAATGGGTAAGAATCACCTGACCAAACAAACGCGCCAGAATCAACTAGGAATCACTTGACATAACAATTCCTTGATGTCGTTGTGGAACGGCGGCTCTCTTCTCTTTTACCCGACTCTAGTTTCCTTGAGATAGTCAAGGTACTTCTGAGGTTACGTTTGGTTGGTCACATTCCCAAATGGGAATCACTTGGAATCACTCGGAATCATTCTCGCCCGTTTGGTTGGTCAAAAAAGTGCGTTAGGTTGGTCACATTCCACATGATTCCAGAATGGGAATCGCTGAGAATGATTCTTTTTGGAGAATGATCATTCCACCTCACATGCTGGAATGGGCATTCTCATTCCGGAATCAAAAATGATAATGGCTGCGACGAGCCAAACAATGTAGCAACAGGTTCAAGTGCCTCAAATCATGCACTCAGAAGTACCTTGACTCTCTCAAGGAAACTAGAGTCGGGTAAAAGAAAAGACAGCCGCCGTTCCACAACGACATCATGGAATTGCTATGTCAAGTGATTCCTAATTGATTCTGGCGCGTTAGTTTGGTCAGGTGATTCTTGCCGATTCCCATTCCAGGATGGTTCTCATTTACATTCTGAAAATGCCCAACCAAACGCAACCTGAGTGCATGATTCGAGGCACTTGAACCTGATGCTACATTGTTTGGCTCGTGGCAACCATTATCATTTTTGATTCCGGAATGAGAATGCTCATTCCAGCATGTGAGGTGGAATGATCACTCTCCAAAAAGAATCATTCTCAGCGATTCCCATTCTGGAATGGGACCAACCTAACGCACTTTTTTGACCAACCAAACGGACGAGAATGATTCCGAGTGATTCCAAGTGATTCTCATTTGGGAATGTGACCAACCAAACGTAACCTTAGTTTTACATGTTATGTTGCAAGCCATTCAGAATGCAGCCCACGCTGGCCCATGCACAATGCAACATACACTGTGGATTTGATTGGAACCCGGGGAGGCAACTTACCACCAGTATTCCAATAGGACCCTCCACTTCCTGTGGCACAAGAGACAGAGAGGAGATACATGTACGCCATCAGCAAGGTTCAGCACTAGGCACAACACCAAACTGCCCAGCAAGGTTCAGCACTAGGCACAACACCAAACTGCCCAGCAAGGTTCAGCACTAGGCACAACACCAAACTGCCCAGCAAGGTTCAGCACTAGGCACAACACCAAACTGCCCAGCAAGGTTCAGCACTAGGCACAACACCAAACTGCCCAGCAAGGTTCAGCACTAGGCACAACACCAAACTGCTCAGCAAGGTTCAGCACTAGGCACAACACCAAACTGCCCAGCAAGGTTCAGCACTAGGCACAACACCAAACTGCCCAGCAAGGTTCAGCACTAGGCACAACACCAAACTGCCCAGCAAGGTTCAGCACTAGGCACAACACCAAACTGCCCAGCAAGGTTCAGCACTAGGCACAACACCAAACTGCCCAGCAAGGTTCAGCACTAGGCACAACACCAAACTGCCCAGCAAGGTTCAGCACTAGGCACAACACCAAACTGCCCAGCAAGGTTCAGCACTAGGCACAACACCAAACTGCCCAGCAAGGTTCAGCACTAGGCACAACACCAAACTGCCCAGCAAGGTTCAACACTAGGCACAACACCAAACTGCCCAGCAAGGTTCAGCACTAGGCACAACACCAAACTGCCACAGTTGCATACTCCTGGGGTTGACTGTTATGTGAAGAAGTTGGTGTGATTTCGGCGATACTGTAAACTGCCTAATGCTTGCTACGTATTAACCATCGTGAAATCAAACTTCAACAGTGGGAGTATATGTGTGACCACAGTGGCCAGCGAAAATTTGCCATCGTAAATTCGTCGGTTCTGAAAGCGCCTACTGGGAGCAGCAGCGACGATTTTTCTCTCCCTCCGATCCACTTACTGGTGTGGACTGGCAAGACATGGCCAAGACGGCGAAGTGGATAGATGTACCACTGTATTGACAGTTATTTGGATGTCATCCGACATGGGGTGTGTGGTCAGTGGATGAGATAGGTAGCGACCCCGAGGACAACAGTGTCACTGCCAGCTATGCTACCTCCATCTTCAGCAATGCTGCAACATCAGTCATTGCAACGTCACCTTTCCCAGGAATGATGACTGGCACAACTTCTGCCGTGGTGGTGGCCTGGCATATGCAAAACTTCCTAAGCTGGTTGTGTTTCTCAATACAATTGTATAGCCGATGGTAACGCGGACGTGTGAACTTCTTTTACTTTTTTTACAACTTCTGCCATAGGTCTTCCCGTCGCCGTGTCTGCGTCGACAACAGGTACAGCTCCCTGAACTCTGGACTCATGTGTCGAGAGAGGCCCAGTAAAACTGAGCTGGCGGCCACACAGTTGGTCCGGCCATGGACCGCCACCCCTGCTAGGACACAAACAAAAATGTGATGCGTACAACGCTGTCTACTCTCACCGTCTCCTCTGGTTCATCTCCATGCCAGATGCTGTTCATGTCAATCAACCAGCGCTGTGGATGCACCATGTTGAGCTGAGAAAAGAGTGTAGGGATAGGACACAGAACAAATGATTCAGGATCTGACACTCGCATGCTGAGCCAATAATACATGTAAACAGGAAAGGGGCATAAGGATACGAGTAAAGAGTAGCTGTCCATCACTGTAACTAGATACTATACGCAGTCAGGAAGTGCAACAACTAGGCACCAAACTGACAAGATCTGACAGTTAATTTAACAGCTAGGGCCCATGTTTTCTGCGGCTGAAATGCACTCCACTCCACACACACACAAGCAATCAAGCACAAACGCTTAGAACAAATCTCTCACCTTCAAGCTGTCTCGGATAAGATTGTCAAGAAACGTCCTCAAAACAGGAACGTCATTCATTTGTAGAAGGTTGAGCACCTACAACACCCACACCCACACCCGCCCCCACACACACCAGGACACACAAGGACACCATGAAGCGGGGTTAACCACCAGGTGACAACATGACAAACACAGCAGGCACATGGTGCAAATACGACACTACAAGTAATTCAACGCAAGGTTGTGACTAAAAAAATTGTTTTGACTAAATTTGCGTAGAAAGTGATCATGACATGCATGCGGACAGTGGAACCAACATGGCCCACATCATGTGACCCATAGATGCATGGATTGAGCGGAGTTGGAACCAACATGGCCCACGTCATGTGACCAATAGATGCATGGATTAAGTGGAGTTGGAACCAACATGGCTGACGGGTATGGTCATGTGACAGATGTGAAACCACTCCATAGAAGATATCTATATTCATCACAAACTGGCCAAGCAGCATCAAGATATTAGAGAGGTTAACCCTTTGTGTACGGACTGTACAACTTTCGATCCCCTGGGATCGAAACTTTTCAAAATTTCAATCGATCGTAACTCAGTCGTTCCTGGGTTATATCCGAAAACTAAAATATGTAGGTCAAAGAGAAAACTCCCAGCTGTCCATTGAAACAATCGCTGAAGCGCTCGGATGTGTGGTTCCAGAGTTACGAAGCTCGAAAGTCGAATTGCGGCAAATGTCGCTCAATAGCCGCTCGCGCAAATTTGAATGAGGGATTTCCCCATCATTCTGGGCATGCAGTGACGTAGAAACACGTTCAAAATGGTAAACGGACTCATGGCAGTTTGTGAATTTTTTTGAAGTAACAGTTAGTTGTTACGAGCAAGGAGAGCGAAATGGCTGATGCAAGACGACTTCTGTCGGAATATTGGCATTGCAGCTAAGACGCTGGGCTGTAGCGCTGGCGTTTTGACCTTCGTGGTGGCAAGCGTGGGCGCAATGTGTTCCTCTTGCGACGAGCTTTCCAGGAAGCCCAAGATTGAAAAAATCGTCAACAGGAGACTAAAGTTATGACCCAGATAATTATAGAATTTGAGGTGAGTCTAGATCAAATTCAGTTTGTGTACAATTTTTTCAGTACATAAAGGGTTAAGATGCACGTCATTTCCGACGCGACGCGCAATTTCACGTCAAATTTGGCGTAAAACTCCAAATTTCGACGTGAGCTGCAGGTCACTCGGGGAGCCAAAAATAATGCGAGCTCAACTTTCGCGTCATGTCAGAAATAGCGTGCATCTTAACCTCTCTAATGATTACCTTGGACGAGAAATGAAAGTCTGGCTGACCGGCGAAGGATATCCACATCTTCTCTACGTAAGGAATTTTTGCCTGGAAGCGGAACTTCATCAGCATCTTGCCCTTCAGGATGAGATCTCGTACCTGCAAACAGCAAGCAGGCATGAAAAGAGATCGGCAGCAAATGGAGAAAATTACAACATGAACGCCAGAGGGATACCGTATTTTCCGGAGTATAGTGCGCACTTCAGACGTGTTATTTTAGGCCCTAAATCGCAGGTGCGCACTATGCTCCGAATATGAAATGCATGTACTTCAATGAAGATTGAAGTGCGCACCCCCAATAAAGATTGGGGGTGCGCGTTATACAAAGGTGTGCACTATACTCCGAAAAATACGGTAAGCAAATTTGCAAATATACACACACATACACACACACAGCTTACTGCTACAGACACCACACTCAAACAGAGTGGAAGATATCAACTCACACAACACATAAACTACTCTCTGTTGTGATCTCGAACTCGTCAGTCACTGAACTGATTTTATTGTAAAGAAGACACGAACTTATAGAGTGTGAAGAAGAGTATAGCAGATAGAGAGCGGTGGAAGGAGAGCCACTGGACAGCTGGATAGTGTATCAATAAGCGCACGAGGGGAAGGCTAGACAGTATGTCTCTAGACGTCAATAGCTATTGTACGAAAGGCCAGTCAATAGTACTTAAGAGTGAAGTCAACCACAACACAGACAATAGCTTCAGACAATCATGACAGGCATGATACGGATGATATAACATCTCCCCTTTCAAGCAAAGAGTGAAAACAGAGGGCAAAGAGGCCAAAGAGAACTGGAGCATTTGATACTAGAGCCAGCAGAGAAAGAGCGCAACCATGCGTTATGTGGTAGGAGTGTGAGCACAAAGAGCAAGACGCAGAGATCACAGTGCGACTCTACGAGTACAGAATACAAGTCATGTAGAAAGTACATGGAGTTGCATGGAGAGTCCATGTCAGCATGGCACTCACGAACAGCATGACTATTTGGTGCTGTGATGGTACTTACAGTAACACCACCCACGGATTTCTGACTTGTGTCACGTTGGCGCTGTTGCACGTTGACACACGCGGAAGTGACCAAGTAACAAACGGTTAGTTTCTTGCGAGTCTTTGGCTGTAGCTGGGCAATCACGCCGAGGGTGAGCTGCACCACCACAGACTCGATGGATCGTTACTACACTGAGGCAACGGTGTCGGAGGTCGAGCAGTACGACGTGTTGTCTGAGGTTTCCGCCGCGTTTGCGAGGGGCGGTGAACCCGGGAGAGACTTTCGGAGCGCCATCTCTGTCGTCTCCGTTCGCAGGTAAGATTCGGCCTGCTCGGCAGTTGTGATAGCGGTCTGATGCGCTTGACGGAGGAGGAAGACTTGGGCATCGGCCGGGAGGGCCACGATCAGTTGTTCTCGAATGAGGAGGTCATTGACGTCGTCCGAGGACTATGCAGGAGCTGCAATGCGACTTACAGAGGAGCTGCGACCGGTAGGAACGCGGAGGCAGGGAGGCTGCTTAGAGGCAGACGGACGGATTCTGCGTAGAGGCAGACGGACGGTATCTGCCGTGAGGCAGACGAACGGTTTTTGCAATGAGGCAGAATTGCTAGAGAGAGCCTGAGTGAGAGGGCTAAAACGGGTGAAGAGGAGTACAGTTTGAGGACTACATTGCAAGCAACTCAGCTGGATTCGTAATCAAGCCGCTTCTGACACCATGTTGTGATCTCGAACTCGTCAGTCACTGAACTGATTTTACTGTAAAGAAGACACGAACTTATAGAGTGTGAAGAAGAGTATAGCAGATAGAGAGCGGTGGAAGGAGAGCCACTGGACAGCTGGATAGTGTATCAATAAGCGCACGAGGGGAAGGCTAGACAGTATGTCTCTAGACATCAATAGCTATTGTACGAAAGGCCAGTCAATAGTACTAAAGAGTGAAGTCAACCACAACACAGACAATAGCTTCAGACAATCATGACAGGCATGATACGGATGATATAGCACTCTCAACTCCACACATTCATAGGTACAGTAAAACTAGAACAAGACAAACTCTCGTATAATTTTTCCACCAACGACCATACCACAACTGCACTCTCCAGCACCCTTTCGACACGTTGCCACAGCACACCATCAGCAAAGCGACACATCCGTTGGTACTGAATTCCTTCATGCAGCTGTTTCGAGTATAAAACTCTCGTCGGTTATTGTGGCAATGTGTCGAGGTCGGCTGGAGAGCGCAGTTATGGTGTGGTGCTCGATGAAAAAGCCTCTCCAGAGTTCTTTAGAAACGAATCCTTTAATCCAAGATGGGAATGAGCTAGTTTTGTATTCGTTTGAAAGCGTGAAAAGGTCTGCCATACCTGTAAGGGCACATTGACTTTAACCGGATGAAGTGTTGCTGTCATGTCCCACTGTAGACCTGGCAGGAGAAAGGATACATCGATCAGGAGATCCATCTGCAGGCGAACAAATAAGTGTGACGCCCACCCGCATCCACATCCGCGTGAACACCCACATACAGGCATACACACGCACATACACATGCGCACACACACACATACACCGAAGCAGATAGAAAGCCACCACAGTTCACTCCTGGCTCACCTGAGCATTAACCAACTACCGTCCCCACCCTCCCACTCTCACAGTGCAAACTTTCTGAGGTAACCATTCAAGAATATGAATACACAATCTTTTGAAGAAGAAGAAGAACCACGGAATGTGAATACACAAAATTAATGTTCCTACAATTCCACGTCCATGGTGTAAGCATGCATGCATGCATCTTTTATTTTTCAACCTCCCTCAAACTCGTAGTTTTATCGGACACATGCATTTACAGAAGACTGCTGTTATAATTCGAAGACAATGTTGGTTCATGGAGCATCAGCAATTAAATCAATATACCCACAGCACAGATTTACGCAACCTCCCTCCAACTCATACTTTTGTCAGATACAAGTCATGCATTTACAGGAGACTGATTTCATAAGTTAGAAACAATGTTGGTCCGTGGAGCATCAGCAATTGTACTCACAGTGCATACAAAGATGTGCTGCACATACTGAATCTCACCTCCAGATTTCCAGACTTGCGCGGTGACAGCACCCACACATGGTTGATCTCCGGCGCTAACGGTCCCAGCTCCAACCTGAAGAGAAGAAGAGAGTTGTGAGTTATGCCTGGAAAATCTCTCAAGACTACAGAGCACACACACACTCACACCCGCCACTCATGTAAACACCGGTGGTATGGCGAGGGAAGTGGGCCACAAAACTAGAAGCTGCATGGTATCTCATACCCCCCCCCCCCATGGCTGGCAAACGCCCCCTCCTCATCTATATTGGCACTGATTCATCTTTAGCCACTGGAAGGTGTAATAATAATAATAATACAACAGCTATGCAGCAGGGGAAACTCTAGTTACCGTATTCCCAGAGTATGAGAGAGAGGGAGAGAGAGAGAGAGAGAGAGAGAGAGAGAGAGAGAGAGAGAGAGAGAGAGAGAGAGAGAGAGAGAGAGAGAGAGAGAGAGAGAGAGAGAGAGAGAGAGAGAGAGGAGAGAGAGAGAGAGAGAGAGAGAGAGAGAGAGAGAGAGAGAGAGAGAGAGAGAGAGAGAGAGAGAGAGAGAGAGAGAGAGAGAGAGAGAGAGAGAGAGAGAGAGAGAGAGAGAGAGAGAGAGAGAGAGAGAGAGAGAGAGAGAGAGAGAGAGAGAGAGATGAGAGAGGGAGAGGGAGAGAGAGAGATCATCACACTCACCCTTGTGTCGTGAACGAATCTACCCACGTTGGCTTATTGTAGTCGAGGAAATGCTGCAGCTGCTGAGAAATCTGCTGCTCCATGGATGCGCGGTACGATGTCCATATCCGCACCAGCGTGTGCGACTAAAACAACGCCAGCAAACAGATCGGCGACATGCAAACGCGCACGCACAAGTACACGAACACGTACATTGTACACAGATGCACACAATAGAAGGTCATGTTTGTGTGACAGTGCTCTCATGGTGTGAGCAACAAGATGATAAGATTGTAACATGGAAAATGTGGGTGCAAGTTACCCTTTCATACCTTGTGCATGGTGTAGTGAGTACACATAACAGCAGGAAACATGCGTTAGTGGCCATCAAGTTGGTGCGGTGATGATCAGATCAACAGGACTAACCCCGGCAGGCCTGTCCATATACTGTAAAACATGTAATTTTAGGTGCATTAAAATTTCGGTGCCAGGGACCTGCTAGGTTTCCGGTGTAATGTAGAAATAGGTGATCGGCATTCCCGTCACATACAGTGCATACTCTAGTGCGTTTTAGGCGTAATTTAAATATAGGTGCCTGGTTTCTCTAACGAAATCGCCGAAATTAAAGTTACATCAAAAATTACATGTTTACAGTACATGTATGTGCAGTCAGAGCAAGTGAACTCCGCACCCATGTACTTTTCCCACTTTGCAACGTGCTGATCTCGATGACCGCTCATACACCTGCACTGTAGAATGGGCATGGTCTCAGTACAGTCAGACCTGGCTTATCCGGTCCTCTTTTATCCGGATCCCTCGCCAACCGGAAGACATCATTGGTTACCGATTTACAGCATACGTCATGCATACATACAGTGTGTGTGTTCGACTATCCGGTTCCCTCGCCTAGCCGGATATTTTTGTTGAAAATGGATGTGTGCGGTTAAGCGAGGCCCCGCTGTACGAATAACAATGCAAGTGTATATCGGACCGGATTACCCCTGCCAAAGCAGTACACGCCATCTCACACTGCAAGTGGAGAAGCCCCCTTGCACACATCTACATGTATACACGAAGACAGGAGGCAGGACTGGCGGAAGCAGTGTTTGATTGGTCCGGCTATAGCCTAGCCTCTTGATTTGTGCATGCCAAGGATACATGACCTCCTCAGCCGTAAACACGCGTTGCTGGCCAAAAAGGCGGTCCGGGCATGGCTTGACTGGTTCCACCGGGCTTGCTAGGCACAGATCCAGACCCAGAACTACAGCATATCGGTGCACAACACCCAGACCAGCAACAAACATGCCGTGCAACATGCTAGTCTCTTCATAAGAATGCCATATACCAGTATCAATCTCAACTGTGGTGTTAGCTAAGACTATGCGATTGTGAAGGGGGGGGGGGGGGCAATCTACAAAGTGTATGGACTATACTGAATCGTGTAGCATCCGGTATCATTTTTTTTAACTGCAGTATAATTTCTTTTCAGTGCTTGAGGTTATCAATAGATGTTCCTGAGTATAAATTATGTACATGACTGTATAACCAAGAGGAAACTCGGTCTACCTACCAGCCATTCTGTTGTTTCTCCATCTCTGGGCATCACAGACTTGGACTCATCTTTGGAGGTAGTTTCCTTGGTTTTCTCCACCCGCTCCAGCCTATTGTGCATGGTTCCCAAAGCCAGAAACAGGACTGCCAGCAGGAGAAGAAGAACCAAAATTGAGAATCCCCATGCTCCCAAGAAGAAGGCGGCGACAGCAAACGCAGCGCCGTGTAAGTATGCTTTTTCGAACACTTGCGAACATTCCTGCAAGGTGAGCAGGGGCTTCATGGTAAAGAAGGTAAGACGAAAGAAGGTCCTTGAAAAACTGGCTTCCAAACTTTACAATTCACTGAATTCAAGCAAACTGAACCTGTAAACGGAGTTTCGTGGTTCAGTGAGGACTTAGTCTTAGGTCCGAAAACCGCCCAATCTGCATGGGGGGAAATGAAGCATTATGCTTGTCAAGGCACTGGTTTTGTAAAGAATGACAGAAGCTAGGCCACTGTCACAGTTTCGGTAAGACCACTGACTGCCAAACCTCGCTTCTGATTCAACACTGATAATGCAGGGACAAGAAACGATCGCATCTTCCGAACCTCCCGTACATAATCTACAAGACTACTGGCTGCATTGTGCATGTACTATGTGTGTGTATGATCGAACTGTAGGTCTACGTACATTGTACTCAATCATTGATAGCAGGGAGTAGGTATTTTACTACTCCCTTAGAGTGACCTCCACTAGTGCACTTGACACGTACATCTGCCAGTACACTGGTATAGACACTATAATAATTATTGTCCATCAAGTATCAGTCCATTTCAAAATAATAAGCAATCCAGTTTTTGTTTGGGCATGGCAAACTGTTCTGTGAAGGTTCTGGACCAGAATTTCTCAATGTGCATGTGCAGTGCACATCGTCATTGTCAGTGTCGCACATGTTACGTATATGTGCATGCTTGTCCGTTGTGGGATGTGTGGCACACTCGCATGTACGCTTCATGCTAGCATGCTAGTAGAAGCTCTGTAGAGTACTCTTGGCAATACATGTAATACGCTGGGGTCATAATCTTGCTAGAGTCCATTTCATAATAAAAACAATCCGGTTTTGTACCTACATGTACATGACTGTACTGGTATTCTGTTCAGAATCAGTGCTGCCAGCCACTATATATTAAAATTAGGGCTGAAACGATCGTGGATTTTCACCTATCGATTACTCTTTAGCTTAACGATCGAGTAATCGATTATAATCTTTAGCAAATAGCGTCAGAATTTTGTGCAAAAATTATCCTGTTTCCAAAAGCTAGGCCTTCATAATACCAAAAATCTGCATTAGTGACAGGGTAGCTCCAAACCATGACAGTTTTGAAGTCAATTTAACCTCAGAATATGCACCATGCCCCTGGCAACTGCACACACGCAGCGTAAACTGATTCAAACTTCACAAAACGAGGGTTTTCAGTACTTTTTGGACTCAAAATTCCTAACGAGTAATCTATAACGTAACGATTACTTGATTGATAAGGAATTATCGATCGCTTACCGAGTAATTGGTATAATCGTTTCAGCCCTAATTAAAATCAATGTGTAAATCCCTCCAGATCGGAAACCTTCTCTTCAAGCGAACTTGCTGGGTTTATACTAGGGCTGAGTCGGGTATCGGGTCCGGGTAATTTTCCACGGGTAGCACGGGTACCCGATCGGGTAATGTTTCCATGGTAAGACCACAATGCACACCGGCCCCTTCCCTTACATACTGGGTAGACATGCGTGAGTTATTTGTACACGTGCACTGTAGACCTCTCTCTCTACTCTTTCTACATGATTTCATCTGCGACTTCGGGTTTTCGGGTACGATTCGGTACCCGTCTACCCGAAGGTCCTCACGGGTAGCACGGGTACCCGACTACCCGTGCACACCACTAGTTTATACAATTCCCAAGCTTGAACCCAGAGAATGTGATTAGTGGTCATCACTATGATCAGATCAAACAGCCAAAACATTGAAAACCCCTACACCATCACAAACACAAGACGGTGGTCTCTGCGCTGCAAACCGGTTTAATTTCTTTATTTCAATCAAATTTTCGGCCAGGAGCCATCATCAACAGGATTAAGGGGCAAGCAGCCAAACGTCCATTGAAACCTAGGTCACCGCTGCAATGATATCAGCAACATGGACACAACGAATACTAAGCCGGAACGAAGCAAGAACTGAAAAAAATTAAACCCTAGACAAAGAACAGGACAGATGGAACCTAAGCTAGTACACATGTGTCCACTAGAAAACGACGAAGACACACCGCCACTCTAGCAACACAACGATAATGAACATAAGATACGGGGTGAAACAGCTACTACCGATCCAAGAGAAGCAAACACCGGTAATTCTTCCAGAGCAAAAGGAAACCAGGGGCTCAAGGGCAAAAATATAGACATCTGACTGTATAGCAAGTGTAGACATAATGGAAGAATCTAGAAAGGGAGCAAATCAATCTTTTGTGTTAGGAGGCTATGTTGAAAATTTCAACGCTGAGACGAAAATAGAGGCTGGAGTGTACGGAGAGCGGCCCAAGGATGTGCCATGGCTCACATGCATACTTCGGTACGAATATCAACACTGAAACCCGGGGCTGGCCGTTAGAGCGACAACTGCGTCAGTAATACTTTCATTAGTACTCAGCAAGGGAAAGATGTTGCCGTACGGGTCGCGGTGTTTCTTCGACTGCTTCTTTGCACTGCCGGGTGTACGCATATGGGGACTGGTTTGCATCGGATGATCGTTCGATACGGATCGGCCAGGACTAGATGGTTCCTTGTGTAGTGACATTGAACGGCGGCGCTTCTTCGGTGCAGCAACCTTGTTAGCAGCAGCAGGCGCATCAGTATCAGCATCAGGAGCATCAGCCACATTCTCCTTGTCGACCAACGATGGGAAGCTGTTGTAGCACGACTGGCGGCGCTTCTTGGTCGGCTTCTTTGCACTAGTGGGCCTCTCCCAGTGTTGATTGCCCTCGGTGAACGGATCGCCGGATCGCAGCTTGCACTTTCCAGATGGCTCTTTGTACGATGAGATGGAACGCCGGCGGCGACGCTGCGATCGAGCTGCACAGTCAGCCTCTTTGCTGGACGACTCGGACAGGATATCGTCTGAAAACGAGCGGAACCACTCCGATACTTCCGACGAAACAGGCGACGATGGTGCAGAAGTTGCAGGTGAATCCTTGACGCGCACAGCAGAAGTGCTCGTGTTCGGGCTGGTGACCAAAACTGATGCTCGAGCAGCTTCGCTGCAACACACGTTCTCCTCCTCCACCCCGTGTTCTTCATCTTCCTCGTTCACCTGTTCATCATTGGCGTCATCCAGTAGAGCAGGTGTGTGAAATCCCTCACTAGAGTAAGTGGAACTGCCGGAGAATCCTCTCTCCGCAAGCGAGTCATCGGTGACACCACTACGCAGACTGTCGCCAAAGGGCGAAAGGCATTGTTCCTGCTCTTCCTCAATGATATCAGTTGTTGGCTTGTGCGCAATGGGGGTTTGACTAAGGGTTGGAACATTGAGTTCTTCACGTGCTGCTCTCACCTCGTATGCTTTGCCATTGCTTTGACGTGGCTCATCTACGATCCCTTCTTGTACGACAGGTGACACCCTCAGTGCACAATGCTCAGGCGAATTCACCACTGACTGACGTGAAGGTGAAATGGGACGCACAAAGCTACATGTATCGATGGCTCCCTTTACGATACCAATGCACCGAGACAGCCTGGATACGTGGCTTCGTTCCTTGCCAAGTTGCTTTTGCAAATCCACTATTTCACTGGTCTTCAGAACCAGTTCCTCGTTTAGACTGATTCTTTCACTTTGCAAGGCAACATTTCTCGTCTGTGAGCGCTGAAGGGACTGTTCCAGCTCTTCGACTCGTACTGCCAACTCTCTGTTGTTCTCACGCAATCCCACCAGCGTTTGCGGGGCTTTCCTCGTTTGTTTTCCCACTGTAGATTTTCTACGCATGGTAGTCCGCTTGACAGCAGGAGTGCCTTTCGCGGATTTCCCACTTGGAGCCATATCTCCACTAGTGAATTCCTAACAACGTCCTGATATCTGGTGGGGCGATTACGAGACGAACATTGAAACATAAGGAGACAGAACGAATACCGATACTGCCCAGATAAGAGCGCTCGAACTCGAGTCAAGATCAAACTCAAAGCCAAAGCCAAGGCTCTACTCAAAAAGTCAAAAGTTCCCGGGCCATGTGTACGTGTGTTGTCATGTAGTAGTTGCGATAGCAACGACCGGTGACGTCAAAAGTGGATGAAACGTGAAACCCAGCTGTTTTGTACGGTTTAGTACGACCTGTGAGGCCCACCGCGCCGGTACGCGGTGCCCACGCGTGCCGTACCGTTCCAGCATGGTCTTCGCGTGCACCCCAAACAAGCACGTGGCAAAACAAACTCCACAAGAGGCGGATTCGATCCAAAAAAGACCAAAACGGAGCAGTGTGAGTGTGTGTGGGGGTACGTAAAGTACAGTAAACCGTAGTTCAGCCCTGCGAAGAAAGTTCTTTGAAGGCCTTTTTCTCCGTTTATGGGTGAAGCCGAGTATCTGGTGTCAAATCGATAATCATGTCTGTCATTGCTGTCAATCCTATCAATGCTGCATACTCCCTTGCTCCTTACAATAGAACAGATCAACACGAACTTGAAGTGGATGTAGAAGGTTGTCTACCTTTTCGCAACATTGCAATCCTGCTGATCGGTGGCGTTGGAATCACCTGATCCTTGCGCCGAGCTAGTACAGTAGTAAGAGAGCAGTCAATAATTACATTTGCGACAGGGTGCTAAATTGCATGCAGAGGTTACAAATAAGTCGATGCATGCCATGTTCAGAATGTTCGTCGTGGAGTTGGGATCACCTGTGCATTGTTTGGTATCGTATGAGAACATTTCTCACGAATGAGACTGCAGTTGTAGACCCGGCTAGCTAACTGTATCCTACAAAAAAATATCAACTCCGGTACTGTCGGATTTTCTCCTTACCTGTCCCCGAGCCTGTGCGACAAAATAGGTTATCATGGTAGCGGTGTGTAAAGACGATGTGCTGCTATGGTTCAAGGAATCCTCTGCCAGCAGTCGAGTGAATGTCTACTCCGGCATGCTGAAATGCTGCACGCCGTTCGAGCTGAGATACTTCTTCACACTGCTAGAGGACGCGCTCAAAGACTGCTACCAGTCGCTCCGGTCCGCAGAGCAGAAAGTGAACAAGTTCATCACCTCACCTCCAGCAGCTAGCCCCAGGCACGTGGAGGCCGTGCATCCGTGCGCGGCGGCGAAACTGTCGAATGACGAGGATCGCGCCAACCTGCTCGCCACGCTGGCCCTGCTGAAGGGCACAAACCACACCGTCGCCAGCCAACTCCTGTACCCGGTCCTGTCCACAATCAAGAAAGAGTACGTGGCCAGCGAGAATGACGCGCGCGAGGAGTTCCTACTCATGCTCAACATGGCAGCGAGCCATCCGGCTTTCTCGTTCGCCGAGCGGCGGATTTTCTGGGACAAGATCGACACGTTGTGTGAGGCGGTATCCGTGGCAACGCCGGGTAGCAATGACCATGATCGAGGACTGCTCAAGAAAGAGGTTAGCGAGAATGTGTGCTGATATGATAGCTTTGTGATATCTTGATCCGATGTTTCATCTGTATACGAGTGTCGCGCTTGACACTCTTGTTGCTGTCCAATGTGGTGAACCCCTCGATGAACGATCAGCCTTTGGGTCATCTTTGGGTCATTCCAATAAGGAAAATATTACCAAGAGTACATGAAAACCAGAGTGTGCAGCTCGGATGGGTTGCTGTCACGGCGAAATTCCGTGATTACATCATTTTAGTGATGTAGTGCGTACAAGCAGGATTCAAGCAGGTCTCTTTCTGCACAACTGCAGCTTAGTTGTACGCACTACGCCATTTCCCGCCGAGATCTGCACCAAATATGATGTAATCACAGAATTCCGCCGTGACAGACACCCATAGCAGAGAAGACCCCGGCCCAAGCTGCACACTCTGGTTTTCATGTACTCTTGATAATTATTACCTGTAGTAGTGTTCAATATATTACGACTCCCGTTGCCATGGCGGTATTGCTATTATTAGTATTATGGTATGTGTGGCGTAGCCTATTAGAAGTGTGTGTATGGGGAAGGGGGCTTTGCAACCTTGCAATGTGTTCCTCCTCTTAGTCTAGAAAAACAGTGCATGGAACTTCTCCTGCAAGGAACTGCACATGCACACTGTAACAAACACGTACTCACCTCGACTTTGAACACCCTCTTGTTTTTACGACAGCAGCAGCAACGGCGGTCATGCCTTGTTGGCTAGGTTTCAGGAACAGCTGAATGCATTGCACTCTCACTAGCCTATACGTGTGCACAGTGCACACAATCATGTGCGTGCAAGATTAAAATACATTGTACACATAAGTAGCAAGTAGCAAAGAAGCCACTGGCACTAGTAAATCCGAAAAAGGCCTTTCCAAGCATCACTCTTCATAATCGCTACATTGGTGACGTGAGCAGCAACTATCGAGTCCTTTTATCTGGCTCTGTAGGTGGTCAAAGCGGTGACAAACTGGCACCTTCAGAGCGTAGGTAGTGCCAGCTACATAGCGAGACTAGAAATACTTCAATGTGCACCGCATAAAATCAGCTGTAACCTGAACTGTGTGTACAGAAGGAGTATGTGCGAAAGTTGTCACTGTGTTTGACATTGCTGTACTGTGTTTGACATTGCTGTACCGTGATCCCCGTTGTTGTATGATGGTATGCTGTGTATGTCAGGTTTCAGGTTTAGCTCCCTCGTATTGGACTGTGTTCACAGCCACCTTAGCTCTTTCCGTATTAGACTGTGTTCACAGCCATGTTAGCTCCCTCCGTATTAGACTGTGTTCACAGGTATTTTTGCTCATTTTCTTCCTGTTAAGGTTACGCTTGTGTTTATTTTGCCCGTATAACAGGCTTGGGTACACTGGGAAAATAATTGAGGTTTTGCCGTGTAGCTGATGCCAGTTGCACCCTCTACTAATTAAAGGCACCAATTTGTCGCCGCTTTCATCGCCTAGAAAGTTACATAAAAGTGCTCGTTAGCTGCTGCTCAATTCATCAATGTACATTATACTGATTATGAAGAGGTGTGAACGGCCTTATCACCAGTGGCTTCTGTGCTGCTGTGAGTCGACAAATTTTCGGCCTGTACTACTGCCGCTTGTATACACTGTCACAAAAAAACCTTGCGAAACAAATTTCGGCAGCAACACATTTTCGGCCAAACATGACCGGGCCGAAAATAGCCGAAAATAAAAATGCACCGAATATTTGTAGACTCACAGTATTTGTGCTAATTTTCTTCTCCACTAAATCCCTATGCAAGACTAACTTACAGTCCATTCAGAAAAAGATGGGCCCTGGCTCTGGCGAGCTCCCGTATTTGGCGATTTTTCGTGATTTCATTGTACACAGTGCAGTGCTGCGAAACTTGAACTTTGAAAAAGAGTCCAAAAAGGGTACCTGAACTGGGGTTCGAACCCCACAATGCACTGTTGCAGGCAGGGTCAAACGGCCTGGATTTTGATGGTTTTTTTTCCAATTCAATGCTTCTGGGGCAAAACTTGGCCGATATCCTATTCTTGTTATGGCTTGCTTTTTGGACAAATAGACTTCAGAAACATAATTGGAAGAGGATTCCATAGGGGATTGCAGAAAAAAATTCTAAAAAAACTCAAAGTTTGACCCATTTATGGCCAAAAGCTAGAAGTCCATCTTTTTCTGAATGGACTGTAGTGTGGAATTAGGTGTTGCCAAACACGCTAATAGTACTTGCATTTCTTACCCTGCTCGACAGCCATGCAGCAAGAGTAGGTACATTTTTATTTGAATTCGCAGAACCAAACGGGCGGTGTCGCCCAATTACATGGAAGCGAATAGAGTATGCACTGGTGTGTCACTAGCTCGCGTCTTGATAGACATGGCCTATACCGAACAGCATGGCTGTTAACACTGCGTGTGCCCATTGCGATGAATCTCTAACGTCTTTAATCTAGCGATTACCAGTGTGTTGTAGCTCTCACTGTCCCTGTGCCATTGTTATAGACTGTCGCTATCACTACTCATGCTATTTCTTTGATGGGCAACGAAGGAAGAGCTTGTGTTGAAAGCAGTGTACTTTATACGAAGAAGCTTTCGTTTGAAATTGATCTTCGTTGTTTCGTTCACTATCCAAAGTAAACAAATGGTATTACTTCGAAGTGCTAAAAGTTGTAGTTCTGAGATCTGAACAAATGAAAGTGTACATAGTACATGAGACGAAGGTCCGCAATCGTGAAGTTCTTGTCATAATGACTTGGTCATGTGGAGTGTCTCACCCTCTACAGTCCGGCATTTCAAAACTATAGACGCGTACCTAGGCAAAAACCGTTATGCCAGCATCTATACCACATAAAATCTGTGATCACTTTGTGCATAAATTTTTCCAAATTGGGCGTCTGTTATCCAATCATTTAGAAACTATATGAGAGTAATTGTGGAGCAGACCTGAGCAATATTCCGAAAACTATTCTCAAAAAGCTCCAGCCAAATTTGAAATATTTCAAAAACCCTACACGTCTATAGTTTTGAAATGGACTGTAGCAAGATTGTACCGGTACTTGACATGCGGCTTCAGTTACCGGTATTTGAATGTTTTTGTGTTGCCACGGTACCCTGTGTGGTCTCTGTGTGTGGTGCCCTAGAGGTGTCAAGAGGCGCGTACCAGTGTACTAAGCTTTATGGACGACTGGGCGGACACCGGTACTACTAACTGGGCGGAGAGCGGTAAGGTGACTCCCGCTTTACGGAGGTGCTCCGTATTAAAGTGGATTGGGGTGTAAATGTATGACTCACTTCCTAGGTCGTACACTATCGTGTTCGGAGTTGCCAAGGGCAGCTACGTGACTCGAAAATTTCCATATGGCGGAACACGGATCCGCATGCAGTGCACGTAAGACTTTCCGAAGATCGACTACGTTATTTGCTAACATACTTACGTTGTGCGGAACCTCTCTGTCAACACATGGTTCACTGCGATCATTAATACAGCCAGACCTCTTTTATCCGGATCCATCGCCATCCGGAAGAAAATCTCTGGTAACCGATTTACAGCATATGTTATGCATATACAGTATGTGTGTTCGATTATCCGGTTCCTTCGCCTATCCGGATAATTTTGTGGAAAACAGAAGTGTGCGGTAAAACCGAGGTCTGGCTGTACTCTCTGTATGCGCAGCCGACCTACTCTGGACCTACATCTATGTGTCACCATATCTCTATTGGTTGTTTGTGCAGGCGATGTAGTCCCGGACATTATCATTGTCTCTGGCTGTCAGAAAAGCAAGGGAAGCGGCCGCTTCGACACCATTCGTTTCGAATACATATTCGAAGTAGGTGCATGTACAGTCAAGCTACTCTCATAACGATTACCCCTATCACAATACGAGCATTGACCTTGTACGGTATCCATATTTTCTGCCAAACCCAATCACTCCATTATCACAATACGAGTATTGAACTTGTCCGGTATCCATATTTTCTGTGAAACCCAATCACTCCATTGACTTTCGTATACAATGCCTTATCTCAATACCACAACTGCTCCTATCAAGTGGTGTTTGTTTCGGGCTGACGTCGCGTGTGCTCGTGCGTGCGTTGGCTGTGTGCAGGTGACTTGGTCGGATGGCACGTTCAACCGGTGCTTCAAGACCTACAACGACCTCTTCCAGTTCCAGAACAAGGTAGGTAGGGGGGACTGTCACTGCACGTACTGCTGTGCGTCACCTACATGTATGTCTGGCGATCACGTGTCACTGGAGGCTATACGAGACCCTGGCACATGGTCACTATCAGAGGTTCTAAACTCTTAGTACCCGGCCCGCTAGGCAGCAACGTGTCACTTGTCCGACACACTCGGGACCCTGTTGGTTAAGTGGATATTCCGGAACCCTGAAGCTGAAGTATACCAATTTGTAAACACATCTCAATGATTGTTATGTACCTTTTTCATTGTGGCATTCTTTTCGTATCTGACACTTGTGTTTATATTAAAATGTTGAACATCGATATGAGCCCACTCTGTGACAAAACATGTGTCATGGATTGTGTGCAAGCACTCTTGCGTGCGTCCCCGTTTGACTACTTGGTACATGCGGTCCTTGGAGCTAGTTTATGTCACTAGACCGATATCAAACCCTAATGCTTTGACACACACAAAACACAGGTTTGTTCAAGTTCGCCAAAGGGCCATCTATCATCTTTAGATTGGCATACTGTGCTAACCTATGCAGTGTTCTCTATCTTTGACTGTGGTAGCTTCTCAATGAAAATGCAGTGGCTGCTGGCAAAGGTGCCTCTCCCCGTATTATTCCTTTCCTGCCAGGTATGTATGCGTGTGTGTGTGTGTGTGTGTGTGTGTGTGTGTGTGTGTGTGTGTGTGTGTGTGTATGCATCGCTAACGTCCTGGTCCTCACTGGTTCCTCCTAGGCATTCCTTCATCAAACGCCAAGTTTGATTTTTATTGGGAGTTTTCACTTGACTTTCAACTGCCTGCATAAATCAATCCTGCATGTAAGTTGGTTTTTATCAAGGGTCATGCATGATCACCCTTCTTTGGGATCATTTCTGATACATGCGTTGCACATGTTTTGCACTTGGATTTTTCTCAGGCAAGAAGCTGCTGACAAAGGCAACGCGTGAGCTGGCCGAGAAGCGCCTTCCGGAGATAGCAGAGTATGCCCAGTAAGGTCACTTACGAGAAAAGAGAAAGGGCCAATAAGTAGCTACTTGTATTTATGACTAACAGTCCACCAAGGTATCGAGATCTTATACAGTCAGACAGTGCGACAACAAGGCACAAAACTGACAACCGCAACCGTGGTAGACTGTTAGTCAAAACTAGTAACTTATTGTCCCTTTCTCGTTACTTATAATATTGGCTCACCGTCCGAGTTTTAATACGGTCGCTTATGCACGATATTATCGTGATATGCTTGTTGCGGCGGTTACATCGAGAAAGACGGAGTACTCTCCTGCTCCGGTGCTCCGTGTCCACCCTAATACGGGTGCTTTCTACATACAGTGCTCCGTGTCCACCCTGATACGGGTGCTTTTACGTACAGTGCTCCGTGTCCACCCTAATACGGGTGCTTTTACATACGGTGCTCCGTGTCCACCCTAATACAGGTGCTTTTTACAAACAGTCAGGCTTATGAATAACCTGTCAGCTGTAGTGAATTGCGCTGTGAGGAATCGAGGGATGGTGACTCCGAGTGAGACTAACGGTACCAATTTCTTCTGTATAACAGTGTTCATATGTTCACCCGCTGTCTGGACGTGTTTTATATTCCACTGAACTCTTTTTCTTGAGCACAGTAACTCCGGAGAATGTGAACAAAAAGTCATGAAGTTTTGTTTCCGTCAGCAGTAGCAGTCTCGCATGCATGGTCGGTTCTGAGTTCTGAGTGGTCACACCACTCCTCACGCATGGCCGTGATTGCGTACTCGTTTGATTGTCTATTCCTGCAGGAAGCTCACCGAGCTGCCTCAGTACATGCTGACCACTCCGCTCGTAGTGGACTTCTTCAACAGCGTCACGACGACCACCAGTGGTACATCCATTGCTGCTGTGGACGGCGGCGCCTTGGAAGACAGTCCTATCACTGTCACTGCACTACCAGCCAGTGCCGGCAGTGGTGATGCCGTCGGGGCGGCTACGCTGCTGAGCGGCGCCGGAGGTGATTCCAATGGCAGCTCGGTGTCCACCGCCACTAGCCAGCATCACTCTCCGGACGGCCGTGAAGCAGCTGCTGCTGGTAGTGACATTGCCGCCACTCCGGTGCTGAGCGGCGCTGAGTCCAGTGGTAGCTCTGCCGCCGCCACCTCCAAGGATTCTCAGGACAGCTGTAAGTCGCTGCCGCACTTGTGGTGGCTAACATGAACAAGTAATATTCTTTTTTAATTTTATTTGATTGATCTTCCAAAGGCAGATAGATGCCTATCGTGTGAATCTCAAGGGTGAAAATACATGTATGTGAAAATGGAAATGTTGAACCTATGTGTGGCAGTTGACTGTTTGTTCTTGTTGGATGCTGCTGCTGCTTCTGGATCTGTGTGAGCAGTGATGACTATCCACCAGTCTGAGGGATCGCTGCAGGTCAGCGCAAACACGTCGCTGGCACGCCCGCGTGACCAGTCCTCGCTGCGTCCCGGCAGCACCAGGCCGGTGCCCATCTCCATCACGGAGGTGGACGAGGAGCACTGCGAACACCAGTGTGTTCCTCGTCTCGGCGGCGGTGTGGTCTACTTCAAGAAAGACCAGGTCATGACCACCACGTCGCTGACCTTTTTGGAACAGTACGGATCAGCGTCCAGGCTAGCCTCGGAAAAGTGCAGGCGGTCCTCGCCGTCGGGTTCAGGCATGACTGGCACGGCAGAGTTGATACAACTGGGTACAACTCTTCCGGACTCCATCACCGCTGGCTCACTGGAACACGGTCTGTCGGGGAGATCGTCGGTTGCCAGTCCGAGCGATCTACCGTCCTCGCACGGCGATGATAGCTCAGGCCTCCTTCTGACGGAGCATCGGCACACCGAGCCCACCCAGCGACGCCGCATATCTGCCTCGTCCTCGACGACGCTACTGAGTCGCACTGGCTCATGCACCAGCCTAGCATCGCGCACCAGTGCCAGCACCGAGGTGAAGACGTTCTCGTCCCTGCAGGACTGGCTGAGGGCGCTACGCCTGCACAAATACTCCAGCACTCTGGAAGAGTACAACTTTAGCACGGTGAGTCCCAGCAGAAACCTTATGTGCAGTAGTGGCAACTGAAATGTGACCCCTGCTTGTTTACGTGCGTGTGCTACTGCGGTGCTAAAACGAATCGTAGTGAGTAATGTGCATGCCCCTGGCATGCCAGCAAAGCCTGCAACAAAGTGCCTATCACTTTCTGGTCTTGTGTGTGTGTGTCATATTACTACACAAGAGAGAGATTGGAAGCTGTGTTGCGACTCTGAGTTTCACGTATTACTATGATCATTAGGCAACTGAAGTGCTTTTCAATTTTCACAACAGAACGACTTTGTTGATTTGTTGTTTGCTTCATGCTCAAGTAATGTGTGTGTGTGTGTGTGTGTGTGTGTGTGTGTGTGTGTGTGCATGTGTGTGTGTGCGTGTGTGTGTGCGTGCGTGTGTGGTCCGTGTGCGTGTGAGCACCCCTGTGTGTGCATATGTATGTGCATGCGTGCATACGTGCGTTTCTCGACACAGCTGATGCGCCTGACATCTGAGGAGTTGGATGCCTTGGAGATGACTGCTGGTGCTCGGTCCAAGTTAGTCAATCAGATCGAGTGGATGAAGTAAGTTAATATCTGACTGCAAGTTGAAATGTTGGGCAAGGAAATCTTGGTGAACTGTTTAGTAATCCCGTGTATGGCCCTTTTACCGACATCTTGTCCCACACTCTCAGGGGTAATTGCTAGTAGACAAATACAATCAACTGGGGACAGAATTTATAATTGTGCGGTGGATGTACCGTAAAGTCGTGTATAAAAGCCGAGGCTTAGGGGAAATTTTGCAGGCTTCTACATGAGACAGGCTTCTATACAAGACCGGTATCTCCATGTATGTCAACATTAAAACCAGGCGTATGTGCCAGCAGTGTATCCAGGCTTCTATTCAAAACAGCCTTCTATAGGAGACAGGCTCTAAGGTATGTACCACAATCTACAAGTAGTACTGTATGGAGTGGATGTGCACGACTGTATGTAATCTACGGAAGAGTCTTTCCACGGCACATGCAAGGAATGCGTAACACGATGGCATAGAAAGCCCAGTGTTCCAGCTCTGCTCTGCTCTTCTCTACATGATCTGTGTGCACAGGAAGAATGACTGTGATCAGTTTGCCATACTGTACAGAGGTATCGAATCTGGAAAGAAGGTAACTGCTGCGTACTCAACTACATTACCATGCATTTATTTATTCCCGTAGCTATGCAGAAGACGTTACTTCAGTAACGTCTGGCGCTAGCCAGGGTCCACACAGCTTTAATTTGGTGTTTGTGTGTTTGTGTCACGCCTGGCGCTACCTTGTATCTGTCCCGTACCGTACCGTACCATCAAACACAACTGGCCACATACAGCTGGCCGCAATATTCAAATAGGGCTTTCAAACGCAAGATCGTAACGTGAAGCCACTTGGAAGAATGAGTATGAATGCGAAGTGTATGGGGGAATGCATGTAGGGCGATAGTGCGGGTTCGAATCCCAGGCAATGCCTGAAAAAATAGGAGAATTGAAAAATAAATTTATAACATCCCTTTTCTTTTTTTGCCGTCATCAAGGCCGTAGACGGTGTCGTATTACCCTCGACCGTACCTGTCCCGTACCTCTCCCGTACATGTCCCTTACATGTCCCGTACCTATCCCGTACCATACCGTACAATCAAAGACTGCTGGCCACAATGCATATTCAAATAGGGCTTTCAAATACAAGATCATAACGTGAAGCGACTTGGAAGATTTAGTATGTATGCACAGTGTATCGGGGGATGCATGCAGGGCGATAGTGCGGGTTCGAATCCCAGGTTATGTCTAAAAACAAAAAGTAGAAACTTATAAGAATTTATAACATCCCTATGCTTTTTTTTTGTCTAGGTCATCAAGGCAAAAAAGCATGGCGTAGGGCCCTGAGCTTCCAAGCTCTCTCGTTTATCTGGTGTTACCTTGTGCATGTCTGACTGTTCAAAACCTGGTTTAGCTGGTGGACTTTAACGCATAACTTGTGCCCCACCGTTTTCCTTGTTTCCATTTATTTATTGTAACATCTCAAGGCCCAGTGGAAACACTGGCCAATGTGAAGAGAGTGGGTGCTAGCCAACCGCAGCAGGGGTTGTGTGGGAATTAAGAAAAGTAACAATAGGGATATTGAACCTGTCTACCGTTTTCTCATTCTTGGTAGACTGCAGCGAGAGCGAGACAATCGTGCTGACTCTAGTCTCTACCTTCTTTCAGTGTGGCTGGTACTGTCACCAAGCCTCATCATGGTCATGCTGGTGAGGCCAGTCACGTGCACATGCCACTGCAATCTCCACACAACTGTGTGTCTGCATGAACGTGTCCTTTCCTGTGTGTGTGTGTCCGTCCGTCCGTCCGTCTGTAATGCAGAACCGCAATCGCGCTGGCTCCATGGCCAGTATGGATCTGAGTGACAGTAGCTCGCAGGTATCCGTAGGCGGAATTCACTCGGGCGGCGGGGCGGCCCAAAAGCCTAGTCAAGACACACAGGCACCAAAGTCTAGCGTATCACCTTCTTCCTCCGCATGGTCTCTACCCGATATTGTCGTGAGTTCGGCACCATGTCTCACTCTCTCTCTCTCTCTTTCTCTCTCTCCCTCTTTCTCTCTCTCTCTATCTCTCTCTCTTCCTCTCTCCCAATGTTTATATGTCTGTGCTGGTGTCTCAGACACATACACACACGCACACACACGTACGCACACACACACACGCGCGCGCGTACACGTACACGCCGTTAAATCTTCCTGCTGGTCGAATTGCCTACGCGCGCATTCCACACATCTCCACCTATGCATAAACAACCGTGTCCATGTACGCTGTGCTGCATTGGTGTTCCGTTGTGCTGTGTGTCTGTCTGCAGGGAGGTAGCGACTCACCGGCACACACAGCAGCAGTGACAGTAAGCAAGTCGTACGGATACTGTCGGCCTGCTGGACCCAACGAGGGTTTCGACGACTCCTTCACATTGCACCATACCAACCCATTCCTTTCCTCAACAAGCCTCGACAACAGCGACACATCGTTTTTCGGGAGTCACAGCAGCAACCCGTTTCTGTCCTCGGCAAGCCAGGACTCCGTTCCACCAATCAACAATTCTACTACTCCACTGGGACAGCCCGGACAGCAAGGACAGTTCCCCGCCAATGGCCAGAACAGACATGAAGCGCCCGCACAGCCGCCGCAGCAGGCGCTCTGTTCATCTCCACAGCTGAGTTCACACAGCCTGTCATGGAGAAATACCAGCGCATGCAGTTCCGGCACGGATCACACACCACAAGCTATCAGAAAGCACTGACTTGATACCAGCCAAGTCCTTGCCATTACTGAGTTCAACCAGAGAGAGAGAGAAAAGCAACCCTTATTTAGGATCGTATTTACCAACTACATCTACATTAGACTAGTTTGCGTCAACAAATCCGGAAACAATATTATTTATTTAGGAGAGAGAGACACCTGTGCCCTGCCAGTTTCGATCTGTAGCATGTGTATTTACGTAGAGCTTGGCTGCGCACAACACGTTTGATTCCGCTGGCTGGATCCACATGACGCTGAGCGTCGCCGCGGTTACACAGACCATTGACGCCCACAAAGCACGATCATGTGTCTCCTCCATCTCCCCCCCCCCACACACACATGCTTCTTTTGTTTCTCCCACATACATGTACTGACACAAACTCGATGCTGGAGTGGCATGCATTGGACCTTTTTTCTTCGCCCTGCTTTCACAGAACTTACTCCTCGCCTGCACTTCCGTTACGAGTAATGTTTTACGTCGTTCGCACAATTTTATTTTATTAGGAGCACATTGAAGAAGGATACGTTTTATTCTGAATTGAGCATATATTATGTAGCTTGAAAGATGACAGCACACGTCTAACTTATACTAAGATCTGTACTAACAAGAAGGTTTCCTCAGAGTTACCTCGCCCCTCGTAAATTATACGCTCACAATCCGGACTACATGTACCGGTAGCTAGCTGGCTAAACGGACTAGACAGTGCAGCCTAGCATGCGCTGCTTGTTCGCTGTTTATTTTCACTTTAATCGCCACACTGCTGGGTAGATATCTGCGCGCTATGTTTATGAACTTGATTTTAACCTTTCCTAATTAAGTGCAGCTGCACTAGCTAGGCCAGACTTGCCTGCAGGCAAACTGAGCATTACACTGACTGTAGATTCAAGGCTTTCGTTTCTTATCAGCATTGGGCTGGCTGTGGAACCGATCAGCGAAGCTTCCGATTTGTATCTTCGCACAATTTTTTTCCGCAGGTTTTTGTAACCTAGATTACATTGCATACCGGTACCGCAGGATCGACTTGTGTGTACTTGTGTACCAGGCAAGACACGTATTTTGTATACAGTCAGCGTATGGCTTGCAAGTGACAAGGACAAATACTGTGTGTGTGTTTGCGTGTGTTTGCGTGTGTGTGTGTTTGCGTGTGTTTGTGTGTGTGTTTGCGTGTGTGTGTGTGTGTGTGTGTGTGTGTGTGTGTGTGTGCGTGCGTGCGTGCGTGCGTGCGTGCGTGCGTGCGTGCGTGCGTGCGTGCGTGCGTGCGTGCGTGCGTGCGTGCGTGCGTGCGTGCGTGTGTGCAAGACACCCTGGCAGCAGGCATTTACTAGCACCCGCATCAGCGTACTACTACTAGCGCAGGGCACCGGGACCAACCACTAGGCCAGGGGTGGACCGGCTGTACGGCCAAAATCTGTTTGAAATACGTTGGTTGAAACTTGAAATACTTTGGCACCGGCATGCACCAGTGTTTCATGCACACGTTGCACAATGGACACGCCGGCACAAAGCGCACAGCATTCTGCCATGGTTGACAGTGCTCCAGCACAAAACCCAGCACAAACACAGAAAAGAAAGGTGGGAGAGGAGCCGCTACTTTCTAAAACAAGTGCTAAAAGAAACATCAATGTCAAGAATCCTGTATGGCCAACACATGCAGAAAGATGCAACATAAATCAACATAATAAAAAAAACGTACAAAGTCACTGGAAACAGCTCAGAGGTAAGTCCCCAAGTCCAAATGACAGTAAATATCTAAGGATAGAAATGATGGAGAAAACAAAGGTGTGTTGAACAGTTCATTGGGATGGAGGTTCACAGCGATGGCCGGGTAGGACTGCGCAGCAAACACGCTCAGACACTGACTACATGTAGTTCACCGGCAACACAAAGTTAGTTCCAGTGCATCTCACTGCGTAGATGACACAGGTGCTAGGTGTCATTCACTGGCACCATCATTATGGCTCTCAACACGAGCATACACGTCATGTACTTGACGCACTTCCGAAGTACATACATACATACATAAAATCCAAAATCCGTTGATCCCCGAGCTGCAGAGAGTGCTCAATGTCAGAGACAGAGCTTAGTACATAGCAGACTCAGCGGAGGACGTTCAGGTTGGTTGTAACTCTGAGTTTCATGCCGCTAGGCAATCATCAGACAACTGATACTCTGGTCTACCCAACAGTATGCTTATAAACACATAGGGCCACAAGCATAAACAAATTTAGCGCTAAATCTGGTGTGAGGTATGGGGAGAAAGCTGGCGCGGGCCAAGGCGCGACCGTGGAAGTGCCAGGAGGGTGGCGGGCAACAGGCAGGTGTGAGCATGAAAGCGCGGAAAGAGGCGATGGGGAGGCAGTGTACAGCAGATGTGTGGGGGGTGCCAGGAGGGTGGCGGGCAGTGGCCCAGTGAGATCACTACAAGTAGGGAGTTGTTTGGTGACGGGCAGGCGTGAGCAGAGTGGCATCGCCAACAACAGGCCAAGGGATTGTGTTATTTTATAATAATGGGTGCTCAGGCAAAGTGCAGTACAGTACTTGGTCAGTTCATGTGATAGGTGTGAAATTTGCGAGGCGGAACTTATTCTCATGCCTGCACTTCGAGACCATCTCAGACCGCTTGTTGAGTAGGAGCTTCTTGGGTGTAGTCAGGATGTGGAATTTTTCCGCGGTACAAAGATTGCATTTTTTTGACTCACATCTGTATGATCGGCTCTTCTCCCGCACCTTCCATGTGATGGTCAACGGCTTTCCCTCGCTCTTCAGCTCCCATACGTGTTTTGCGAGCTCAGTGCTGTTTTTGTATTTTTCATGACGCATGGAGGTCAGGTGGTTGGCGTGACGGGCTTTGAAAGGTGTCTCTGATAGGCCGATGTAAATCTTGCTGGTAGATTCTGCAGTGGCCTCATACACAATCTCCTTCGTCTGGCACTCTCCACGCAGCGGGCAGGATTCCTTAATTCTGCAGTTGCATGCCTTGGTTTGTTCTGGCTCTCGCAGGTTGCTCTTGTTGTGGCTGCTGATGACCGCTCCCATGTTTGGCATACAACTGTAGCTCACTTTCAGAGTGTTACGGTTAAAAATCTTCCCGAGCTTGGATGTTTTCGGGAAGTGCCTGGAGACAAGGCTCAGGAACCTACCAGCGACGTTTGTGCTAACGTTTTTGGAGTAGGGAGGGTTGAACCATATGACCTTGCGGCTGCGGTTCTTCCTGCCCCTGTGCTCATGTGCCTCGGGCTGAAAGCTCAGCACTTCGGTGTATCCACTGGCCTTTAATGCGGTCTGGTACACGGGGGCTGCATGGTTGAATGCCTCCGCGTCGCTCGATATAGCGGAAAGGCGCTTGTTGACAGCAGCAGGGATGTTGTTGGTGATGCCAGGCGGGTGGTTGGACTGCTTGCTGACGTAGAGCGGGTTGTCATTGGGCTTTCGGAAGGGTTGAAATTTCCCGGTGTCCAGGTTCATGGTGACATCCAGGAAATCCACCACCTTCAAGTTCGCTTCGATGGTAATTTTAAGGTCGAAGCGCTTGAATATTTCCGTCAGCTTTTTTCTGAGGCGGTCTGCAGCCTGTGGGCTGGTGTCCTTGAGGGCGGCCAGTCCATCGTCTCGGTAGAGGCCGATAGCGGATCTACCGACGAGGCTTGAGAGCTGGTTGAGAAGAAAGGCCCCCACAAGTTCGCACGTCTCGGCGCCATCGTAACTTCCCATTGTTACGTCAAACATGTCGCCCTTGTCCTTCATCCAGGGGCGGCCATCGTGGAATAAGAGCGATTTCCGGGCGTGAAAGATGATGTCCATTTCACGCGGCTCGATCGTGATGAATTGCTCCGCGAACGATAAGGCCTGACGGAGGAGCTGCTCACCAATTGACGGGTAGAATTCTACCACGTCAAAGCATAGGAAAGTGTGGCGCTGTTTGTCGGGTATCTCCTTGAACCACTCGATCACTGACATGGTGCTCCTCCATAGGTTCACGGCCGTTTGGCGACGCACAGCAGCCACGATCTTCTCCAGTATAGCCTTGCTCACCACACCCACTTCCGATTTGGCTGGGTTAATGAGTCTGCAGGGCAGCGCTCTAGCGAAGTTGTTTTTGTGGTCTTTCAGTGTTATAAATGCCTCCGACTTAGCCAGTACATCCATCCTGTTTTGAAGATTTAGATCCTCTGCGATCTCCCTCGCCTCGCTGTTGACTTCATCGTAAGCATCTCGTAAGCATCGTAAGCATCGTAAGCTGTACTGCACTTTGCCTGAGCACCCATTATTATAAAATAACACAATCCCTTGGCCTGTTGTTGGCGATGCCACTCTGCTCACGCCTGCCCGTCACCAAACAACTCCCTACTTGTAGTGATCTCACTGGGCCACTGCCCGCCACCCTCCTGGCACCCCCCACACATCTGCTGTACACTGCCTCCCCATCGCCTCTTTCCGCGCTTTCATGCTCACACCTGCCTGTTGCCCGCCACCCTCCTGGCACTTCCACGGTCGCGCCTTGGCCCGCGCCAGCTTTCTCCCCATACCTCACACCAGATTTAGCGCTAAATTTGTTTATGCTTGTGGCTCTATGTGTTTATAACCAACCTGAACGTCCTCCGCTGAGTCTGCTATGTACATACATACATACATACATACATACATACATACATACATACATACATACTGAAGTACCCCGAAGGATGTACCCAGAGTGCTTGACAGTGCTCAACACCACAAAGGCAGAGCGTAATACACAACAGAACAACAAGGACAATCAAGGCTTGTTTGCTGCTACTTTAAGTTTCATGCTTACGCAATCATCAGGCAACAGGATGTTGCCTGATGATTGCGTAAGCATGAAACTTAAAGTAGCAGCAAACAAGCCTTGATTGTCCTTGTTGTTCTGTTGTGTACATACTGAAGTACATACATACATACATACATGCGCAGATTGAGTACATACATACATACATACATACATACATGCATGCATGCATACATACATGCATACATACGTACAGTACACACATCTTGATCTTGATCCTACTGCCACTAGGCACTACGCAGTCCCCGAAGGGACAGGCACTGGTCACGCTGCTGCATCGGTGGCGTGTCCGGCCGCTAGCCGAGGGGAAGGTCCGGTGACATACATACATACACGCACACACACATGATACACTTGAACAGACACATATACTGCGTTCTGGCATGATGAACCTGAGCAGCACACACCACAGTTGCACTGCTCACAGGCAGGTGGTGGCAGTACATGCCACATGCAAAGCACAGCACTGGTAGCAGTACTTTATACCAGGCGTGGGCCATCCCCCATATCCCCTGTACATAGGTGCCACCATTTTTCTTTGTTTCAATAAAATGAATCGCCATAAAAAATTAAAAAATTAAAAATAAAAAGTTGAAACTGGTAGCAGTACGAGCTGGTAGAGCCATGCGAGGCTTGCTTGATAGGCTAACGTGGCAGCGTGTCCTCCGCCTTGAAACATGCTGCCATAGTCAAACATGCTAGTGCAGTATCACCGCTGTAGTAAGGTGCTAACTAAAACACAAACTGCACGTGCAGCACCGCGTGTACCAGTCACTCGGGACCTGCAGAGCAAGATAAGCAAGGCTTGATGGTAGCACAGCCAACACTGTACAGACTGGACAGAGTTTAAATCCGCAACTTGTCATGTTGATATGTATCACCAGTTGGCCTGGTGGCCTAACCACTACATAATCTGATGCAGGCAATACGTTGTACAGCGCAGTCATATGACTAGTGACATTACCACTCTGTTAGATCCGACACTAGCGGGGCATCCTACTCAGTCATGCAAGGCAGACCACAGCTGTAGTGTTCCAGTGCACACGAGTACATGTATCTTACTGTGTTGCAAGACGGTAGCACTGTACAGCTTTCCATCCATGCATGCCCTGCTGCACAGCAATGACTTTTCATCCATACATATTGCACAGAAATGGCCGCTTTCCAGTTTCCACCTCCGGCAGTAACACAGAGGGGACTTTCCCTCATCCTCAGCTGCTTCTTCTTACAAAGTGCTGTTCTTCCATAGCCACTTGAAACATAGGGCTGACCTTTCCATCTGCAGTTGTAGTAGTACAGCCATAGATCTCAATCGACAACTGGAACATGTCGCAGGTCCATTAGCAGTGTTTTTCCTCTGCCGTAGCTCAAGTGTAACTGCCACAGTTGTTACGCAGCAATGGCTTTCCATCAACAGTCGTTATACAGCAAAGCCTCTCCATCAACAGTCGTTACACAGCAGAGCCTCTCCATCAACAGTCGTGACACAGCAAAGGCTTTCCATCAATAGTCGTGACACAGCAATGGCTTTCCATCAACAGCCGTGACACAGCAATGGCTTTCCATCAACAGTCGTGACACAGCAATGGCTTTCCATCAACAGTCGTGACACAGCAATGGTTTTCCATCAACAGTCGTGACACAGCAATGGCTTTCCATCAACAGTCGTTATACAGCAAAGCCTCTCCATCAACAGTCGTTACACAGCAGAGCCTCTCCATCAACAGTCGTGACACAGCAAAGGCTTTCCATCAATAGTCGTGACACAGCAATGGCTTTCCATCAACAGCCGTGACACAGCAATGGCTTTCCATCAACAGTCGTGACACAGCAATGGCTTTCCATCAACAGTCGTGACACAGCAATGGCTTTCCATCAACAGTCGTGACACAGCAATGGCTTTCCATCAACAGTCGTTATACAGCAAAGCCTCTCCATCAACAGTCGTTACACAGCAGAGCCTCTCCATCAACAGTCGTGACACAGCAAAGGCTTTCCATCAATAGTCGTGACACAGCAATGGCTTTCCATCAACAGCCGTGACACAGCAATGGCTTTCCATCAACAGTCGTGACACAGCAATGGCTTTCCATCAACAGTCGTGACACAGCAATGGCTTTCCATCAACAGTCGTTATACAGCAAAGCCTCTCCATCAACAGTCGTTACACAGCAGAGCCTCTCCATCAACAGTCGTGACACAGCAAAGGCTTTCCATCAATAGTCGTGACACAGCAATGGCTTTCCATCAACAGCCGTGACACAGCAATGGCTTTCCATCAACAGTCGTGACACAGCAATGGCTTTCCATCAACAGTCGTGACACAGCAATGGCTTTCCATCAACAGTCGTGACACAGCAATGGCTTTCCATCAACAGTCGTTATACAGCAAAGCCTCTCCATCAACAGTCGTTACACAGCAGAGCCTCTCCATCAACAGTCGTGACACAGCAAAGGCCTTCCATCAATAGTCGTGACACAGCAATGGCTTTCCATCAACAGCCGTGACACAGCAATGGCTTTCCATCAACAGTCGTGACACAGCAATGGCTTTCCATCAACAGTCGTGACACAGCAATGGCTTTCCATCAACAGTCGTGACACAGCAATGGCTTTCCATCAACAGTCGTTATACAGCAAAGCCTCTCCATCAACAGTCGTGACACAGCAAAGACTTTCCATCAACAGTCGTGACACAGCAATGGCTTTCCATCAACAGTCGTGACACAGCAATGGCTTTCCATCAACAGTCGTGACACAGCAATGGCTTTCCATCAACAGTCGTGATACAGCAAAGGCTTTCCATCAACAGTTGTGAGTCTTGTGACACAGCAAAGGCTTTCCATCAACAGTCGTGATACAGCAAAGGCTTTCCATCAACAGTCGTGACACAGCAATGGCTTTCCAACAACAGTCGTGATACAGCAAAGGCTTTCCATCAACAGTCGTGACACAGCAATGGCTTTCCATCAACAGTCGTGATACAGCAAAGGCTTTCCATCAACAGTCGTGACACAGCAATGGCTTTCCATCAACAGTCGTGGTACAGCAAAGGCTTTCCATCAACAGTCGTGACACAGCAATGGCTTTCCATCAACAGCCGTGACACAGCAAAGGCTTTCCATCAACAGTCGTGAGACAGCAAAGGCTTTCCATCAACAGTCGTGACACAGCAATGGCTTTCCATCAACAGTCGTGACACAGCAATGGCTTTCCATCAACAGTCGTGATACAGCAAAGGCTTTCCATCAACAGTCGTGACACAGCAATGGCTTTCCATCAACAGTCGTGACACAGCAAAGGCTTTCCATCAACAGTCGTTACACAGCAATGGCTTTCCATCAACAGTCGTGATGCAGCAAAGGCTTTCCATCAACAGCCGTGATACAGCGATACAGGAGTTGTTACATCACAAAGACGTTCCATCAACAGTCGTGACACAGCAAAGACGTTCCATCAACGGTCGCGACACCGCGATATGGCAGTCAAACCACAGCAATGGATGTGTTTCATACAGCGCTGTAGTGAAAGTGGTGTTCCATTCAGAGCCGTGACATATCGGCGCTCTTGCCGTCCTCAATCGTTAAAGGCAACACGGACTTTCCCACGCGCAGCTACTATTACACAAAAACAACACTACTCTTTGTCATGACATGACATGACAATGGCCTTTTACTCAGTAGTTGCATCACAACGAAACTTTCTTCATCTACAGTGCCAACACATCGGATGTCACGAGGGCAGCAGACACTGCACCAGCAGCGGGGGTACCTGTGTGTGCACCAGCAGCGGGGGTACCTGTGTGTGTGTTAGTTAGGATGGGGTGCTGCATGTACTTGCAGCAGCAATAGCTTCCAGTAGGTTGTCTGCAGAGGGTTTCTTAGCCACTGCGTGCACTGTCACGCCATGTTGCAGCAGAGCATCGGCCGTTGTCTTCCCGATGGCGGCCACCTGATTGGTGCACGCACAATACACGACACATACCCACACACACGCACACGCACATGCCCACGTACATGTACACACATGCATGTACACACATACACACGTACACACATACACACATACACACGTACACACACACAGCTTTCGTCCCAGTGCCAGCTTTCGGATCACGTTTCTTTCCGCTTGTCTTTGCCCTTTTCTCGCTTCGCTAGGAACTACAGTATCTTGTTGTTTGTTATCTGCTTCACTCGGGATGCTGTACGGGAATCCTTGTGCACGCATGGTCATGTATACCTGGTATACTGGTTTCCTGCATTCATGTCTGGAGTAGTCTGACTGTCATGTTCATTGTCGTGCTGTGTTACCATGGTTACGGTCACGCGAGTCGGCATCTTAGTGCACGACAATGCTGTCTGCTTACGCTCTCTTTGTATGCATTCATGTCAGGCGATAGAGCGGCCCTCATTTGCATGCTTCGACGGGTCCGGGTCTCTGGTTTCACAGGTGCCCTGCTCGGCCTGCTGTGCCTTTATGTTGCCCTGCTGTATATTATACCATGGTGCTTTTCCTTTCGGCTAGTCTTCAGTAGTCTTCTTCTTTAGTAGTTAGTTCGTTGGAAACACAATAACAACAGAAGTTTGCAATGCGAGTCGAGCCTGAAGTGAGCCTGAAGAATACAGTCTAGAAATAGTAGAATCCAGTAAAGCGAGCCAGACAGAGAGCTGGCCATAAACTGGTCCTTCGAGCCGGATCACGGCCAGCAGAAAGTCTCGGTTTCCGTTGCCTGTCATGGAGTTCCCACGAAGGAGTAGCAGGAGAACCCTAGGTAAGATGCCCAAGCGGTTCCTCTCCGATGGGGAGCAGGCCCAAGAGCCGAGGCGGTCGGGACGCAGGAGCGGCGGCAGGACGTCCGCGAGCGAGAGCCTTGAAGTCGGGGGCGTTGAACTTGAAGCTGCGATATTGCGTAGGAACAAGGAGGCAGAACTGGAGACTGCACGGCGGATCGCCGCTCTGAAGCAGCGGGAGATCGACCTCCAAATCGACCTGGCGGAAAAGGAGCTCGAAGTCGAGCAGGCGAGGGCGGCGGAGGAGTTGGCCAGCGCGAGCAGTGCCAGGGCAGCGCGAAGTTCTGCTGTGGATACCTCGAGTTCAGAGCCAGAGAGCTCAGAGCTAGAGAGCGAGGATGTCGATGGTGGGAGCTGGCCACGCGGCGTGGGAAGTCGTCGTGCGCGATCGGACGCGGAGGCCAAGCGCAGGCTGGCCAACCACTTCAGTCGAAGTGCCTTCAGCGACGCAGGTGCTGGCGCAGTGGCTCATCGCAGGCCCCGGGTTAGAACAGGGGTCTGGGTCACAGCCCGCACAGCAGCCCATGCAGCCGAACATGCAACAGCCAGTGCAGCCTGCAGTGCAACCCAACACCTCAGCTCCAGTGCCGAGAGCAAGCCTGCTCAAGTATCGACCTGCTCCAACCCCAGCCCCACGTGCGAAGCCCAGACGTCTACCAGCTAAGCCAGTCCCGTCAGTGCCTTTGCGACTTGGTCCAGTCCAGCAGGCCTTCAAGCCCAAGGGAGCGGGACCCAGCCCACCACCTAAGCCAGTCCCGCCAGTGCCTTTGCGACTCCGTCCAGTCCAGCAGGCCTTCAAGCCCAAGGAAGCGGGACTCAACCCTGCAGCGGAACCCTACTTCCCGCCCACCAGGGCGACCGACCCAGCAGTCGATTGGGCAGACGGAGCGGCTATGTTCCAGATGGGAGTCTGCAGGTCCCTGAAGCCACTGGACCTGCCAAAGTTCGATGGCAAGATGCTGTCCTATGTGAAGTGGCGTCAGCGGTTTCTCCGTCTAGTACACGAGAACCCGCTCTTGTCAGAGGACTATAAGCTCGCGCACTTGCGGGAGGCACTGGCGGACGGAGCGGCCGAAGACTTGATCGCGGACGTGCTAGACGGCCCGGGCGCCTACTCCGCCATCATGGAGGAGCTGGATCGGTGGTACGGGGGCACAGACCGTAGCCTCGAACAGCAGGAACGCGAGCTCATGAGTTGGCCGCGAATCAACACGGAGCGCGAGCTGGATGAGCTGAAGACGCTGGCCGTCAAGCTGAGGAACACGCTGTTGAACCTGCGGGTGGCCAGGATAGCGCCCGGGCGAGAGCTGTATCTCTCAGTGACGCAGAAGGTGCCGCGTTCGGTCCTTTCAGCTTACTTTGAGAAGCAGGACGACACCCAGTGTGACATTGACACATTTGCCGCGTTCCTGCTCAAGCGCGTTCACAAGCTCACAAGGGTGAACGAACGGATCGCGGCTTCGGAGCCAACCAGTGCACGGCGAGTCGTGCAGTCCCAGAAGCCATGCCCACCCAGCGTCGCGCCCAAGCGTCCGCCACGGTCAGGAGACTTCACCTTCGCGGTCGGTCCAGACCAGTGCGCAAGCTGCAAGGGCACGCATCACCTGAGCGCGTGCCCGAGGTTCAAATCTCTGACGGTTCAGCAGCGATGGGAATTTGTGCGCGCCGGCAAGGACATCTGCAGCTGCTGCCTGTCGCCTGGCCATTGGTCCACGGCATGCAAGATGAGCTGTGGCGCCTGTCAACGACGACACCACGCACTGCTGCACTCCAACAGGCCAAAGCGAGATGCGCCCGGTGGCACCAAGCCGACCAAGCCAGCACCAGCGGAGAGACACGGTCGTCACACGGCTCACGTCACAGTTGACGCTTCAACCGAGTCGTGTACGGAGGCACACACCACACACGTGACGTCTGCTCTCGACACCGCCATGGCAACAGCTGAGCGGCGTGAGGAGGACAAACCGCCCGAAGCATTGCCGCTGTCGTTCATGACGGTACCTGTTGTCCTCAGCCACAACGGCAGGAGGGTGCAAGGCACTGCGCTGCTGGACCCTGCGTCGTCCACCAGCTACATCAGGCAGCAGACCGCTTCTGCCATTGGCGTGTGTGGCCCACGAAAGCAGCTGACGGCGTCCGTCCTGGGCGGCGGGCAAGTGACCGGTACGTACGAGCACGTCACCGTCGCGGTCGACAAAGCTGACGGCTCGATATCGGAGTTCCGCGCCTGGGCGCTGCCAACAGTGTGCCCGAGCGTGCAGCCGGTGGACTGGAGCCAGAGCAAGCAGAGCTGGGAGCATCTCCGCGACATCCCGTTCCCCTCAGTGGAGGGGCGGATCGACGTGCTGATCGGTCTCAACGCCATCGAGCTGCACACCGTACGGCAGGAAGCCACTACAGCGCAGCCTAACCACCCGATTGCCCGACTCACCCCACTGGGCTGGGTGTGTTTGAGCCCAGGAAGAGCAGATTTGGCCCCTGCCAGCTTCTCAGCAGTCGTCACGCCTACATCAGAAGATCTGAGCCTCGAGACGCTCGTCCGAAACCATCTCGGCATGGAGTCAGCCGGCGCACGGCCGCCTTGCTACGACGCTATGCCATCTGCTGAGGACAGCCAGGTGGAGGAGCGCACCAACGCAACGGCCCGGTTCGTCGATGGAAGGGTGGAGTTGGGCATTCCGTGGGTTGATCCCGAACCCAACATCTCCTCCAACCGGCCGCAAGCCGCGCAACGACTGCGCAGCCTGGAACGCTCACTGAACAGCCGCCCGAGAGTACAACAGCAGTACCACGACGTTATGCAGAGCCATCTCGACAAGGGGTACATCCGTGAAGTGCCCAGCAGGGAGGTGGACGCCGATGGTGCTCAGCAATGGTTCCTGCCGCACTTTCCGGTCGTCCGCAACGACAAGGAGACGACCAAGGTGCGGATCGTGTTCGACGCCGCGGCCAAGTGGGACGGGCGATCGATTAATGATGAAATGTTCAGCGGCCCGGCACTTCAGACCGACATTGTCAAGGTACTGATCCGGTTCTGTGCCGAGCCTGTAGCACTTGTAGCTGACATCTCGAAGATGTTTCTCCAAGTGGCTCTCAGGGAAGAGGACCGCAAATACCACCGGTTTCTCTGGCGCTTCGACGACAACCAGCCGCGGGTGTATGAGTTTCAGCGTGTGGTGTTCGGCATCAAGGCCTCGCCTTACCTGGCGGGCAAGGCAGTCCAGGAGGTACTGCGCAGATTCGGCCCGCAATACTCAGCCGCAATTACCGACGCTCTGGAGCGGAGCCGCTATGTCGACGACTTGCTGACATCGCGCCCATCGGTGGCCGACGCAGTGGAGAGCCGCGTCCAGTTCCAGGACATCCTGTCGCGCGGCGGGTTTCACCTGCGCAAGTGGCTGTCCACCAGCGCGGAAGTCCTGCAGAGCATACCAGCTGCTGATCGAGCCGCATCCGCTACACTCAATGTCGGTGAGCATATCCACTGCACTCTGCCTACTACGAAGACGCTGGGAGTCACCTGGTCAGCGGATAAAGACGTCTTCAGCTTTCATTTCAAGCGACCAGAGTTCACCAAGCTGACACGGCGCTCCGTCCTCAGCGGCCTGGCGTCGGCGTTCGATCCTCGTGGGCAAATTGCGCCGTTCACAATCCGTGCCCGCGTGCTGCTGCAGGACACTTGGTTGCTGGACCAGGCGTGGGACGACGAGCTTCCTCCCACACACGCCAGAAAGTGGAGGGAGTGGTTTGACGAGCTGCCCGACCTGGCCGCCATCAACGCGCCACGCAGTTTCAAGGCGGCTACAGAGTCCATCCTCTCCGTCCACACGTTCACGGATGCGTCTGACCGTGCCATCGCTGCGGCGACCTACATCCGCGCAGAGGATGCAGCCGGCAACGTGCGGGTGACGCTCGCCATGGCCAAGGCCAAGACAGCCCCGGCTCGTCGGCAGACCATCCCCCAGCTGGAGCTTCGCGGCGCCGTCTTGGGTCTGCGGACCAGCAGCGAAGTTGGCAACGCTCTGGACATCCCGGTCGCCGAGCACACGTTCTGGACGGACTCCATGAACGTGTTGGGGTGGATCCGCTCGCACAGCCGCAGGTTCAAGGTCGACATCGGCAACCGCGTCTCAGAGCTACAGAACGCCACGAAGCCCTCCCAGTGGAGGCACGTACCCGGCAAGCAGAACCCCGCCGACAAGGGTACCCGTGGGCTACCAGCGAAGGAGTTGGCGGAGGACCGGGTGTGGTGGCACGGACCCGCGTTCCTGTCGCAGCAACCAGACGTATGGCCGCCTGAGAAGTCAGCGTCCACAGAAGGTCTGCCAGGCGTCATCCAGCGGGAGACCACGTTCGCGCTTGCCGTCACGCCAACCACTCGCCTCCAGGCGTCCAGATACCGCACCTGGGAGCAGCTGCTCAGGGTGACTGCGTGGTGCTACCGGTTTGTCAGCCGATGCCGTCGCAAGCCGCGCGTCGGCATGAAGGGGGAGGATACCAGCAGCGATCAAGACGTCACCGTTGCAGTGTCGACTTCGCGAGCAGCCAACCCGAACTACCCTACTGTCAACGTGCCAGAGCTGACGGCGGGTGAGGTAGGCCGCGCTGAGAGGCACTGGATACGACAGGCGCAGAAGGACGCGTACGGCCCAACCCTGGAGCGCCTGGCCGCCGGAAAGCCAATGCAGGCTAGCGACCCGCTGGCGGCGCTAACCCCGACGCTAGATCAACATGCTGAACCGCTGATGGTGGTCGGAGGCCGTTTGAAGGCTGCGAAACACTTGCCATATCGTGTACGCTTACCGATCATCCTGCCTCAGAAGCACGTTGTCACGCGGCTGCTGATCGAGAAGGAGGACCGGAGGTGCCGCCACAGCGTGGGACCTCAGCATCTGCTGTCCAACCTGAGGGAGAGGTTCTGGATAGTAAACGGTGCATCAGCAGTCAAGACGGCACGCCAGTCGTGCGTTCCGTGTCGGAAGAACTGGGGTGTACCGGCGGCGCAGATCATGGGCGCTCTGCCGGACTTTCGGACTGCCGGGTCTCTCCGACCATTCTCGCACTGCGGCATCGACTTTGCCGGGCCGTTCCAGACTAAGCAAGGACGAGGCAGAACCCGAGCGAAGCGCTACCTCTGTCTCATGACGTGCCTGGAAACCCGTGCCTGCCATCTGGAGCTCACCTACTCCATGGATACCGGGGGGTTCCTCATGGCGTTCAACCGGTTTGTTAAGCGGCGCGGCACGCCAAGCATCATCGTCACCGATAACGGCTCCAACTTCGTCGCGGCTGAGCGGGAGTTACGAGAAGCCGTGGAGCAGCTCGATCGCGCAGAGATCGCGCGCAGTCTCGCTGATCGACACATCCGGTGGAGGTTCAACCCGCCCAGAGCACCGCATTTTGGAGGTGTCTTCGAAGCTATGATTAAGGCAGCGAAGCGCGCTCTGAGATCCGCACTGGCCACCGCTGAGCTCACTGATGAGGAGCTACACACCGCCATCGTCGCCGCAGAGGACCTCATCAACTCCCGTCCGCTGACAACAGTCAGTGCCGACGCCGCCGACCTCGAGCCGCTGACTCCGCAGCATTTCCTTGCAGGACGCTGCGACCCACCTCTGCCGTTGGAAGAGAAACTGAACGCCACAGAGCAAGTCCAACCCAGAGATCGCTTCGCCGTCGTGCAGCGCACAGTGAAGGAGGTCTGGAGGAGATGGCTCCTGGAGTTCGTCCCACTGCTGAACCAGCGCAGGAAGTGGCGCAAGACGCAGAAGAACATCGCTGTCGATGAGGTGGTGCTGTGTATCGAGCCCGACACACCCCGGGGCAGTTGGCCACTGGGCAGGGTGAGGCGTGTCTTCCCCGGACCAGACAGTTGCGTCAGGGTGGTGGATGTTGAGATCCGGGGCAAGATCTACCGGCGAGCCATCCAACGCCTCATTCCGCTCCCCGTGGAGTGAGGCGACGCCCGGTCGAGACAGACAGTTAGCTGCGCTGTTCTGTTAGTTAGAGTGCTGGTGCTCTGACACTGGTGTGCTGTCTCTAGTCTTTTCTGATGTTTCTGATGTTTTTCTCTTGTGGTTGTCCGTCTGCACTTTCCATATGCTGCCTTCCTGTGCACTCATTCTTGCTGCTGCACTGCCTTGCTCATGTACTCACTCATATGCCATTTCGTGAGTGAAGGGGGAGATGTGCACGCATGGTCATGTATACTGGTTTCCTGCATTCATGTCTGGAGTAGTCTGACTGTCATGTTCATTGTCGTGCTGTGTTACGGTCACGCGAGTCGGCATCTTAGTGCACGACAATGCTGTCTGCTTACGCTCTCTTTGTATGCATTCATGTCAGGCGATAGAGCGGCCCTCATTTGCATGCTTCGACGGGTCCGGGTCTCTGGTTTCACAGGTGCCCTGCTCGGCCTGCTGTGCCTTTATGTTGCCCTGCTGTATATTATACCATGGTGCTTTTCCTTTCGGCTAGTCTTCAGTAGTCTTCTTCTTTAGTAGTTAGTTCGTTGGAAACACAATAACAACAGAAGTTTGCAATGCGAGTCGAGCCTGAAGTGAGCCTGAAGAATACAGTCTAGAAATAGTAGAATCCAGTAAAGCGAGCCAGACAGAGAGCTGGCCAATCCTCAATCATAGTGCATGCAATGCTCACATCCCACAACGACTCTTGCCTTCCAGTTTCGTTCTCCACGAACAAAACAAGCTCCACGAGCTCCGCGTACCTGTTGGTGTTGGTTGAATGGCCAACTTATCTGCGGTATCTACCAAACACAACGCATACATTGAAGTGCTCTCTACACGACTTCAACAATCTGATCCATGTTTGCCACCTGCTTTCAAAACTTTTCTCCGTACACTCCTGCAATACCTCGAGATCTCGACATGCAAGGGCTCACGACCATACATGCATGCTGCATGTATGGCCAGAAAGCCCTTCTGCTATAGGGAACTGACTGGCTACAGGGACTAGGCCCCTCGCGGACACAGGTCCCTCCACTATACAATACAAGCATACAGTGAAGACCGTCCAGGTCAACAGCCACACAAGAATACAAAGGTGACTGGAGCCACTCACTCTGACATGGGCCACACCACTCAGCTGTGACAGTAGCGACGCATAGCTAAACTCAACTCCAGATGGGCTGAAGAATACAAGCCATGTCCAACCCTAGAAAAGGGAGAATACAGATCGACAGAAAGGGCTTAGTGCCACCAGTGCCACACATTTCAGGATTCTAACCAGGAAAAAATAGTAGGAGGTGGGGGGGGGGGGGTCAAGGGAAACAAACAACAGGAGAGAGAGAGAGAGAGAGAGAGAGAGAGAGAGAGAGAGGGGGGGGGGGGGAGAGAGAGAGAGAGAGAGAGAGAGAGAGAGAGAGAGAGAGAGAGAGAGCATGTGTACCGGTATGTTAATTACTAGAAAGTCGCAAGGCAGCCTTACCTCGGCACCAGGCTCTGGCATGGACCCGGTGAGCTCAGCAGTGATCTCTCGACCGCGTGTAGTCAGCGTTAGAGCCGCGGTTGTCCGATAGCAAACTATCTCATGCACCCGATGAGATGCCTAAACATGGGGTGATACAGTGGACACAACAACCAACAAGACGTTTATCTTCCATACAGGCTATGTTGATAAAACTCTGAGCAACAACATACATGTACTTCAGCCTTGTTCCAGTGCTAACTTGTGTTGAAGTTTAACTTTTAAAATTCAACGTAGGCCATGCATACCAACACACCAGTGCAGACCATTCCCAGCGTTTGCTGACTTGCTGCGCAGCGCATGCTGTGACTTTTCATGTTGTTCCATTTTTTTTTAAATATAAAGCTTGAATGTTTTGTGAACTATAAAAATGTTAACATGCACACCACAGGCACCAAACTCTTAGCAAATACTCACCGCCCGTAGCTTGTCTGGCAGAGTGTCGCGGCGCAAATCTCCGCAGAGAAAGAGGAATGGAAGGTCGCCACCGCCATGAGTGCAGCCATCCCGAGACAACTCTGCCCAATCAAACACACACACACACACGCGCGCGCGCGGGCAAGAACACAACAAGGAGTAGCCGGCCAGCCGTACAAACGCAGTGCACTCTACTGCCAGGGGTCGTAGCTGCACTGACTAACATTACTATGAGTTGGGATCACACAGAGACGGGCAGTTACTAACATAGTTGCCATGGTTATAAAAGAACAGTGTACCTGTAAGCAGCTGATCCGCAAGCTGCTCAGCATTTCCAGCATCCTTGAAGTGACTTGTCAGAGCAAGTTGCTCGGTAGCTAGAGACAACACGCACGTATGCAACATGGAAGCATTAGTCATCGCATTCGGTGTACGAGATAGCCATCGCGGTGCGTCATCGCACATCTTACATCAGAGAGGCTCTGCAAAGCGACAGTTTGCGCTAGTTTTGCAAGCTGTCTGAAAGCACGAAACACTGTGCGGCCATGTGCAGTTCTGAACTGGCCTGGCACGCGAAATGAACATTTGCATGTACTTTTACACCTCCATGCAGAGCCATACTCGTACAGTATATAAAATGGCTACACATCCATGTCACTTGACTCAATTTGTGTAGAAAGTGATCATGGCACATGGAAACTTGGACAGTGGAGCCAACATGGCTGACGTCATGTGACCTATAGATGCAGGAGTTGAGTGGAGTTGGAATCAACATGGCTGATCCGTATGGTCATGTGATAGATGTGAAACCACTCTAGTCTCTACCTAGTACTAAGGTGATCGACTGCAGCATAAGGTCGTTACCCTGCACACCAACTTTAGCGTGCGAAGTTTCACATTATTTTCTGTAGCTACTGACAGAAATATTTATGACACCTCATGTTCGCGTTGCACAGCCACTTCCCGCCGCTTATCTGCATCAACGATGATCTAATCCCGGAATTTCGCGGTGACAGAGACACCCATGCAGAAAAGGTCACAAGCTGGACACACTGGGTTTCATTCACAAACTGGACACACTAGGTTTCATGTACTCTTGCTGTGATCTGGCAGATCACGTACACGCACATGTGCTCAACACTGCAGCGCCACACTGACACACACACGCACACACACTGACACACACACACACACACACACACACACACACACACACTGACACACACACACACACACACACACACACACACACACACACACACACACACACACACACACACTGACACACACACACACTGACACACACACACACTGACACACACACACACACTGACACACACACACACACGCACATGTGCACATGCTGAACGCAACACCACCATAAAGCCACACAACTGACCAGCAAGACTCGTGGCCGCACCGACCGAGCACACCAAACGCTCATTCCACTCGGGAGCGATTGTCTCTCCGAAGGCCTGCGCCGCGGACCCATCCGCTGGAATGCACGATGCGGCAGCTGCTTCGACAGCACGCTGGCTAGTCAACAATAGACCTGCGTGGTACAGGGCACATCAAACTGTACTCGTAGGTCAGGCAATTCACCGAGGTTCTACTTACGGGCCGTCCGTAATTATCGATCTTTTTCACGAAGAGAAAAGGTTTCGTTTATGCGTGGGTGGGTTGAGGAGAGTTTCGTTTTGAAAAATATCGATAGCTGAAACATGAATCTATTCTGGCTGTCAAGTCAATATATTTTTCGTTGAAGGGGGTGGGCGGGTGGGTGGGTGGGGGTCATAATTAAACTGTTTTGTTCCATGAAAATTATCGAGAATTGCCGGATGGCCCCTTAGACAGTACACACTGCATGGATACGGGCACATGCACAAACTTAAGATCAACCTAGGGTGGTTCAACATAACCACAGTTTATAAGTTGACCGGGCTTGGCTACTTTTCTGTTTCTACAAAAGTTATGACCATGATACATGCTACATGCTACATGTACTGGAAGATATTATGCCTTGATCTGGTGACTGCATAGCAGGGAGTACTAAAAAACAAGGGAGTGCTTTTTAGTTCTCCCTTGTTTTTAGCACTCCCTGCTGCGTAGCTACCTTGTGGACTTACCGCGGTAGTTGCCGGGATGTGAGAGAGCTTCATGCACTTCCGGTTGACAGCAAAACTCAAACGACAGAGTCGGCACCACCTCGGGGTCAAAGCCTGATTCCGATAGCAGCTGTACATGTGTGTATGTGTAGAAAAGGGCACACCACAAACACAAGATACACACATGTTTAAAACACAAGATGACGGATAGTGGAACATGCAGAGAAGAGACTACGGCCCATCTGACTATCAGCCTTGGATACATGCGTGGTCAAACGACGATCAACCATGGACGTGGGCAAAATGGCCGCAAGTACGATTATCGTGGCTACTTTTCTGGTGCATGCGATACTTGGAATGGTGCTCTACGCAAATACCGATCTCCTGACAAACAGGCAATGATGACAGCGTTGTCATGGGAACTGAACAGCTCACACACGTACACGAGAGTGGCTGTCGTGATGGTAACCGCGGGCTGCCAGCCATGTGAACGGTTAAAACAGCTGGAAATTTCCTGCCCATATGAGTACACAAAAAGTCCTCAAGTAAAATATGGGCCGGTTGCGAGCAAGATCGTGTGAGATAGGTGCTAAAGTACAGTACCGTAGAGTACCGCCAGAGCGCCCCATCTCGCGAGAGCGCCCCACCTTGATTTTATAGCCTGAGAAAGGAAAATCGTATGGCACAGTGCAACGAAGTTTGTACGATGTAAGAATCTTTAGTGTAAGGTCACGCTTGGCAGGGTTTTGTGTGGAGCTTGTGTCCGCTCGAAAGTACGGATTGACTGCAAAACGTGCAATATGTGTACAAGGTTCATGTCGTATGACCTACAGACAGCAGACCACCTCCACAATACGACCACGAAAGGATGAGATGGTGGGGCGCTCTGGCGGTACTTTTCGGTACATGTATAGTGAGACCTGGCTGAGGCGACCACTCAATGCACAGTGAGACCTGGCTAAGGCGACCACTCAATGAACTTCACGAATGTGGTCCCCATGTACAGGCGGTTTCCTTATCCAGGGTCGTTTGACTGGAGATAACAGCCGGGCATTGGTCCTAGTTGCAGTGATCCTCTGGGACAGGTGATCGACTTATCATCAGAGTGCTCGACTTGACAGGTTGTACTGTACACTCAAAGCGCCTCTTATCCGGACACCTCAGATACGGGCACGTCTCTCCACCGGGCACCTTCAACTGGAATCCTTCTGGCAAAAAGTGCTTCGATTTTGGGGGGATTCGTATGCGCAAGTGCTTATTTGTCACTGTCAACCTTTTCATCGTTTCTATCCTGAACATGTGCAATATGTGCCAAATATACTTTGTCAAAAACTGATATGATACATGGTAGATGAGCTGTCCTGACTTAGTACAGGCAAATCTGAGATACAGGCAGTGCCCGGTCCCAAGGCACCCAGATAGGAGATGTTTGGGTGTGCATTGTAGTTTGCAATTGTCATGACCAGTTTGTTCTGCTTCGCCGTCTGATGCCGCTGCGGATACGCAGCGATGAAAATAAACAATGTGCTTGAAGTGTTGTTACGGATAGCGCATAGGACTACTGATCCGAGTACAGTCTGTATCGGCTATAGCGTACCCTTTTGATTTCCGTGATTTTATCACTATAACCGATGGATCACTATATGCGATACGATCAATTTTGATTTTTTTTTCGATCGACATGAAAGGCAAGGAAATACTTCTCAGCATGGCGTTTCGACAAATGAGCATGCTGCATAGTTGACAGTGCCCGCATTTCCATTAAAAAATTCTGTTATGTACATGTACATGTACAATCATGTATCACTATAAAAATAAGCAACGTGAAGAAAGTAAAAAATAGGGCTTTTGATGGTATTGCTACATGTATTTTAAAGTTATCACTATAGCCGATAATAATGTAGTGTGTTATGCATGTTTTCATTCTTTGTTGCCATCATAATATCTGATATATCATTACATCCGATAATATTGGTTATAGTGATATTTTTACTGGATAAAATACGTTTTGCTTTTGATATTTCGTACCAATATCACTGTAGCCGATATATTCTTATATCCGGTCACTCTATAGCCGATACAGACTGTATTCTGCAACGCCGTAGCACTGGCTGGGTGCTGCCTAGAAATCCCTACAGTAGAGTCGCGCGCCCAAGAACGTTGTTTCCAAGGGGTTAGCCTGGGACGTTCTTATTTTGTCAGCAATCTGGCTGCGTTCTTATAGCACGTTCTTAGAAACAATCTGTACTGGATCATATGTATCCCACAAGCTGCCAGAAAACCAACACCGCCGTTCTTAGCTTTAGGCTGTGGCGTTCTTAGAATTTCAGGCTGGACGTTCTTCAGCGCGCGACTCTACTGTACATCAATTTTGTAGTTTTCCGTTTTCATTTTGAGGTGTGTGGCTCAACACTGAACAGCCAGAGCTACAATAGTCATGTGAGCTATTTGATTGACCCCCAAAGTTCTATGCACCTGCATGTAATTGTTGCAGTTGGTCAACCCCTCAGAACTCTGGAATAACTCAATTATACCTTCGCATACTTGTCGATGCTACCATCCGCTGGAATCTGCTTGAACAAGATAACCCTCCGTGACAATGTGGACGATGACATCAGGAAAGACGACTTTCTGATCTGCAGACTGCTAGGGCTAGCTATCGCTACTGTGCTTGTTCTGAATGCGCATGGCCTGGATCCACTAAAATACCAAGTCTATTTTCTCGCAGCAAAGAAAAAAATCTTGAACGCATGCAATAACTAGTCATTATCTTCCTACATGTATGACATCTTCTGGCAGAGGAGATAAGAATAGGCATGATGCATGGATGTATTGCATGATGCATTGTTTGAGGCTTTAGTTACAGGGACTGGAATTATCATTGCTTCATCGATCGTAGCCTTGGGACATACCATTTACGTGTATGTTCATGTTCTGGCGCTGACTGGATTTACTGGCCAGAGATAGAAGCCTAGATGGTTCTGTCCAGCTTCGCGAAAGAGGTACCAACGCCTAGCTACTTGTAGATGGTAAGATTTCACATGATGAATTCATACTCCTTCCTTGAGTCCAATTCATTCGCGAAATGCTTGTAATTCCAATGACGCACATAGGTACAACACGACCGAAGACATGCCCGAAAAAATAATGAAACTAGTCGTGACAGACACTTCGCTGAAGATGGTTTTCGGACAGGACCGACGTCAAGAAACATGCACCATGACAGGCTACAGTACTTGCCAAACGGAGAAAGTCGAGTCGAGTTCAAGACAAGTACGAAGCACAACGGACTGCATGCAGGCTGACTGATTGTAATCATCAGGACTCAGGTTCATCTGTTCATCACCCACGCAGCTGAGCTTGGGCCGGTGCCGCTGCTAGCTGATAGGCCAATGCCCTAGTAACGTCCACGTGTCATGGAGAAATGTACCTGACAAATCGTGAACTTTGATAGAGTTGCGGGAAGAGTCTTGACTCTTGTGATATCAATCGATTTCGTGCACGTTCACGAAGCAACACCGGTTGACGAGCACAGTCTAGTCAGTGCAGTAGATCAGACTCTACGCCGCGCCAGGTCTTCCCTACTTCTTCTTCATCATCCCTAGGCCCTGCAGAATATTTGAATGACCAGTTTTTGCAGTTGGTGAGTCCTACCCACGTGGAGTCAGGACCCTGTGCAGAAGTAACTAATGTTACTTCTGACAGTTCTGTAATAACTAAAGTTACTTGTAGTTTGTGAACTGATGGACGGGAATATGTCTACCGGTATATGGATATGACCTGAGTTCTTTTGTGTGTGTGATTACTTGAATATATTTTGGAGCAGTACATGCCTCAGCCTCCGTGGATTCTTGATACCTGCCGGTCTGCCATGGCGCAAGCTCCAGACGAGAAAGTGGGCACCACTGCCGATGTTGCTCGAGAATTGATGATACTGGTGTACAAGGATCGCCTTGTTGAAGCTGGCCATGTGGACTTGCCTCCCTGCCTGAGCGCGAGCCACGTAAACGGCGGAGACAAGCACGACCAATTGGCCCGAGTAATGGTCGGGATGTGTCGGCAAGTCAGATCCCAATACGAGTCGAAGTTTGCTGACATGATTGGGCAAATGTCGTTCACTGCACGAACTGGATATGGACAGTTTCTTACGTTTGCATCAGAATTGTTCCAAGCTGGCGTAACACACGGAAAAATTGTGTCCCTGTACGTATTCTGTGCGGAGCTTGCAAACAGCTGTATGAACAACCCGGCATCGCTGGGAGCACATTATGTAGCCAGCCTTATGTCGTGGCAGTTGCGCTGTTTCAAAGAAACTGTGGACAGCTGGCTTATCAAACAGGGTGGCTGGGTGAGTTATCAACTTAGAAATCAATTACTTATTAGGAATCAAACCCACAACTAATAATTGTTATTTAATTTTATTATTTTTACATTCCTGTGCGAAAATGACAAAATGTAGCAATGTAGCACTGAGGATGGCACACTGATACACAGTACAGCCACGACCATAATGTAGTCGTAACCTTTTTTTCTATCCTCGGACCTTGATTTGGTTCTGTGTAGGTAATACCAAGAGTATATTATAACCTCCAAGAGTGTGCTACTCTGCAAATGGGGTCTCCGACGGCGAAAACTCACATTACGTGTCTCAGATACGTTCGTACTACGTACGAACGAAGGATAGCGTGCGCGCAATCCGAATATCTGCCATGATCATGCTGGGGATTTGCATACCCGCAGTGAGTTTCTGTCAGAGAGTGCTTTTTTTATTACTCCGCTGCTCGCTAAAAACAGGCTGGAAATGTACAACTGCGACACTGCACCACGTGATGTGAGTTTTCGCCGTCGGCGTACCCCATAGAAAGGGTATCAGGAGTTGCACACTCTTGGGGGGTTATGTACTCTTGGTAATACTAATAGTGGGCCTCAGCCTCAGGTGGCGTTTTCAAGGAAGACGCTAAGACCTACAAATATGAATGCGCTGCATCATACTGTTCATCGCCATCAGCACGTAGTCCCATTTCACTACACATGCCATTGGCGAATATTTCCACCAGGAAGTTTGGTCGCTTGGCACTTGAACTGTAAAAAGGCGAAGACGCCTGTCGGGAATTCCCTAGTAGAATAAGAATTAAAATTAGAGGTGAAACGGTTCGGGTAAGGAACCGGTTTTGGAACCGCCAGCTGAAAAGAATCGGCTACCCGTTCCATCCATTTTCGAACCGAAACTCGAAAAATCTCGTTCTCGTACAATTTCATGTACACGTCACTATCTTCTTCGCACATGGACTCTTCGATGTGTCTCGTTCTTGCTCGTAATAATGTTTTCTAAAAAATAATTGTCACGAACGCATTTTGTCGGTCTGGAGAAAAAGATTGCATGGAGCCGATACCCGAACCGTGGGAAACTATGCTGGCATTAGGGTACCCGAACATGAAACACATGGAACCGTTTCGCCCCTAATAAAAATATATAACCAATTAAAATTGGCACTGTTTACACTGCTGAGACCATGACTGAATCATAGCCGTCCAAAACACACTCTTAGCCCAAAGCGTCTCTTCAAAAGTCTTTGCCACTCCGAATTTTTAAGTTGGGCCTACTTCGAAGTAATTTGTGCACGTGGCTATGTGCTTGTGATATGTGCGCGAGTGTGTGTGTGTGTGTGGTGTGTGCGTGTGTGCGCGCGCGGCTGTTTTGTGTGTGTGTGTGTGCGTGTGTGTGCGTGTGTGTGTGTGTGTGTGTGTGTGTGTGTGTGTGTGTGTACTGACGTGTGTGTGTGTACTTATGTGTGGTTGTGTGCTGGGTGTAGTGCTTGCCCTGATCATTTTGTCCTGTGTGTGTTTTTCTTCTCTTTTTGCGTGCGTGTCGCTCATGCAGTCGAGCTTTGAGAAGGTGTTTGCGCCCAAAGTGGTGGGCTTGGACAACATCACGCCTGGCCACTTGCCGTGTGCCGACCCAGAGGATAGAAAGCCGGAGGTGTGGCGTTCGCGTATGGCCGGGATGGCCGTCATGACGCTGGGCCTCGCCTACGTGCTAGGTAGCTGAGATGGACCAAACATACGCCTACTGCTACTATTGTTGTTGTGTTGATGTTGCTGAGTATATGCGCGGGGAGACATCCCGCTGCCATGCCGCTTCGGCATCGGTCCTAGCAGTATTTGTCGAAACCATGCAGTGAACACCGCCTGTAAGTCATCCAGCGAGCACTTCGAGATGATCAGGGACATTGTACACCGCGGATATGTCTTGTCGCGGGCTGAGCTGCTAGCTTGTAGCCACCCACTTGTTTGCACAGTGCTGCCGTCTTAGACCAGTGTCTTGTGTGTGTGTGTGTGTGTGTGTGTGTGTGACACTGAACGAAATGCACCATCAGTCGAACTCGCTGACGTGTGAATGCGTGTGAATGCGTGTGCACAGCTGCACTTTTCTCACCCTCAAACCTTACCTGCCACCGTTAGCAGCGTATTTTCGTATATTTTTTCTTTATCTGCAGAAATATGGCTTTTCTTACTTAGCCTGGCTTCAGTGTCACCAAGAGCCAAGGCTTCTGCTTGCATACCTATTGCTTCCCCCTCCCTCCCTCCCTCCCTCTCTCTCTCTCTCTCTCTCTCTCTCTCTCTCTCTCTCTCTTTCTTTCTCTCTCTCTCTCTCTCTCTCTCTCTCTCTCTCTCTCTCTCTCTCTCTCCCCCCCCCCCCCCGTGCTTTAGCTTTTTGCTGTGACAGCATGGCCTTTGTGTGTGTGTGTGTGTGTGCGTGTGTGTGTGTGTGTCTGTGTGGACGTAGTGCGAGGAAGCCTTTCTCTTTCCAGGTTAGTCTTGTGTTTATCTAGGTTATTCGTAGTAGTGTGTGTGTGTTCAGTGTATTGTGCTGGTCAGTTTGGCACGAGTGCATGTCATTGAAAGGCATCGCTATATCCACTGCAGTGGCCTTTCCACCATCTCTCATTCAGCTAGCATCATAAAACAATTACGATAGCATGTGCCGTTCACCACCCCCTCATCATATTTATCTCATATAAGTGAGCAGTTTGCTACTTACAAAATATTCCAACTATAATCCTTACTCGAATGTCCGCCATATACGAAAGGCTCAGTTCATTACTCGATGCTGCCAGCCACATGTTGCCGTGTATTTTTTTCTGGTCTACTCTACTTCAAAGTGTATGTATGTGTATTGTGTGTCTGTGTCTGTCTCAGAATAGAATGTTGCCGTCAGAGTGATCACATCTGCTCTTTTTGTTGAGTTGCGTGTGGGTGGGTAGGCGCTTGCGTGTTCCCATACAATTGAATACCGGTATAATATATACATGACATGCCCTCGTTTGTGAGTGTGTGCGTGTGCACTCACTCACTCACTCACTCACTCACTCACTCACTCACTCACTCACTCACTCTCTCACTCACTCACTCACTCTCTCACTCACTCACTCACTCACTCACCCACACGGTTTATTCCCTGCCACTAGACTCTTATCTGGCTGTGTACTGTGACTGACATCGAAGCCATGATGTCCCAATAGATCTTTCTTGTTTGGTTGGCCCGGTGGTCTGTGGAGTTGCCTGCTTGTGTCTTTGTGGCTTCACTGTGTAATCTGTGTCTGTTTGCAGCCCGAACACCTACCGTATGTAATAAGCCAGTGCAAGTACAGCTACTGTGTAGTATCCCACATTGGACAGAGGTGGAACAAGCAAGTAACCTGTGTGTGTGTGTGTTTACATTTAAAAAGGTGTTCTTCGAAGTACCGCCATTCTCCTTTAACCCACCGACTGCCACTTCTGAGCTCTCTCCTTCTCTATCTGTCTCTATCTATCTACTTCAGTATCTCTCTCTCTCTCTCTCCTCTCTGTCTGTCTGTCTGTCAGTCTGTCTGTCTCTCTTTTTTTCTTTTTTTAATTATCTATTGCACTCAGTGTCACACACACACACACACACACACACACACACACACACACACACACACACACACACACACACACACACACACACACACATACACACACCCTCTCTCTCTTTCTCTCGCTCTCTCTCCTCTCTCTCTCTCTCTCTCTCTCTCTCTCTCTCTCTCTCTCTCTCTCTCTCTCTCTCTCTCTCTCTCTGTCTCTCTCTCTCTCTCTCTCTCTCTCTCTCTCTCTCTCTCTCTCTCTCTCTCTCTCTCTCTCTCTCTCTCTCTCTCTCTCTCTCTCTCTCTCTCTCTCTCTCTCTCTCTCTCTCTCTCTCTCTCTCTCTCTCTCTCTCTGTCTCTCTCTCTGTCTCTCTCTCTCTCTCTCTCTCTCTCTCTCTCTCTCTCTCTCTCTCTCTCTCTCTCTCTCTCTCTCTCTCTCTCTCTCTCTCTCTCTCTCTCTCTCTCTCTCTCTCTGTCTGTCTCTCTCTCTCTCTCTGTCTCTCTCTCTCTCTCTCTCTCTCTCTCTCTCTCTCTCTCTCTCTCTCTCTCTCTCTCTCTCTCTCTCTCTCTCTCTCTCTCTCTCTCTCTCTCTCTCTCTCTAACCATTTATCTACTGTATCTATCTTCATCTTCTCAACCAATCACATTTTAAAGTATAAGTAATCAGCCATGATGTTTTACTCTATGTGTCATCGCCTACAGGCTACAGTAGAGGTGCGCGCCCAAGACCGTCGTTCCCAAGGGGTTGGGCTGGGATGTGTACAAAAATGCTGCATTCCAGAACCGCGACACCAACACAAAGTTCCGCCGTTCTTTTCACCTTAGTCTATGGTGTTCTTAGTACTTCAGGCTGGGTTTTCTTGGGCTCCACGTTCTTCAGTGCGCGACTACTATAGTGTAGTGCCATGACCCTGCACTTCTACACCACTATACAGGTATTTACAACTCCCCGGTGACACAGGGAGTAGGTATTTTACTACTCCCTGATAGGGTTCGAGAAGTCTTCTCGAACCCTATCAGGGAGTAGTTTGTCCCTATGTGCAGTCATGTAGTAGCAGAACATGTTTTGTTTCGGCAATGTCACAGTACTCTTCGCCTACCTGTAGCTACACCTAGGCGGTGTACACACACTATGCGTAGCTCAGTACGGTACACTTCACAAGTTTCCTTCCTGGAACAGGAAGTCAGATCAAGGAAAGTATTATTACAACTGACAAGCTCGTCGTCGTACAGTTCAGCAGTTCAGGATGGCCAGCACCAGTCAAACCAGAAGATTCTCGAGTAAGCACAAGAGGAACGTGACAATGCGTTTGCTGCAATGTAATGTCCACTGTGGCAGTGAATGTACATGCGCACACTCGTGCGCGTGTGCACACACATACACATACACACACCACACACACACATACACACACACACACAAACACACACACACACAGGGTATAAAATATCTCATCTTGGTGCACCACCGGTGTTACACTCCAGAGCTTGTTGTATTTTGCTCCCTCGTTGTGTCTGCTAATTCGATACGGTATTTGGTATTTGCCGCGTAGTAATCTTGCAAAATGTTATTGTGACTATCCGATATGGTACACATGTACATGTACATGACATGTCGCCATGGCAATGGGGTGTTGGGGCCCCAGCGCAGCAGAGAGCCCATCATGCTCATGGTATATGTATCACTAAGTCTATGTCAGCTAGTCGTATATACACGACTCCCTGATCTGTCTCTGTAGGGATCCCTGCTACTACTAGCAAGAGCATGGGGGGGGGGGGGTTACGAGAGAGCTTGGAAGCTCAGGGCCCTACGCTATGCTTTTTTGCCTTGATGACCTAGACAAAAAAAAGCATAGGGATCTTATAAATTCTTTAAAAAAATCCTTTTTTTAAGACATATTAACCTGGGATTCGAACCCGCACTATCGCGCCCTGCATGCATCCCCCGATACACTTCGCATACATACTAATTCTTCCAAGTTGCTTCACATTATGATCTTGCATTTGAAAGCCCTATTTGAATATGCATTGTGGCCAGCCGTCTTTGATGGTACGGTACGGTAGGGATAGGTACGGGACAGGTACGATCGAGGGTAATACGACACCGTCTCCCGTACCGTACCATCAAACACAGCTGGCCACATACAGCTGCCCGCAATATTCAAATAGGGCTTTCAAACGCAAGATCATAATGTGAAGCAACTTGGAAGAATGTGTATGAATGCGAAGTGTATGGGGGAATGCATGTAGGGCGATAGTGCGGGTTCGAATCCCAGGATATGCCTGAAAAAATAGGAGAATTGAAAAATTTATAACATCCCTATGATTTTTTGCCGTCAGATACGGGATAGCGCCAGGCGTGACACAAACAAACACACAAACAAAATACCAAATTAAAGCTGTGTGGACCCTGGCTAGCGCCAGACGTTACTGAAGTAACGTCTTCTGCATAGCTACGGGAATAATTATTATACCCTTGCTACTACGGTACTTGGAAGTAGTATAAATAGCTACTGGACCCCATCGCTGCCGATTGTGAGTTGGGCTCATTGGGATCATCTCATGGGCGTAGGAACCGGTCCGGCAGGCCCGGCGGTCACCGGACCAATAATTTTCGATTTTTTTATTTACGCAATAAATAGAGTAAGCTGCGCACTCAGTACAAACACCATAAGCAAAACTTGTTTTCATGTAAATAAAGAAGCTTGTTCCTAAACGTTTTCGTCGCCATCTCATCAGAGGATTACTGGCAAATCAACAAAAGCTCTTAACTCAATATATATACGCACAATGCAAGTAATAATTTAGACCCTAACTAGCGCGATAAAATGAGAGCTGAAAGAAACATTACACCATTCAACGATATCAGGTGACAACAGATGCGATAAATTCACCACTAGAAAGTTACCATGCAACCACAAACGAGAACTACTGATCTAAATTCACAAACAATTTCAACGTAAACAAATTCTTTTTCTGCCTACACAAAATCGGCTTGGTGGTAAAAATGTAAATAGACTCCAATACACGCAAATACCTTTGACTACGTGAACGAGACCAAACAGAAAAGCAATCATCAGCATAACTAGAACGACAATCACTATTCTGAACAAGATGGTTGGCGATAGAAGATTCATACACCCTAACAACGCTACTAGAACCAGTACATACTTTGGAATTACGTGACAATGAAACCGACCTGACATTCCTTGCCGCTACTGCCAATCCAGACGAGGCCGATGTAGATGTCCGTACCAAAGGCACGTCCGTTACTGGCACTGCCTGCTGCGATGATGCTCCCTTTGACGTTCCAATGGCTGTTGATGTTGATGAAGAGGAGGAGGGAGATGAGGAAGACGCTGACGACGACGATGACGACAACGACGGAGACGATAAAGACTCCGCTAACCTCGCCCTAGAGCGAGTCACTGGTCCCGCAGACACACCATCCGGTGGTTTCTTCGGTGGCCGGCCACGCTTTTTGCCACCGGAGGTGGACACACCGGATGACGGTACAAAGGAAGTCAAAGAAGACGAAACCGCAGATACCAACGATGATGACGGGATAGAAGGAAGAGACGGTAAAGACGAAGGCAATGACGAACAAGCCGATGCCGACGAAGAAGACAACGACACCCCAGTTGGTTCCGTCCCCAGCGAGGGTGCACCTCCAGTCGCAGTACCAATCTTTGGGGGACGACCTCGTCTAGGCCTTGACGACCGTGCCTCAACAGGCATAACGTGAAGAGGCACATGCTGGTGGATCCGTGCCTCCAGGTGCTGAAGGGTCCTACCCACATACCGGCTCTCACATTGGGTCATTGCCGGCACTCGAAGTTGTAAATAAGATGTGATAATTTAAGAGTGGGTAGGACATCCTTCTTCACCATGAAGGCACGAGCTGTTGTGTAGACGAACCGGACACTAACATTACGAAAGTTCGATTTTTACATTTTTACCACCAAGCCGATTTTGTGTAGGCAGAAAAAGAATTTGTTTACGTTGAAATTGTTTGTGAATTTAGATCAGTAGTTCTCGTTTGTGGTTGCATGGTAACTTTCTAGTGGTGAATTTATCGCATCTGTTGTCACCTGATATCGTTGAATGGTGTAATGTTTCTTTCAGCTCTCATTTTATCGCGCTAGTTAGGGTCTAAATTATTACTTGCATTGTGCGTATATATATTGAGTTAAGAGCTTTTGTTGATTTGCCAGTAATCCTCTGATGAGATGGCGACGAAAACGTTTAGGAACAAGCTTCTTTATTTACATGAAAACAAGTTTTGCTTATGGTGTTTGTACTGAGTGCGCAGCTTACTCTATTTATTGCGTTGATTAC